AAAGTGGCTCAAAATCGATGCTCGTGCACTTAATTGGGAACATTATTTTCTTTTGATAGAGTAGTAAAATTCATGAGTCAATTACATAACAGGCATAACGACAGCGCTAACTTGTTGACTAATGAAAATTCTAAGATTGGATACAAAATAAGTACTTTGTATTGTTTTAACTTTTAAATCTGAAGTCATGTCCATTGTTCCTTGGCCAAACTGCCACATAGAGGCCAAAAAGAGAATCCTCCTCCGTTCAACACGAGGGGTAGTTGAGGACTTGAGGGACTCGAAACAGGGGTAATTTCCACATATGCACCAGTCTATGTATCAGCATCACCAGATTCACACACGTAAAGATAAAGGATTAAAAGAGTTTACTGTGCATCAATATTATTTTGGTTTATTTTAAGCTGATTGCAAAATCCTCCATCGAGTTCAATGTATTGGAAAATTTTTAAACCATTATAAAACATAACATCTACTATTGTTTCAAACTTATTACTGAACATCTCAATCGACTTGCCAATCGAAAATGAAATTATGCGTACAAGACCATATCGATTTACATTATATTATGTTCTCTTCGCTCTGAAATAATTGTTCAATTTGAATTTTCATTCTAACGCAAATTGTATTACAAGTGAAAAATTCAAACTATGAGAAATATTTTGAGAGAAACAGAGTATTAAGGATGTACGGATATTGAGTTAGAGTACTACCGCCTGCAAAAAGCAATGTACCACTTTCATTCTAAAAATTTCACTTTTATTACAAATTATATTAACAATATAAATTTAACCTAAATAATCATTTTGAGATTGATAAAGAATCTATTAATCACATTCCAACCCACGTATACACTGGTGCTCAAATTTATACCTACACCACTTATGATTAGCAGCAAAACCCTAGGTTTTAATTAGGCAATTTCGACGGAGATAAAATATCTTTGTCATTAAATGTTTTTTCTGTCTTAAAATTATTGTAAAATTTGAATTTTTATTTTTAGTTCAATTTGTACTAAAAATGAAAATCTAACTGAATAATAATTTCGGGACAGAAAGAATACACTCCTTAAAACAGATAGTTGTATATAGTGTGAAATTTAAATGAAGAAAAGAATACTATAGATTATTACAATTACTTAATTCACGAGGTATTTTCATCATCCCAAAAAAATGACAGTCTTTTGTTGTTTCTTTCAACGAGTATCACCCGCGTAAAGAAAAACCAAGGGTCCCAATTTAGGAAAATTGAGAATATTCAAGTACTACTAAAATTGTTGATTTTTTGGTTTAAACTTTGGTACTTTACAGGATAAGGTTACTGGGGGGAGCCTAGGGAAGATGTTTTAATCGTGAGTCATCAAATCTTCCCCATACCATCAATGTGTTTATTTGATTCGCACTGAATGAATATTCTCGAGAGAAATTCAATATCCCATGTTGTCTTGTTCGGTAATCATGTTAGCACTGTGTAACATCTTTCGTAATAGTACTACTTTCAAGATTTTTTTTTTCCTTTTGAAAATAACTTATATTACCTCCGTGAAGAATAGTGCACGTATAAATTTATACTAAAAATAATATTTTAAAATTAAAATTCAATGTGAACTATTTTTGTGGGATGGTGAGAGTAATATTTTCAATAATTATTACCCATGTTGTTTCAACCAAATTTGAATCTCATCATTGTATGCAAACTTTTCTTTTAAACCCTTTTCAAATTTAAAATTACATTTGAAAAAAAAATAGCAAAAAACCAGTAAGCCAAAAAAAACTCTAATTAGGATTATAATTTTGATTTTTTGGACAACGTTGAAAGCCGATTAGAGATGTGTTTTAATCTCACAGCTTATACATAAATAAGTACTCTCTCTGTCTTACAAAAATAGTTCATTTAAATTTTGAATTTTGTACTGTTTTTAGTACAAATTTGAAAACTCGATGTAGACTATTTTTTGGGGACGAATGTAGTATCATTTTGTGAAAATGAAACATTATTAACCCAATGAAGAAGAGTTCCGTTACCATATGTGTTCCGTTACCAACCCTTTGGAAATGCGAAGTGCATGGATTCAAATTCTCACGATATCTCGTTAATACTTATCGTATACCTTATCTTCTCGGGCATGCATTCCCATACGGCCATAACAAGGAGCCAAGGAGAAAGGGATCTTTGTGGTGGGCCACATCTTTAGAGTATAGCATTGGCCACCGAACAGTGAACATTGAAAGCCTGACCCGAAACTGCGAATCCAATTAATCAATGCCATATCTTAACGCCACGCGGCAACCCGAAGCTGATTCATCATGCAAATACACCCGAATTTAAAATGATAAATAAAAGGAATCCTAATTGGCTAATTCCGATTCCAAACCCGAACTCTAACAAACCAGAAACAGAAACCTCATAACAAGTCAACACAACCAACAAGTTTCATTATAAGAAAACAGAACTTTCCTCGACTCAGATCTAATTAATGGAAAAATATGAGGAGAGCAGAAAATAGGAACAAATAGAAAATTAAAGGCCAATGGCAGGAGTGGAGGCTAGAAATTAGTCTTTGCCACCGCGAATCTACCTTCGCTCCGGACTGCCTTGCAGGTCTGCAAAATCAATCGGAACGGGGATGTCTCCCCTTGATGTACCTGCGCTGGAACTGCTATCTTGGTTTCGTTACGACGTGATTAGGGTAACTTACTCACGGAATGTAGTGATACCGTAATATTAGGCCGTAATGACCTTCCTCTTTGTACTAAAAAAATGGCCACCGGCATGTAGACCGCAATAATATCGCGACACAGGTTTACTAGTAAATTACGTATTTATAACTTGTCGACATGTTGGAGAAATACTTTTCGCATTTTATACAACCATTTTTCTTTTTCTTTTTTTTTGTTGCCTCTGTCTTCTTTATTTAGATTTCCCGATGTGATGATGATGATTGATTACACTTTTATACGCTGCCCGAAATTGAAATGTTCAATGTACAACTCTCCGGTTTTTATTATAAAATATTTTAATTTTGTCTTAGTTTTCATCTATGATGTCTTTTTAATTGGGAAAAAAATTTAAAAAATATATTTTTACATTCGTTGTGTTCTTCCAATTACTATGAAATATTTTTAAGATTTTTATTTCAATTAAAAAGACATCTTAGTTAAAACTTAAGATAAATCAAAATACCTTATAATAAGGATCGGAGGGAGTACATTATAGTACAACTTACAAATAAATAAATAAAACAATCACAATAATGATCTCATTTGTTATATCACTTCAGTAATTTTATTAGGATAATTTTTTTTTTTCTATGGTCATGTATACTTGAACCGTTGAACTTGAATCATATATCATAAATTAAATTCTTCAAATAACGGAAAAAAGTCTATTAGAATAAATTATTAAAAAAACGTGGCTTTGTTTGGACAAACACTCATTTTACATTTTCACTCATTTTACCTTTTAAACACAAAACCCAATGGAAAAGAAAACATCATCCAAACAACTTTCTGATTTACATTTTAAATTTCAACTTGAAACACTTTTTGTTAGTGTAATGACCATTTTAGAACTACAAATAGTTCAGTGACAAATTTGGAGGATTCCGTTGTTGAGTAGTTGTTTTTGGAAAAAAAATTTTTTGCAGTGACTATAATTGACAGTATTTAATTGTTTAGTGACGACTCGTACTTGATATTTTTAGTTCAAAATATTTTTTTCAAAACCAACATCCAAACAACTTTTTGCTCAAAATACCATCCAAACAACATTTTCATTTCCCATTTAGTTTTCAACTTGAAACAGTTTCCACTTTTAAATGGCAAAATGAAATGTAAGATGACGTCCAAACAAGCACGTAATCATTGCACAAAATAGCTAGAAATATTGCCAATGAGAGGGTTTGAATATACAGTTATCTCTAGTTAGTTTACGGGCTAATGATTGATAGCGTGGGATTAGTACTCGCTCTGGTCCTTATGATAAGATAAGTTGATATTTTTATATGTTACGTTTATCGTATTTTTTAAATGAAAATAAAATTTTTCTTTATGATAATTAACAGAGTACAATGAAAGTGAAAATTTATGTTTTAAATTTTTATTTTTAATTAAAATAATAAGATAAATGAGACATGGAAGAAATCAAAATGTGTTAAAGATTGGAGGGAGTAGTAATTAGAAAAATTATTATTATCACACGTTTAATTCTCCAGGTGGGGCAAATGCAAAAAAATAAAAATAAAAATAAAAATAAAAATTGGAAGCATGTGTGACGAGGGAAAAAAGAAAAATAGGAATCCCCAATCACAAAAGCCAAAAAAAAGAAGAAGAGGAAAAGGGGGACCGAAACTTACTGGAAAGTGTGGGATCAAGTTGGCTAAGACCCAAGGTAGGTTGGATTCAGGGGTGTCCTCATTGCCTCAGAATTACCACTCCCACTTTTTTAACGCGATTACGGCTCTTCAAGCAAGAACGAAATCCGGCCCTTCATTACTTCTCATTGCCATCATCAACATACAAAATATTTTACCACAAATGATCTCATCAAGACCAACATTTTGTCACTCATTACATAAGAAGTACAACAATTATTACTAAGACTGTAGTTGAATAATTTGCTTTATAAAGAATTCAATTCCTTTTTAACACATAACAATACCATATTACGATTAATACTATTGTCAACATAGAAAATCTGACAATACGTTTCACCTAAATTACTATAGGTAGGATGAAAATACAATAAAATTTGTTTCGTTTTGACTCCATAAACATTTTAGGAGTTTCTTTACTGCAAAAAAAAAAAAGAAATATAGATTTAATATATTTTGTAGTCATTTACTTAAAGGTATTTAATCCTAATACTTGATTATAAGTATTAAGATTAAATTAGAATTAAAAAACAATTTTAAATTATAAATCAGAAGAAGATGGTGGACCCGGAGAAAGGAGGCAGTAGAGTCATGATCCATGACCACAGCCCTCCTTCAGCAGCTATATAAATTAGCCTCCGCGCTCTTCCCTTTCTTCGCTCACTCCGCTTATTTTTTGCGTTTTTATTTCCTCACTAAAACGCAAAATAAGAAAACCCTAGGCGCCCATTTCCCCCCCACTCGTAGCCGTTAGGTTTCCGGCTTTCTCCCGCCATCCTCGCCTCCTTCCTCCTCCACCACCTACCTCTTCCGGTTTCCGCTGCTTTTATTTATTTTAACCAGAATTCTAAGATCTGCATGATAGAATCCTTGTTCGGTGCATAAAATTGTGTCATTTTTTTTGCGTTTCTTCCGTTTTCAATTCGTAAATCCATAATCCACTTCTTCTGAGGGGCAGGCGTGGGGATTTCTGTGTTCTGTAACCGTGAATCTGGGTTTGGTTATCTTTTGATTCAGATCCTTTTTTGCTTCTTTTGAGGGGGTAGCCGGGGCTCCGGCCTCGGCGGGTTCTAAAGCCCCCACCTATTACAACCAAAAATAAATAAATATTATTATTGAAAAATAAAGACGGGAAGAAGGAAAATTTTGCCCTTCGTCCACCGATTTAACTGTATAATCCCTCCATAGATTATTAACCATTCTTTCATTCTTTTTTTTTTCTTTCGAATTTTAAACAAAGCTTGAAACAGATCGGGGAAGAGATGCCGGCGCTCGCGTGTTGTGTAGACGCCGCCGTAGCTGCTCCACCTGGTTACGGATTTGCTAGGGATAGCACTCTTCCCGCGCCGGCGGTTGATTCTGGGTTTTTAAACTCTGCAATCTCAGCCGTCGCCGGCGTACCTCAGTCGACAAACTCCGCCGCCGCCGCCGCAGCCACAGCCGACATTGACGTCTCCACCACATGGTCGCCTTCCCTTTCGGCTGAGATTTACAAAGTGGATGGATGGGGTGCGCCTTACTTCGCCGTCAACTCCAGCGGCAACATCGCCGTCCGTCCTCACGGCGTTGATACCCTTTCCCACCAGGAGATTGACCTCCTCAAAGTGGTGAAAAAGGCATCGGACCCGACATCCAATGGCGGACTCGGGTTGCAGCTCCCCCTCATTGTACGTTTTCCCGACGTCCTCAAGAACCGCCTTGAATCTCTCCAGTCCGCTTTTGATTTCGCAGTCCAATCCCAGGGCTATGGGGCCCACTACCAAGGCGTTTACCCGGTCAAATGCAATCAGGACCGCTTTGTGGTCGATGATATCGTCAGATTTGGAGCCCCTTTCCGGTTCGGGTTGGAAGCCGGGTCTAAACCGGAGCTCCTGTTGGCAATGAGCTGCCTTTGCAAAGGAAGCCCGGATGCTTTCTTGGTTTGCAACGGCTTCAAAGACACGGAGTATATTTCTCTCGCCTTGGTTGCTCGGAAGTTGTGCTTGAATACCGTAATTGTACTCGAACAGGAGGAGGAAATCGATCTGGTGATTGATCTAAGCAAGAAGCTGGCAGTCCGACCCGTGATTGGTGTTCGGGCCAAGCTCAGGACCAAGCATTCTGGTCATTTTGGGTCAACATCTGGGGAGAAAGGCAAGTTTGGATTGACAACCACTCAAATCCTCCGCGTGGTGAAGAAACTGGAACAATCTGGAATGTTGGATTGTCTTCAATTGCTGCATTTTCATATTGGATCTCAGATCCCTTCCACAACCCTATTAGCTGATGGCGTTGGGGAGGCTGCACAGATTTACAGTGAACTAGTTCGCTTGGGTGCCGGAATGAAAGTAATTGACATTGGTGGAGGCCTTGGGATTGACTATGACGGTTCAAAGTCAGCTGATTCCGACGTCTCGGTTGCCTATTCCCTCCAGGAATATGCCTCTGCTGTGGTGCAGGCTGTGCGGTTTGTGTGTGACCGCAAGGGCGTGAGGCACCCAATTCTGTGCAGCGAAAGTGGCCGAGCAATTGTATCCCATCACTCAATTTTGATATTTGAAGCTGTTTCCGCCACCTCCAAAGAGATTCCTCAGGTATCCTCCCTTGGACTTGAATACTTTGCTGAGGGTCTCAATGAAGAAGGCCGTGCTGATTACTGGAATTTGTATTCTGCTGCTGTCCGGGGTGAGTACGATACTTGTTTGGCTTATGCTGATCAGCTTAAGCAAAGGTGTGTTGAGCAGTTCAAGGAAGGAACTTTAGATATGGAACAGCTCGCAGCTGTTGATGGGCTTTGCGAGTATGTTTCAAATGCAGTGGGAGTGTCTGATCAAGTGCGTACTTACCATGTCAATCTCTCAATATTCACTTCCATTCCTGATTTTTGGGCCATCGGTCAGCTTTTCCCTGTAATCCCGATTCACCGCCTGGAGGAGAAGCCGGGGGTACGGGGAATTTTATCAGACCTGACTTGTGATAGTGATGGAAAAATCAATAAGTTCATTGGGGGTGAATCCAGCCTTCCCCTCCATGAGATTGAAGGCAAAGGCAACGGAAATGGATATTATCTGGGCATGTTTCTGGGCGGGGCTTATGAAGAAGCCCTAGGCGGATTCCACAACCTGTTTGGGGGTCCTAGTGTCGTGCGGGTGTTACAGAGTGACGGGCCTCACAGTTTTGCTGTGACTCGTGCTGTTCCTGGACTTTCTTGCGGGGATGTTCTACGGGTTATGCAGCATGAACCTGAGCTTATGTTTGAGACCCTGAAGCATCGTGCAGAGGAGTTTGTGCATGATGAAGTTGTGGTTGACGACAGTAATGGTGGTGGTATAGGGGCATTGGCAAGTGGCCTCGCTCAATGCTTCCATAACATGCCTTATCTCTTGCCGGCTTCCTCTTGCTGCTTGACTGCCGCCACTGCCAATAATAATGGTTTCTATTATTGCAAGGATGAGACTTATAGTGCCACTGAAGCTGTTGCTGCTGCCGGCACGGTTGAGGATGAGCAGTGGACTGCCTACTGCATGGCTTGAGGAGGACGAGCACCCCTTCCCGCGGCATTCTCTTCACTTTTGGTTCCATCTATTCGTCAGTTTGTGGTTGAGGTCGTCTGTTTTTCAACTTTGGTTAATTATAAATGCTATGTTAGCAGGTCTTTTTATCTGCATTTTCCATTTCAAAGATCACAGAATAATTCTGCAGTAGGTGGAAAATTGGGACCGAATGAGTCTTCTGATGCTGATGTAAGTTCGGTTCTGAAGTTCGTTTTAATCCCAATGATTGTCTGTGGTCTACTTCTGAAATTCCGCATTATGTAGTTTGACTCCTTTTTTGTAGACTTTGATGTAATTTCTTGATTAATGAATTATGGCATTCGCAGCCAATTTGAGTATTCTTGGTTTCATGGTCTATTTTAAATTCATTGACTTGTCTATATATTATAGTCACTCGATCTTCTGTAGGACCTTCACTTTGATTCTATAATCTTTGTTGCATTCTTCTTCTTCTTTTTCCCTGTTAAGGATGCGCTGTGTCCTGTGGTGCTCTTTACTTCTTTTTGCAAAAGCCAAAAGTAGGATTTTAGGATCCTGTATCGTTATTGTGTCGGGTCTGGCTGTTTGTTGTTGAGTTTGATCTTCTGATCTCCGTTTGTCCTGGAATCTTGCTGTTTGCAGTTTCGCCACCCACTCAAATGATCCTGATTATGGGATCAGATGAGTTGGTGAACCTTTTATCTTTACTTTTGTATTTTTCCTTTGTGAAATGCTTCCACCAGCAGTGAAGCACCAAACCTTTTCTTTTTAATCTTATTCTCCCGTTTCGAGATCCTATTTGTGCAGCTGTGGAAACCTGCAATTTGCTTGCAAGTGCCCCATGCTGTTTACTCAAGGTTTGATATTTCAGTTTTGCTGATGGCTTTTAACGCGTGGTGATAATGCCATCTTTTCTTTTAAACAATTTGGTTGGCCAAGTGGTGCATCTTGCATTGGATCTTGTATGAAAATGACCAAATTCATCTTTACTTTTGGACAAATGAGGGCAGCAATGATAGTGATGACACTTGGATTGATTATCTCAAAATCATGGACTACAATGAAACCACCATGGTCACAACAACATGATTCCAAGATCTGGGATTCTCGCGAAGTGAAATAAAGTTTCAACCTTTCAGGTAGCTTCTCGCACGAACTAAATGTTCAGTGGTTCGAGTTGATTAACTTTATTTCAGTAACCAACTTGATTTCACCATAAAATATGGTTAAAAGACGTTTTTTATACTTCAACCTCTTTTTCTTCAGAAGTGTCAATGAGACAAAATGATCTTTTTAATTTGTTTGAGTGGAATGATGAAAGTTGCGAAACGGGGAAACAAAGGATTGGCTTTCCTTTGATGAAAAGAGGCATCGAAACTTTGATGTATAAAGCAGGGGACGCATTTGGAAAAGCCAGGGATTATTTGTGGGTGCTTATCTTTTACACCTTTTTCCCAAAATCCTCCTCATTGACAGCCCGTGGCCAGGAAAAGGGCATCGCAAAAGAATGAAGAATGTGGACTCATCCTCCTGGATCATGCCATCGTCGTCATCAAACCCATCTAGAAACAAAGATTGTGGTTCTCATAGACCCGTTGTCTTTACCATTTCAAGTGTCCCCAACTTCCCCAACTTTCAAGCCAACTAGAGTTATCTTGGGCTGTTTCTGCGTTTGCGGTCTAAAAGCCATATCCATATCGCTTTATATTTGTCTCTTTATTTTAGTTTTTGTTCCGGACGTACTAATACATAGACAATACTACCCCAAGTGTATTCCTTCGAGGAAACAACTGACTACAACTTGGTGATTAAGCATTTTCATGTGCCTGCCTGGTGAAATATTCTGTAAATTTTGTGCCAAGTAGGGTTAAATCGACTCAGATGATCAGATAAGGATAAAATTATCGGGGTTATTTTTTCGGAAAGGTTTACCAGAAGAAATTCTATCCTGGAAACAGTTTTTATTTCCTCAAAAAGAGCTAAGGCAACGATCTTGCGATAAATGAACAACGCTGACACAATTAACTAAAGCTACCCGAACAATTCAGTTCTCACATAAGAGCTCTCGAAGATATGATAAAACACAAGAATTACCAAGAATAACTGGACAGCTCAAGACTCTTTTTAACGTTTGCTAATCTTCAAGCCTACAGAAAGCTTCCCACTGACATGCTTCCTGCGATGTACTACTACTACTACTACTACTTATTCTATGGGAATGGTTACGACTTTCTTAGGTCTTCCTTCATTAGGATGAGCTGGAGCATCAGGTCCACTTCTGAAACCGGCATTCCTCCCAAAATGGTTCCTAAACGGTACATCCCAGCCGCTCCAGGGAGTAAGCCGGCTACCCGCAGCACCTGCATTATTGAGGCCGTAAAGTATTGACTACAGAATCTTGTAAGGTTAAATAAATTTCTTTTAATCATCCAGCTGCTCTACCAAATGTTTTCTTATCCTCTAGTTGTTTGCAGTATTGTAAATGTCAAAGCTTTTAGCACCAAGAATTAGAACCAGCAGATATCATAAGTAGGCAAGAATTATTACTCACCAGTAGTTGAAGGAAAATTGAAACCGTTATCCCATCCTGGCACGAGTTTATCAGCATTTCCTTTCCAGCTTCGTTCAAAATTAGCTAACTCATCTGCAAAATTTTTAACAATCAGCTGCCCTGCTGATGAACATCATAAAGAATGGCTACAGAAAGGAGATTCAGCAAACCTTCTTCCAAGTTATGCAATGTCTGTATTGTGTCCACTTTACCATCTGAATTAAGTTTCCTCATGACTGAATGACCCTACAAGAATTATTCCAACATTGCATAAATCCTCTTTCCTATGAATAGAATACAATAGCGCAAGGGAAGACATTCACAGTACATAAGAAGTTTTATAGAGCAAATATAATGGAAGAAAAATCTCCCAAAGAGACCCATTTTCACTATGGTGGTATCTTGTTATACATAACTTTTTCGATGATACTAGATCTTATAACACAAGTTAATAGCAACAAACAACACAAAGAGGGTAAGAGAATGAAAAAAACACATTTTCAAGCCTTCTCCAGAGTAACATGAGGTCCCTGCACAATGCACAAACACGACTCGGTACCAACCAAACACCCGCTCTTCCCAGCATACAGGTCCCTTTTGTCCCCACTGAAGAGATGGGATCTCCATTAAGATGTTCACAAGCTGTGACATTCCAGTTCAAGAACTCCAATACAAAATAACTTTTTCTCTCTCACAAAAGTCTACACTGGAAGTACAAGTTTGTTTTGAATGATAATGCAGTAGCACACTCGTCCACATACAATGCCTTCACCGAGCCCCATAATCTTTTAAAGTTTCACACCAAAAATTTTGCACTAATGTCTCCAAAACTACAGCCTAAGCAGTCTGATTAATTATGCTCAAGTCACGAACTATCACCTTCATTAATCATGACCGGTTATATCTTCATATAACTAACACTAACAAAATTCATCATTCACCTCAAATACGGAAGATGCTAATGTATTCAAGCAATCTTAGTTCCTTCTTTTTCTTAATTCCAACAAACTAATGGTGAAATTTCATACACAGTCAAGTGTGCCTGAAATATAAAACTACCCACATAAAACTGCAAAGTCATTCCTAGAAAATCATAATTTTCACAATGCACTTAACCCAACCAGCACCAGTTAGTAATATTACCCTGTCATGAATGCCTTTTGAGAGACGATGAGTTGCTTGACCGGTTGTTGAATCAGCTTCCCTTCTCTCTTCCAACACAACCTTAAAACCAAATAAATAGTAGCATGAGATTTACTATGAAAAAAATAAAATAAATCTAAATCAGCTAGATGAAAAAGGACACGATAAGAAAGAGAAGCAGTAAAATAGCTAGATGAGAAGTTACTCACTCCATCTTTTCCTGTTCTTCGGGTTGTTGAAGCAGTGTAGTAATTCCCATTTATGCCTCCATAACTGACTCTCTGAAAGCTGACACCCTCAGTTCGGGTTGCTTCCCCTCCCAACTTACTACGGTGAGATGATTTGGGGATATTGGCTAATTCTTTGCTGCTGCTCTTACTTCCGACGGTGTCATTGTCTGCTGAACAGATCAGCAAACAAAAAAATCAACATCAGTATAAAAAATGAAACTGCATGAACCGGAATGTCAAGAAAATATTAATTGTTTACCATGGACTTGGTCCTCTGGGTGCTCAACCAGTGGATTTTGGTTTGCAGTTTGTTCATCTCTATCCCTCTTCTCCCCATCACTACCCATTTCTTCCTCATCACTGTCTAGCTCCTCAATAATGGGTCTCTTAAGCTTACCAATAGGAGATGAAACACCAGAAGGAGCATTTGACTCAAACATGCTGGACCCAAACAAGCCCCCAATTGGGCGCGTGAAGAATGGATCATCAAAAGGATCCTTTCCACCAAATATGTGTGACATCTGCAAGACGATCAAATGAACTAGCCTGAATGGCAACAGCAGACAAACTCAGATTCTAACAGCTCAATTCAAAACAAAACATTAAAGTCTACGAAATGCATACATATTCAATCAAATCACACTCCAGAACTTATATTAACGAAGCAATCGTAGAAAACAGACTCCACAATGATAATCCTTCTAATGTATCGAACAAACACATAAACTCAGATGATCACATCATAAACCCAGAATACGAGAGATTGGTAGAGAAAAAATATTACTAGTATAAGATTGCCATAAGATTGCCAATTTACACAGATGGATTCTCAAAGCAAACGAAATTTCCAGTACAATGGAAGACAACCCATACCTTTGAATGTCGAATGCTCTCTCAGTGGCCGATGGGGGGAGAAAACTGTTTTTTGGTCGGGGAATTTCGAACGTTGTAGAGACTCGAACACGGAGTTTTTTTTCTCCCGTATTTATAGTGAAGTTACGTAGGTGATCCAGGAACTAACACGTATACACAGTCCGGAAATTTCGTTTTTTATCTTTGTTTTCTTTTCTTTTTTTTTGTTATTTTTATGTTTTGTACATTTAAACTTTTGTATCTCAGCTTAGACTAGAAAGTTCTTTCGGAAAGTCAAACCGGCATATCCATTTTCTTCGAGGCTTCGATCGAGCACATATTTGATTTGCGTTAGCCCAACTCGAACTTGTTGGGCTCAATGGCTCATTAGCCTGCTCGTACCATCATTCAGAGGGCCTATCTTGGCTACAATATTGGGCCCAACAGTTTGGCGAGTTGGTCGGGAATTGGCGACCGGCCAGTCGCAAGCCGGCGGCAGGTGATAAGTCGGCGGTGTTGGAGGTAGTCCGGTAAAAGAGAACTAGAGATAAGTAATACAGTATTATTCTATCGAAAACATTACTCAAATAATTTTTTATATTTTTATTGAAAACATCTTTTAAAACACATCTTAAATCTATTATAAAATGAAAACAAAAAAAAAAATCTGCCTCCCGGCCCAACTCTTTCTTCTGCCTTCAACCTCTTTTCTTTGTTCTTTTTGTGATAATCAAATTGGTCAAATCCTTCCAGGCCATTACAGAAATATTCAGTACTTATACAAAACTAATCATATAAACCACCGGCGGCATAACGAAAGAGACAGCGTTAATCACATTATTACATAGCTGAAATTTTGTCACGGATGACCTCATTCTGACCATTAAGCCCTTTTGAATTTTCAAGCCACAGTCCCAGTCAATTCTTCTTGCCACTAAGCCCCCAAGAATATAAGTACCATACCACCCAAGTCCTTCAAGTTTTCATTCAAAAGCGTGTTAATGGGAGATGTTAGTCTTCTACAAAGTAAAAACATCTATCTAATGTGAATGAGAATCAGTCTAAGCATATTATGCATCGTTTCATAATTATCTCTCTTTTTTCCTTCTTTTTATTTTAATTTTTTTTTGTATATACCGAAAAGAAAGGACACCGTGACATACTGTTCTCTCTATCTTTTGTTTCTTTTTCATTTTTTAAATTAATTTTAAATGCAACGAGAAAATGTACTAGAAATTCGTATGTTATGAATTATGAATTAGTGGAAAAAACACATAATAATATGACGTGAAAAACCTGATTTGAGTTTTAATTATATTTTCCCTCCAAAACAATTTATTAATCACGTAGAATACATAACACAAAAAATTCACGTGATAACTCGAATCCACACTACTTCAGGTCCTATCAAACTAATCTGATAGTTCATTCCAAAAAAACTAATCTAATAGTAGTACACTATTATTTAGAGACCCTTAATTAAATAATTTAAACAATTCATAAGTGTTTTACACCTTATTATATCATCAACCCTCAACCTCGTATTCACCATCAAATTATGTGAATTGCGTAAATAGATATGGTGATTTATTATTCTTATTATTATTCTGAGCTATTTAAAATATGCCTTCTTTAGTCTAAAAACAAAAAAAATTATTTTAAAGAAGGGAAAAAAAGTGCAAATAAAAGGATTGAACACAACTAACAACGTTTGAGCAAAAACAAACATCAATTATTATCACAAAAGAAGGATAAAAGAAAGAAAAAATAAAAAAACAAAAGAACAAACCAAAATTGAGTGCCAGTTGAAGACTGCGACCGAAGAAAAAGGGCAAAAGAAAATCCGAAATAGTTCCGCCATAGGAGAAAACCTTGGACATATGATGTATGGAGTAGTTTTATAAACAAAATCTGTCCCTTTTCCACCTCAATTTTTCACTCCTTTCTTTTTGTTCAAGCATGCTTACAAAAGCATTGAATACACTTTTTGCCTCATCTGCTCCGCATAAACCCTAAAAATAATTCTATTCATTCACTTCAATTTTTTTTTCTTTTTTTTTTGGGGGGAATTTCATCCCGGAGATATTGTTGTCTGTATAATTTTATATTATGTATAGATCTGGAGCAGTGATGGCGTGGAACGTGTTCAAATTTTGCGCGGCCTTAAGAGGTCTGGGTTCGATTATGATCTTGGTGGTTCTGGGCGTTGTCGGCGTCACCTATTACGCCGTTGTTGTGTGTAATTACGGCCCTGCCCTCGCCGACGGCGGCCTCGATTCCCTCATCGCCGTCCTCGTCTTGATCTTATTTCATTCTTTGGTAATGCTTCCAGCTGGATAGGCTTTTGCCCTCTTTTTTCTTTTTGAAGATTTGTTCTCCTTTCTCGATTTTATCTATGCCATCCTGTTATTGTTGCTTCGATGATCTCCAAAATTTTAGCTGAAATTGAAGTTACTTGAGTTTTGTTGCGGGGAAATCTGGAAAATGTTGTGAAAAGTAACTTTGGGAGACAATTTATAGTCTGTTAGTGGACTTGATCATGAGCAGAAGGCTTGCAATTCAGGATAAAAAACAGAAGACTTATTCCCTTATAAATCTTCCTAGGCTGGGATGTGGGGATTTGACAATAATTCATTGTTTTTACAAGTGAAAGCAATAAACTTTAGCTGTTTTCTTAAAGAAGTGATTAGTAGAGTTCCAAGTGTCGAGCTTTAGTGATTGTAAGCTGAAAATAATTAGGAAAGGAAGTCTTAATTAACATACTTTTGCTCAATTACGTGACTCAGCTAATTTGATACTGGTATTAATTGTTCTTGAGGTTATTCAGCTAACAAGGTAGTAAGTAAGCTAATATATAGCTTAGCTTGTTGCTTGCAATACTTCATCATCCGGGACTGATGGTTGGTAGAAGAAAATAATGGGTATTTCAAGGGCTAAGATTCATTTTATATTTGATTGCTATGTTTCGAATTTCTGATCTTCAATTGTCACTTAGAAGTGGCTAAAGGCTTTTCATTTCTATCTGGTGAAAGAGAAGTTAAAAAGGATCATCTTTTTGTCTGTGCAGTTGGTGATGCTGCTGTGGAGTTATTTCGCTGTTGTCTTTACGGATCCAGGTACCGTGCCTCCTAATTGGAGGCCTGAATTGGATGAAGAAACTGGAGACGCCGATCCATTGACAGCAGCAGAATTCGGTTCTGCACAAGCTGACCCTGCCAATCCGAGAGTACGATACTGTAGAAAGTGCAATCAATTTAAACCGCCACGGTGCCATCATTGCTCTGTTTGTGAGTTATCTTCGTTGCACTTCCTTCAGTGTTGTGGTATCTGTTTTATCCTAGGAATTGAGTTGTATTTCTATATGCCTGGTAGGTGGGAGGTGCGTGCTAAAAATGGACCACCACTGTGTATGGGTTGTGAACTGTGTTGGTGCATTGAACTACAAGTATTTTCTTCTTTTCCTGGTAAGTGGTTTACTGCACAAATAGTCTGATAGCTCGAGTCCTTTTATTTTAACTGTTTGGAATGGGTATGCATTAGTTCTTCTTATGCTGGGTTTACATCAAATGTCTTGTTTCACCTGATAAATTTCTGGTTGTAAGTTGACTATCACATGATTTATGGCAGACATCTATAAGCTGGAACACTGAGAATAGATATGTTGGACATTTAAGTTTCTATTTTCCTTTTTTGGTTTCTCAACGTCACTTTTAGAGTTACCAGTATCAAAGAAATATCTGGCTTTGCCTGGAAAAAATCGTTTCTGTTATATCGACATTTTACTGCCCGTACTGCTGCTTGGCTCTGTAGTACTTGTTGAATTCAGTAGTTGTTAACTTATTCCTAGTAGAGACTGAATAATGTTTGATGAGCCTAGAAGTAGCCTTCTGTTGTGAAGCGATCCTCCAAAAACAACACTTTGGAGTCCACAAGCTGCTTCTTTTTTGTGGGTTTTTGGTTTTTTGAAACTTCCATTTGGCTGTCGCGGTTATGTATTTGAGATTTTTCTTCAATGTTACCAAATTTGTATCTAACTTTTCTCTTGATGCAGTTCTACACATTTCTGGAGACAAGTCTTGCAACACTATCGTTATTACCACATTTTATTGCTTTCTTCAGTGATGGGGAGATTCCCGGAACTCCAAGCACTCTTGCTACAACATTTCTTGCATTCGGTAAGGTTACGAGACTTTTTATTGAAGTCGGTGTAATTGATCTTGTATTCGCACCTATATGAGTACTCATATTCTAATTTGTTTTACAGTATTGAATCTGGCTTTTGCTTTGAGCGTATTGGGGTTCCTGATCATGCACATATCTTTGGTTGCTGGGAATACAACTACGATTGAGGTCTTTTGCTCTTCTTTCCGTTGCTTTTCTATTTTATTTTGTTCCCCTTCTTGACTATTTCTTTAATAAATATATGTTGTTATGTCTATAACAAGGTATTTCTTCTGAAGATAAGCAATAAATTTTAGATGAAATATGAGTCTCATAATTCACCAGAAAAAAGGAAAAAAATATGAGCATCATAAAATGGTTGTCTCGGGAAAGTGGTTTTTGTTTAACTTTTTATTCTGTAAAGGGGTTGAGTGAGTTATCTGGAGTCTTACTTTCTGTATGTCTTAGGCTTTGTGTAGGTTTGTCTGTGTATACAGTAGTTAACTTTTTTATTTGTTTAGGCATATGAAAAGAAGACTACTCCGAAGTGGCGTTATGACCTGGGTCGAAAGAGGAACTTTGAACAGGTGGGTTTGTATACTTTAGTTGGTCTCTAGTATTTGATGTCTACATAAGATATTCTCTCTAAAAATGATTCTGCAAATTGTTTTGTTTCATGTGTAATATCTGTCTAAATAGGAAGGAACAAGAAGTTTTCTGAAGTGAATCTAAAATGTTATATCCCTGGTTCGAACGTGTTTGGACAATGCTGATTTATTTCATACAATTAGTACTATTTTCCACTGATTAAGTCTGTCAGCTTAAATAAAACTTGATTAATTTCAATCTGAAACTCCAATGTTGTTCATACTTCGTAGTTTAATATCCTGCAAGGTGAAAGTTTTATGTGTATCAGATGAATGGAAAGTTTTTACTTTAGCTTTTTCTATTGTAAGAACTGAGTGCAAACTCTAGAATACCCATATTCCGAGGTAATATCTGTTACAGTGTGTAAGATTCTGCATTACTCTTTTGCTTGGTTCTTTAGTGGAAATCCCAAGTTTATACATAGTAAATCTCTTTTAAGATTCTGCATTGCTCGTGTGTGTAAGATTCTCTTTATGAGGTCATTTATGTGGCTTATTGAAGATATAGGTTTTAGCCTCTTTTTTTGGATGTCTTTGCAGTATCTTGTGTTTCTATGTAATTTACACTATTCTTGCCCTTCTTGTTTTGTAGGTTTTTGGACTGGACAAATGGTATTGGTTCATTCCAAAATATTCAGATGAAGATCTACGAAGGATACCTGCGCTTCAGGGGCTTGAATATCCTTCAAAACCTGAGTTTGATGCTCAAGAGTTTTAGAGATCATGATCATTTGGTTGCTGGAAAAATGGGTTTCTTGTTGCAGCTTCTTTGGAGCACCAGAGGATGATGATTTCAAGTTTAGGATCAATTGATTAGACACGGGTATTTGATCTTGCCATAAATAGTTTGTACTTGTTAACAACACTTTCTGGATTGAAGTCAGATAGATTGGGGGATATGGGGGTCTGGTGCTATCCATCTGCTGGTACCCATTGAAGGGTTAAGGATGATCAATGATGTTGCTGGAATTGAAGGCTTGAAGGCTTGAAGCCCGTGGAACGCAGAAACGCTAGGTACGGTACACGATGATCTCATTTCTAACCTACGTTGTTGTGAATTTGAACTCTGGTCTGTGTAAAATGTAGGAATTTACTTGGTGGATGGAGATGTTATTGTAATATTATTTTTAGAATTCTTAGAAAGTGTAGATAGTCTTTCTAGCTCTCACACGAAACCGACATCTCTTTGTGATTAGTTTGCTGATGCCGGCAAAAGATCAATTACAGCCTGTTGTTAAGACTTGTACTGATGTCTTGTGATAAATTATATGCATTTAATTCCATGCTGAAAGCAATTTCTCTTCATGAGATCTGTCTGACTAATTATTGGGTACAGGGCACTTGATTAGACTACAAAATAATTGTTGAGAGACTTGAATCTTTTTAAGAAATGCTCCAAACTAGTAGTCTCGACAATTCAATTTCTCTGGACGCCAAGTTGATTGATTGCGGAAGAATAAATGTTACAGTGTTATTTTCGTTTAAAAGCTCCTGTAACGAAGCCTATTCATTAGTTTGGCTTCAATCTTCTGCGTTCAAAATCAGAAGTCACTTAAACTTTCTGCTCTTGATTCATAGTGCTATCAATTTCTTCCTATTTTCAAAGAGGGATCAACGGCACCCCCTTTGGCAATCCCAGCAAAGAGCTTAGCAATCTCCAGTTGAGTGTTGGCAATAATCTCAGTTCTCTTGAGGTCCATTTCCCCCCTTCTGGCCTCTGTTTCGGCACGCATCCTCTCTAACTCCCTCATTGTGTCCATTCTGGCTTGCTCTGATCTCACCACAACTTCTGCCAACAGTCTAATGCTGTCTGCAATGGCACAACTTTCCCTTCTGTGCTTCTTCTTTTCTATTCTTATCTTTGTATGTTTCGACTTCAACTTCTCCTTGTCACTGTATATAGCTGGAGTGCTGCTATCCGTCTCAACGGCATCTTTACCAGATTCTGGATTGGAAAAATTGGGAACACCAGCTCCATCTTCCTGTAGTATCAGAGTAAAACCTAGAAAGTTCAGGAAACAGCAAAAGAGCCTAAATGCGATCTCCAAAGTTTTACTATTGATTTACTCAACTTGTTATCTTTATCTCTGATCATTTTTACCATAATTAGCCCATAGCTTTTTAGAAAATATGGGAGAAGGTGAATATTTTGTAATATATATGGAGGCATGTCATGTATGATTTCCTTTATTTTCTTGTTTTGTGTTTCAATGATTCTTTTTTTGAACATGTCTACATCTTGCTGGCTATATGTCTAACAATGATTAAAATGTAGAAACAAGGCCAAAATTATGAGATGGATGTCTACGTGTCTCAAGAAATTCTGAGCCTAACTTGGAATTGTAAACAACATGAATATAGCAGGGACCCAATATATATTCTCTTCTCCATTTTCAAACCAACTAACCTTGACAACTCGTTCACAACCATTGGAATCATGGGAAACTTGTGGATTAATGGTCCCCTGTTGAGCCATAGCTAGTCCAGCGGGAGCTGCTGAGGGATGCTGCTGAGGTGGATCATGGAATACTAATGAAGGGTGGGAAGCAACCGGAGGTGGAAGTGGTGCTGGTGGTGGAGGAGGAGGAGGAGGATGTGATGGTGTTGGTGGAGGATGAGAATTCCCACGTAGCAAGAGATCAAGCCTGGAATACAGCGGCCAGGAGGAGCCGTCAGCAGCGGCAGATTCCGACCTGTACCTCTTCTTCATGGACTCAATCTTGTTCTTGCACTGCGTTTGAGTTTTAGGCAACTTGGTTGAATTTGCTCTTGCTGAGACATGCTTGGCCACATCTTCCCAATCTTGACCTTTGAGTTTTGCTCTGTTTCTAAGTATCCATTTTTCTTCATAGGCTTCAAGAAGACTCGAAACAGCCCCTTCACTCCATTCATCTCTTTTTAGTCTATCACTATTGCCACCACCACCACCACTACCGTTTCCTCCGCCACCACCGGCCGTGGCGGCTACTACCACTGGTGGTTTTCTAGGAGAGTTACTATTATCTTCTCTATCCATCCCTCCTCCTCCTCATGATAGTTTAGTCTGATCAAAGTTTTATCCAGGCTTAGCTTGTTAATTACATGAGATGGAGACTTTCACTAATGATGAAAGAAGGCCACTGGAATCTTTTAGAGGGAGAAAAGGATCATAGGGAGTACTATGCTAGAACGCAAAAACTAGTGGCCGACTAGAGGAGAGGGAAGAAAAAGGAAGAAGAATGAGGGAGAAGAGGCACTAACATTAGTGAGGAAGAAAAGGGAGGGAATGAAATGTGAGAAAAGGGGGAAATAATAGTGATCATAGTGGCAAATCCAAAGAATGCTTTATACTTTGTCAAATGAGCTAATGATAGTGATCTAACCTTTTTTTTCTCACACACTTTCTTTTTGGGCTAGTGTTTTAACCTTTTTCTTTGGTATTGTGTAGTTGGTGTTTTTTTGTGCTATTCTTTCTTTCTAGCTTTCCTGGTTGTGGTGTTTTGAGAGTATTTTTTTTGGCTGTTAGCGTTGATATGAAGCCAACCATGACATCCACCGATGGCAGTAGTGGTCACGGGTCAGAATGTTGAGAGGGGCTGTTTTTCAACATGCATATCGTACATATACTGATAGATCAATACAGGGAATTGTAACTGTTTAACTCAAGTCACTCAACTTTCGTAATTAGTAGTGTAACGGTTGTAATGATAAGGTTTTACGAGTTTTAGAGCAACATAGGCAGTTTGAAAGAGTATCTGATCTGCATGTGGTGTATGTGAGAATTGGAAGAATATTGTAAAATCATCATCCCTTTCAAAAGAAACATTGATGTTCGATTGATGGTCGGAACTTTGAACTTGGGAAGGGAACAAAAGAAGATTGAGCCGTGTACTGAACATGTTTTTGGAGAGGTAAATAGTTCATCACTGCCATGATGAGGTGCAAGTCAAATTCACAAAAAAAGGCATCAAAATGAATAATAAAGTGCTATTCCAACAATTCGATAATGGAAATCTTGAAGAGTAACCAATCGTGGAGGGCCTCTTGTAAATGGGGGATTGGACTCTACAGAATCCCACCCTTTTTCCTCACTACCAATTCTCTGCTATTTGACCATCTAACTTTTTACCTATGCCTTTCTGCTTTTCCGTCTATGTGCCTTTTTTTGGGGTGATCCTCTTGTTTTGGTGTGCTGTTCCATAACCAGAGAAACAAACCAACCTAAACGAGCCGCCGAATTTGCCTGCTTCATCCTTTCATATCTTGGCCAAATTCCAAGTTTTAATTTTGTTGGCAGCCTATTACTAGTCTAGGGTAGGAAGATAAAACATGGACAAAGAACTTATGGAATGCAAGTGGCTACACGTTTTCATTATATTACTCCCTCCGTCCCAAAACTGTTGTCCCGTTTGAGCTTTCATTTTTAGTTCAATTTATACTGAAAATGAAAATCAAAACTGGACAATAATTTCAGGACGGAGGGAGTGTATGTTTGTAATTTTCCCTATTTTATCTTTCTTTTCCTTTTCCCTATTGATAAGCAGCAGGTTGATGCTTTTCATAATCAACAAATCATGCCTATAGTAGTCTCAAGAAATTGACGAACCTACTGAACATTATAGAATCATGATTTTGTTGTCCATCAATTCAGTTCTGGATACTCACAAGAATAGTTGTAGTAACACATGAGAGCTAAATTACAAAAGTGGCTGATCAGTTTCTTTTAGCATCTGAAAGATTTTAATACCATATTCACACATTTTGTACCGTGAAAAGCATTAAGGTGTCTTCGTTGGGCATTCCATCTTATGAAAAATCAGCGATGAACTCTAGTCCTGCTTGCGGTAGTCCTTTAGCAGGACAATGGCACTTGTTGAAAACCAACCAGTTAGAAATATGATCAGAACTGTAAAGAAAAACCCAATTGGAGATCCAATCCATGCCCCTTCCCAGGAAAAGCCCGATTCCTTAGCTTCCTGATTCTGAGTAGTTGGCGGAGATGGTTTCTCAGATGGACATGGTACCTGGATAGCAAAATTATTCTTATCGCTCATTGTATCCATTTGCATACCCTTCCATCTTAGTGTAATCATATGAGAAAAAAATATCCAAATAAGAGTGATTTATTACTAGATTATTATATCATCAAATAATAACCGTAAAAATGGTGCAACACCTTACTGACTTTGTTGAAATTAAGAAACCAAAAAGAAAATGGTGGCAACACCTTTTTTTTCAAAAAAAAAAAAAAGTAAAATTTCCGAAGCCGTCGAATTTTACGTTGGTTAATTTACCTCGACAAAATAGTCGACGAGATGCATACTTTTAGTCAATTGGTATAATAAATGGTTAATATCCCAACTCATTGATCAACCGCGGGACTGTGGCACAGAAGAACCAGTCTTGGTTCGTTTGTACATAGCTTTCGAGGAAAGTCTTAAAGAATCGTTTCCTCTTTGGCATTTATCCTTACCAGTGTTTTACATAAAAGAAACTGCCAAATGATGCCTTTAAAGCATATATCAACGACATAGTTGATCAAGTCTGAAGTTGAAATATACACAGTGTGATGAGTTCTCATCACTGGGAATGACAAAAAATCACTCGTATTTTACTTTACCAGAGAAGATCGTTTATAATTTACTAGGAAAAAGCGTATAGCATTTAGCAGACAAAATTGATGAACTTGAGGGACTGAAAACTGCGTCCTCGCAAATGTGAGAGGCTGAAAGGAATCCACTGGTTAAAATCTGGGGGGCATGGAAAATCTATTATTGAACTGTTTACTTAAAAAAAAGGGTCGAACTATTGAACGCCCTTATTTTTTCATTTGAGCGCCCGCGAAAGACCAACACGCTCCTGAAAATGGAGGTATGTTTTTTTTTTTCGGGAAAATGGGGGGGTGGCGAGGGAGAAACGCGCCAGCCATTAACGGCTGGCGCTGAAGAAACACGCCATCCCCAAAGGGGATGGCGTGCAATAAGCTCGCCTCTCCTTACAGGGGAGGCGAGGCAAGCCTTCGCCAATGGCGAAGGCGGTGGCGCCATATTCGGCGCCACCTCTATCATGGTTGGCGAGCAAATGCTCGCCAACCGTCAGAGCAGGGCGCCCAAACGGCGCCAACCAATTTTTTTTTAAATTTTTAATATATTTAATATTTATTAGTTTAAAAATTATTATTATTAGTTTAATAAATTTAATTAATTCATGTATTTAGTTTATTTGAGTATTTATTTTGTAGTTTAATATATGTTTAGAAAATTAGGGTTTATGTTAGATATTTAGAGAATGTTTTTTAATTACGTATACTGTTATATGTTAATTACGTTGTATGCTCGTAAGAAATACTTTGTTTCTTGTTAAATGGGTATTTAGGTTGTATGTTAATGCGTATAGTTGTTAGGGATTAGAATATTTGTTAAAATAATGAGTTTTGATTAATAATATTTTTAATTAGTTATTAGTATATATTAATTATCTCTAAAGTAAAAGATCATTATATCGGATTCTATAACAATGTTTACTCATATGAAATTAATTGTGGTTTAACAATGTTAGAGTTAACTTAAGTTATGATATAATTTGTTTTTAATGTATGCAGAATAGTTTTGATCAGGGGGATGGAATCGATTATAGTGCGGCTCTTGCTACAGACGAGACTTTCTCAACGAACACGGAAGCTATTGAATATGCGAAGGGTATTGCGAACATCTACAATATGGTGTTAAGTATATCCTCGCATAAGGGTAATAGTACTATACTCCTTTGTCATAAAGGGGGGCGGTACCAAGGTGAACAGGTGGATGAAAACGTGCGGGCCCGAGCTAATACAAAGACACGAGATGACCGGATGCAGCCAGATTACTACTTACAAGATGTATGATAGGTGGGCAATCCGTGTATATCCAGTCCGTGGGAATGCACAACCATTCATTGAAAGATCCACCTCGAGTCGGAGGCCATTGAGTCAAGTAAAAGAGCTTATTAAAGAGTACTCCAAATGGGGACTAAGGCAGTCCACATTTTACGGGCGATATGGACACAATTTCCCGATGAAAATGTAACCGCTAAACAAGTCTACAACTACGAAATTTTTGCGTAAGGCGGGGTTTCCAATTCTAGATGACACATGCGCCATGGACGTAGTGGGAAAGGTGTTAGAGGTCGCAACAAAGACAAATACATCATCTTCACGGAGTGCGATGAAGAGACACAGAGGTTATCCCACGTCTTTTCGCACATCCGGATTCTTTGTTGTTATTGCGGACGTATCCTTGGGTTGTTTGTGTAGATTCCACATACAACACAAACAAATATAAACCGCCTCTTGTGGAGTTTGTTGGAATGACCCCTTGCAATCGACATTCCTCATAGCATATGCCATTCTCGAGTGATGAGACAGGGACAGCTACCATTGGGCCTGTGGCAGCTCCAGTAACTTGTATGGCGAAGATATGCATCCGAGTGTCATCGTGATCGATCGCGAACTGGGACTGATGAGGCCTCTTGATGATGTATTTCCATCTTCACATCACTTATTGTGTACGTGGCATGTTTACGGGGATGTTGAAAGAAATGTGAAAAGAATTTTTAATGGAAATGCTCATACAAAGAAAAAGTTTCGCGTATAATGCCTTCAAAGCGTTGATCGAAGCTGAAACCGAGACGCATACGAAGAAAGAGTGCAGTTTCGGAGCATAATTGGATCCAATTTCGTGCCGTTCTACAAGATGTTAAGAACACATGGTTAGTGGTGGCGCACAAGTTTGTGCGTGCATGGACCAACACTTATTTACATTTTGGCAACACCACTACCTGTAGAGTGGAGAGCGCACACAAGTTGTTAAAGGAATGGCTCGTCATTCCAAATGCTTCTTTTGAAACGGTGTGGCACAGGGGTTCACATGTTCTGGAGACACACTTACGCAAATAAGGTACAGCTGTTGATCCCTTTTAGTTAATTTGTGTGTTTAGGTTGTTTAATTAATTTTTTGAATTCCCGTACAGGAGAAATTGCAAGAATCAAGGCGAGAAAATAGGAGGCAACACAACAAGTACCCTTTCTACCAATTAAGATGCAATGTTTCACACCACTTGCTTGGATCTTTTGAAAATGAATTAGAAAGGATGCAACAACTCGGAGATGATGTATATTGGGAATGCAATCATTACTCGAAACAAACTCATTCCATCCCTTGTGCATGTATACTTAAGCGTGTAATGGAGGCCAACGATATTTTAACTCCAAAATACTTACACCAATTTTGGAGCACACTTGACATCGGTGAGGTTACAGAGAAGGATGGTTCGGATGATGTTCCTCCTCGCGATTGTTGTTCAGCCGCTTAGTGGAAGAATTGAACGCCGCCGATGAGCCTATACAGCGCGAGATCACCAGATTGATGTACAACAAACTCCACCCGGCCAAGCAGATTAAATGAACCGCGGGTTAGAAAGAGAGGCAAGGCACCAAGAAGAGGGCATCTCTAAAAAAGGCAAGACAAACCGAATGTGTGGGCATACAGGACGGCAATCGTGGTGGCACGAATACCACGGTTCCAGTAAATCGGGACAAACACCCATAGTTCCAGTAGAGGGCATACGTCGGGAGTCGAAGATCGAACAGAGGTCCGATATTACTTTCTCTTTTTAAATGTGTGATAAATTATTTTACTTTGTTACTTACCCATGCTACAACAGTCCATGGATGGGCAAGGTGAGACGAACAAAGCAGCGAGCCCAAAAGAGGCAACAGTCGGGTTCGAACCACATGTCGGAGGTAAGTTTATAATTTATATTGTAATACATAATTCGACTTAATTACTAATACATAATTCGAAATAATGATATTATTTTACGTGGTTAAAGATGTTATGCAGATGATTTTTTCCAGTTTAGCCACAAGAATAGGATTCCGCAGTACTCCACAATCATGTTCATCATATCTTGATGTCGAGCTGACGGCAATTGTGGTTTCCGTGTCTTTGCGAGTTGCATGTTGGGCGGGCGTAATAATCACATTTTGTGCAGACAGATATGTTATGATGAGGTTATAAATAACCCCGGCCTATATGGGAACATTTGCGGGTATGCAACCAGTTTAATGTTGGTGAGCAATTGTCTTACTTATATTTTTAAAAAACTTTCATACCCGTGTCTTTGTGTAGGTGGGACGGATGGGCCGAGAGCCTAGAGCGTATACGGTGGACAGCACCGCATTAGGTCACCGGATGTCGACAGATGACTTTTATCCCTCGCTACATATTTCAATGCGTTGTGTACTACTTCATCCATGGTGCTGAAAATCTAAACGGCTCATGTTGGACTCGTGCTACCACCGAGCGCACGAGGCGGGGCAACAAGACTGAGTTCCAGATAGTTATTTGCCACCTCAATCCTTACCAACACTTCATTCGACTCAATCTACAGGGTGATTTCCCGATTCCCCCATTCACCTCGGTTGGAGGCATGATCGTGATAGTAGTGTTATTGGTTGGGATGAACCTTTGAGTCCAGGACTACAGCTATGGCGAACTTTGGTACCTCGGATAAGACCCACACAGCATTTGAAGATCAGGGTGATCTTTTGTGTATATATATATATATATATATATATATATATATATTTTTTTTTTTTTGGAAATTGAAGCACAGATGGTGACGTAAATTAAAATTTAAATTGCAAACAAACATAAGTGCATATTGTTCATAAGTACGTAATCATTGCATAATTGTACGTAATCATCATAAGTAGAATGTCATGGGGCTCGACTGCACGGAAGATGACATCATCCAGCGAGTATCCCACTTCTCACCTACACCCACATCGAGCTTCTTCAAATCATCGATGCAACCTCGAGTCAACTTCTCCACTCACGCATCCACTACAAATGTTAAATCAAACCAAATTAATCCCTTAATGATAGTACATGTATTATTACACAATGGGTAATTTTGTTAGAGTTGAACTTACGTATGTGGTGCAGTTCTTCCCTGGGATGCGTGATGTAGACTGTACGGACTCCGGCAGTAAAAATGGATGTGAATGGCTCCTGTACGGTCGAGGTAATCTACAGTGCTGTCCTACCTCGGTGGACGATACCGGCACACAATGACCGAGGCCGATGCACTCCGACTCGGAAATCTTACCCAACAGCTACATGTCTCGGCACTAGGACGCTCAACAAAATACTTGTGCGCATTTCTCCCGCGAAACTGAGTAACCGGTGTGAGCGGCGCACGAGGTATGTACTGCACATAACCGAGCCGGCGTAGCACTCTCTCCGGCATGTATGGCTCCCGGAAGTCGTGGTACATAATCCACCCACCGAAGATGGTCCTGGGATGTGCTGCACTGATCGCGACCAAATGGCTCCCATTCGACCTGCAAACGTTAGCAACATTTATTATAGTGTAAAAAAATAAATACCCCTTATGCAATATACGGAAATGAAATATAAAGTGTACCTCTTGCTCAGTCATCGCGTCGAGCTGCGTACGAATCTGCTGGAGACGACTATGAATAGGCCTCGGCCCCTTATAGCTAACAGGGGTCCAGTCTCGGGCTCTGGGCCAACCAACAACACCTCGACGTCCTCGCCTCTTGGAGGGCTGGAAGCATGGAAAATACTCATATATCCATGCCTGGAGAAGGGTCATACAACCAGCCATCGTGGTACACCCCGCTCGACTAGCAATACCAAGCTGACGGTAGAGGAATGCTAGTGTACCGGATCCCTAGGAGTACTCTCCAATATTGTCAATACCTCCGTGCAGTTCAGTCATAAGCGAAGCACCGATCCCGCCCCACTCCGTCAAGGAAGAGTGTCGAGGCTAACAAGATCCACACCCAAGCTTGCACCTGAACAGCGGGGAGGACCCTACGACAACACTCCTCAATCAATATGTCGCTCACACCTCCGTGGCTCCATGCACGCTTTAACTCAGCCAACGACATCCCAAGCAATCCTGCGACTGCATCTTCAAAATCTCACCTTCCGCATGTTGGATCAACAAGTCACCATCAAGGGAATCGCCAAAATGTGTGCCACATCATGCATCATAATGGTCATCTCCCAAACGGCAAGTGGAAAGAGTTTGTGTCGGCCGCCACCTCTCTATGAAGCGAAACAAGCGCAAGGTCAATGTCATCATACATGGTATCAATGAGATGATACAAACCGGTATCTTGAATCCGCAATCGTGCGTTCTCCTGACCTCGCATACCATCCATGCAATCTAGACAAACTCTTCTTCGCTGGCTTAATGGTAAGGTAATCTCGTGGTGCTCCATTCCACAACTGATAAGCAGTGTGTCCAAGAAAACTAGGAATCACTGACCCATCACATGGCCCGCCAGGTACGTCGTCTGTCACAACCCAATCATCAATTTCTTCGGTAGAAACCTTAGACCGTCTACTAGTACCTGAAACCCGAATAACGAATAGTGTATAAATACTTTATCGAATACAATTAAGAAATTGACCAAACAGTAATGAATGCTTAAATTATTACAAATACGTACCTGATGACGATGCATGCTGAAGAGTAGTACTCTGACCTCGCCCAAGAGTACTCTGTAGACCGGGACGAACACTGGAACCACCAGGAGTGTAAGCTGAATTCAGGGCCGATAATCCAACAAGGGTCTTCCCCCCCCCCCGGGTAGGGTGAACTAGAGTCTGATCAACAGTACGACCAATGGGGTTCAGTACTGAGGTATCTCCAATCCGTATATCCCTCCTCTCATACGAGGAAAACGAGGATGTGTATCCTCCTCAGCCACATCGTCCCCCCCACTCTCATAACTATCCTCTGCTGAATCCTCTCCTCAAAATCATCATCATCATCGTCTACGTTGGTGACTCACCAACCGGGCCAAACGTAGGATGTACATTTTCACTTTCTTTAACTTTTTTCTTTTTCGCTCGATGTTCGGCATACAGATTGCGCGTAATCGCATGCCGATGCCTGCATCCCGAAGAGGCGATATCCCATCCTACAACAGCTTCAAATTTTACACGTAACTTAGATTAATTAGTTTAATACGTTTTATATTATTCAAATATGTAATTATAATATTATCTACTCTACACCTAAAGTGTTCAATTTATTAATAATATCTACATATTTATTTTTTCTTACAACTACATAAATATTTCTTATTAACCCTAATTATCTACTAACCTCCTGTATTTTTTTAATTATAACTTATTTATTTAATTTTTCTATACTAAATATTTAATTTTTTAGCCTAATTACAATTATACCGACTAATCCAATAAATATATTTTCTATAATTATATTAATTATAATAACTTTCATAATAATCCAATTTAATTTACAAACCGTTAAACTCCCTAAAAATACAATTAAATTCCTAAAACTATAAAAGTATTATAACTATTCTATTTACTGAAGATTAAACCTATACTAAATTAAAATTACAATTGAATTCCAAAATAAATTAAACTAATAAAAATAACTAATTAATTTCACTAATAACAAATAATTAAACTAAATTTCATAAGACAAACATTTACTAATAGTAACAATTAAATAATAATTAAATATAAATATAAATATAAATATAAATTAATTAACAAAAAAAAAAAAAAAAACCGGCCAGCGCCGGTTTTTCTCGCCAGGCTCAACCGGCCTGGCGAGAATATTCTTCGCCACCCCATCTTCCGGTGGCGAAGAAACCGGCGCCTCCACTGCCCCGGCCGGCGAGGGAGAACCGCGGCGGGGCAAACAGAGCTGGCGCCCAGATCTGCGCCAGCTCTGTAAGGAGTGGCGAAGATTTTTGCGCCACTCCTTACAGAGCTGGCGCAGATCTGTGCGCCAGCTCTGTTTGCCCCGGCGCGGTTCTCCCTCGCCGGACGGGGCAGTGGAGTTTTTTTTTTTTTTTTCAAAATAAACTTTAAAACAATTCAAATTCAAATTTACGTACCTTTAGTTTGCGTAGCTCATTTCGTAGCCGTTTAATTCGATCCCCCATTAAATTTAAGATTTTTAGGTATTTAGATTGAGAGAATTTGAAATGAAAGATTGATTTAGGAATTGAAAGAATGAAATTGAAACTCTTTATTTATAAATTCATGTAAAGGGCAAAATGATCATTTGGTATTTATTTAGGGCGTTGAAGGGAGATTTTTAGGGCGTTTAACAGCCTGCCAGAAAAAAAAAAGAAGAAAAGAAATAAAGTAAATATCTGAGGTGGTGGACGCGATCAAGCCAAATGTACTACCATTATTGAAAGCATGTAAAAAGCAGTAGAAGAAAGAGCAGAACAGTGAAACTGAAATTAGTGGAAAGAAGAAGAGAATAAGATGGAGGAGGAGGAGAAAGGAAGAGTATGTGTTACCGGCGGAACTGGATTTGTGGGATCTTGGTTGATCAAAAGGCTCCTTGAAGATGGTTACATTGTGAACACTACTATTAGGTCCTCTTCAACTCCTGCAGGTTTGTTGATGTATTCTAATTTCTGTAGTAGTACTTTCTCTATCCTGTAAAAATCAACCGCTTCAAATTCGTTCAATAAACACGACTCTTATATATCGCGACGGATCCAACTAAAGTATTCTGTTTTACTGATGAATATCACTAGAGGTCGCTGTGTGCTGTGATTAAGTGAAAATTTAGTACTACTAGCTCAAATTTAGTTCTACTGTTATACTTCCTCCGTCCCAAAATTATTGTCCAGTTTGGAATTTCACTTTTAGTACAAATTGTACTAGAAATGAAAATTGGACAATAATTTTGGGACGGAGGTAGTATATCTTGCATGTCTTGCTATCTATGTACTAAGAAAGAAAAACTCTGAATCAGCTTATGTTTCAAGTTCACTTTTATTTTCCGGGTGTAAATCCTTCTGTCTGGTTCATGAGTTTTAGTTTTGTAATGTTCTTTTAGGCACGATGTATTTCCTACGTACGTCCCATGGAACATTCTGGTTTCTCGTGTTAATTTAGCTCGATATTTACTACATGGATATCACCTGTATCAAAGTAATGACTCCTGAAACTGAATTTGCCAGATAGGAAACATATTAGCTACCTCACTGATCTACCAGGAGCAACGGAAAGACTGCAGATTTTCAATGCAGATCTCAGTAAACCAGAAAGCTTTGCGCCTGCGGTTGAAGGATGTATTGGAGTCTTTCATGTTGCTCATCCAATAGATTTTGAAGGCAGAGAAACTGAGGAAGCTCAGATAAAAAAATCAGTTGATGGAACCATAGGGATTTTACAAGCATGTCTGAATTCCAAGACAGTGAGGCGAGTTGTGTATACTTCCAGCGCCGCAACCGTCATTCACACCGACAAGGATCTTGATGTAGTGGATGAAAACATATGGAGCGATGTTGATTATATCCGCAAAAATCTTTCTCATTTCCGGTTCGCTACTTATTCCATCACCAAGGTTCTCACAGAGAAAGCTGCACTGGATTTTGGTGAAAAGAGTGGCCTAGATCTTGTTAGCATTATTCCTACTTGGGTACATGGACCCTTCCTCTGTCCTTTTTTGCCTGGTTCAGTGTTGCCATCCATGTCCTTGATCTTTGGTGAGTCTTCTTTTATGGTTTTTTTCTACTTGAAAAACTATTAGTCTAACAAACATGACTTTGATTTTTAGATGGAGGGAGTGTTTATTTCAAGTCTCTTCAGCTTGTTTGTTAGCTAGGTCTCGCTGAACTGTGCTTCTTGACGTGTTTAGCTTGAGACTTGCTAACCATATAAGCTGATCATTTCATAATTTGTGAAAAAGCGATTGTTAATACGCAGGTAATCAAGAGCATTACAGTAGTCTTTTAAGAATCTGTTTTGTGCATACTGATGATCTGGCCAGGGCTCACATCTTTCTGTTTGAGAATCCTGAAGCCAAAGGAAGGTACATTTGTTCTGCCGTTGAGATGACAATTGATAAATTGGCAGAATGTTTATCAGCCAAATATCCGGAGTATCCGATACCGACTGTCGAGTAAGTTGAGCATTGTCATCATTCTGCTTTTATGACATTTGAATGCTAAACAAGAGCAAAACGAATGATGGAAATATTGACCAATTCTATCTTCAGTTCCTTGAAGGGAATTACAGGGTTCAGAAGTGTTGGCGTTTCATCGAAGAAACTGTTGGATTTGGGATTCAACTACAATTATGGCATTGAAGAAATGTTTGATGATGCAATCAAATGCTGCAAAGAAAAGGGTTTCCTATGATTCTTGCAATAACATTTGAATCCTAGTCGTTTGAAGGGCTCTTAGTGGCACTAAGATAGATACTTTATATTTCACATTTGCAAATTCTTAAATGCTCAGCTGAATGGATTGTCATTTGGATGATTTGGTCTCTCATAATACAAAAACATGAAAATGCTGTATCTACATTACAAAATTTTAGATGATGCACTGAGGAAAAGGAAGACGATGGAATTGCATCCTCTTGGCAGCTAGGCAACTACATTTGTTCATGGATTTTTAAAACCTAATTTCCAATATTGACCAAGTAAGCATAACATGCAGTTTAAAAACGTGCAGCTGACAGCAAACAAAGAGAGTTACCTGAAGTACTTTGGTAGGACGATCTGAATGTTAGGCAAAGAAAAGTGTAACAAATTTGATAATGCAAAGCAAATTGTACAACAAATTTTAGACAATGCAGAGTTGACGAGGAATTTTTGGTGCATTCCCTGCCAATGTCATCAATTAACATTACAGATTCAGATTTTATGGACGCTTAAATCAACCACGATACACAAACTACAATTACGGTTTATGGGATGAGATCCCATTGGTTCAAATCTGATCCAAAAGGACTAAAAATCGAAAAGCTTGAAATTGCCAATAACGTTTGCTAGCTCCAGGAGTTTTGGACATTGCACTTGTCAGGCTATTCAAGAGCAAGACAGTTTCATTCACACTGAGGCCGACAGAGGAAGCGCCGCCATTCAGAAGTAAAATTGAATTCAGCCCATTTTGGACTTCGATGATTGTTCCTCATAAGTTCATCAGAGACATGGCTACTGGACTTTAAACAAAAAAATTAAGTAGGCAGTAGGTAGTATGATTACCAGAAAGGAAAGAATGTTGTTTTGGAAATACTGTCTGAACGGACCGGACCGTTTTGTCTAGGCCTTTTTAACAACTTGGGTTCAAAAAGTCCTTGAACTTGCCACAATAATCTGCTCAAATGAAATCTATCACTACCCTTCGGTTAATATGTAGATTCACTATCACCCACTTGTCTCTCCCCCTCTCCAAAAATCATTGAGGTACCCAACAAAATTTTACTCATTCCATCTTAAACAAAATTGGGATGAACGAAAAAAACTACAATAAACACTAGGTAGAATTGGGACATTACTGTGGGCCAACACAAAAAATGTCAAAAGGTATCTCTCTGCCTTAATCTTTCCTCCTTTAACTTGTGTGTTTGTTTTTCAGTCATTAGAAGGCTTGAAGGGAGTGGACAGCCACAATGCCATATGGAAGGATTTAAACAAATCGACCCCAAATAGAAAAAAAATTCTCGAATGAGATTGCCACATTGACATCACTACCTACACATTGGAGTACTAATTTTTACAATGTAGTCAATTACCAAGGCCATAGTTTTCTAGAATTTCTAAAAAAGTGTTTCTTTCCGATAAATTTTTAGAATCGTTCAACACCCAATTTCACATACTCATAATCAATCACCAATGTTAAATGTAAAGAAAATGGTAAACCTGATCAATTGCATACCTTCTGAATTTCAATGTGATCTAATTTATTATGCAATCTCATGGAGATTAAAAATGGAAGTATGTATTTAAAAACTTGGGAGGAAAAAAATAAATTAGTAACGGAAATACCATAAACTGAAGGGGTTAGAAAACGAAATAGATAGAAAATACGAACCGATACAAAAATCACCAGTGGAGGGAGTGCTTTATGCGTCCCCACTAACAAAATATTGCATTACCATAACTTTGGTGTTCTGTTCTAACAACAGCGTAACCAACTTCTTTCCCCCTTCTTTGGTGATTCTTGCCTTGTCTTTTTTCTCTGAGCTAAGCGGAGACAGAATCTCTCGCCTGCAAAAACGCGATTTCTAAACCGACTCCCATTTTTTTTCCCCCCATTTCTTCTCTCCTCCTTCTTTCTCACTCTTTTCCTTTCTAGTCTAGGGGCGTAATTTGTTTGATACAGGCAAAAGGAAGCTTCTCAATTTTTAATGCGACGAATCGATTGACAGACGGAAAATTTCCAATTTCGCCGGTCTGAATGTCGTTTTCCGACTCCGACGTGTCCTCTCATGGCGGAGAGTACAAGAATTTCCGTCAAATCAGCCGTGATCGTAATTACTACTCACCTCTATCTCTCACGCACATGCACACTTGATACGTTCTTTTTGTAATTTGGTGTCTAAATCTAATGAATCCAAGATATAGTAGTGAATGCATCGCGTATATGCTGTTCATTTTTCTCCTTCTGGCTTGCATAAATTTGTGCAAATATTTAGGATTATCATGGGTGTTTGATACCACACGATTCTCGCAGAAATTAGTCTATTCATTTAGGTGTACCATTGCAGTTTAACACAGCAGGATTTTTAACGTTGGTGATAAACATTCGTTATCACCTTTCCAATTTGCAACAATGCGGTTTAGGATGTATAATTTAGTCACAATTTGGTGCCACTTTAAAGTGAGATAGGAACTGGATACCAATTGAGAAAGCCAGAATTAAAAGAAATGTGACAACAACTCTGCACTAGACTTCAGAGTGATATAGTACATCTGTCTTGTTGTCTGGTACACTATTGCACTAGTTTTCGAGACTTCGACAACAGTTGCTTTCATTTTATTTATTTATTTATTATTATTATTATTATTATTTTTGTGTTGTGAACATGCATAGTTGTGGCTCATAAGGAGAAAATGCACCTATTTTGTGGTGATTTTGTTCTGACATGGAACCCATGACTTCTTTTTTGCGATCTTCTTGTGTAGGGCTATTGTATGAGATGCTTCGTGCATCCAAGTCAGATGATACAAGATCATCTTGGAAGGTAGACTTTGTCACCATTTCATATTTGAATCGTCTTGAAATGCAGTATTTATTTGCTTCCTGAAGAGAACCTCTTTTGCTTAGATAGTAGAAACCATTTGTAAGGGCATGACCTGTTCTCGAAGAGATTTGTTAATGTCGGCTAAGATGAGATTTGTTAAAAAAAAGTTACAAAATACTCTCAGGTTGATTTTAAGTTACAAAAGCATCTGAATTTGGGAACCACCATTTTCTTATTACCATTTTGTAGCCAATGTTTTAACAACATAAAACTTGTAGGGAACATGAAAAGTGATTTTTAAAGAAGTTGTAAGGCCACGTTTCATGAGGCTGTGAAAATCATCTGCTGTATGATACATTTGTCACTTACCTAGTATTCAAACAACTAGGATGATTCAGAAGGAGATGATGAATATCTCTAATATGTTTTCTGAACTGAGCAGAACTGTAACAAGATATTAGCTGGAAATTTTATCTTTGTCCTAACAAGGGTATGCTTTCTTCAGGTTCTTATCATGGATAAAGTTACAGTGAAGGTCATGTCTGCGTCATGCAAAATGGCAGACATCACCGATCAAGGAGTTTCATGTAAGAAATTTATTATTTTATTCAGAAGCTTAGACGTACTTGTGAATTTTAAGGTTTCTTCTCTCTTTTTTTGATGCATGGAAAATTCGGCTTCAACATGTCGTAGAATTTTGATTCTCTATATTGAAAGTCTGCAGTGCAATTCATGAGTTCTCGGGCTCTTAAGTTTTTGGTCAAGTTGTAAACGTTTTATTCTCCTTGCCTTTGTTTAGATTGTGATTTTGGAATCTCCTCCTCAACATTTCTGGTTTACATGGATACCTTTGGACCTATCATCGTATAATACTTTGTTTTTGCTCTTCTATGATATTCTCAGAATCACCCATCTATGTTTCTCTTATTGGCAGTGGTAGAAGATATTTTCAGACGACGAGAACCTCTGCCGTCTTTAGATGCCGTATACTTCATTCAGCCTTCAAAGGAAAAGTATGATTTCTTTAGTGTAGTCAAAGTTTCTCATTGTCCTTTTTTTTTCACCCTTTTCCTTGGAGAAATCCTGTGTTGGGGACTGATTGGTTCAACAGGATATTACAATGGGACTTATTTATTTTTGTAATGATTGTGTTTGTTCATGTGTTTATTTACAGTCACAAAACTTAGGTGCAGAATTTCATTTGTTTTTTCTCGTAGCTGAATGTTATTTCTTTGCAATGTTTTCGGTTCAATTTTTAGGACATCTTTTTCCCCCCTTGTTCTCTTACAAGTGAATTGCAAGCAAACAGGGAACTAACCATTATAATAATTTTGCAGCGTGGTCTTGTTCTTATCAGACATGTCAGGAAGAGAACCTTTGTATAAGAAGTATGTGAAAGACGGCATTTGAGAAATTGATTTTTAAAATTCTTTGGAAAACCTTGAAATCAGTTCTTTACTAGTATTTTTAATTCTCCAATATTCTTGTTCTTTTTCTTGTTTTCTTGCAGAGCATATGTATACTTCAGTTCGCCAGTAGCAAAGGATTTGGTTGCTCGTATCAAGAATGACTCTAGTGTGCTGCCACGCATTGGCGCTCTGCGTGAGGTTAGTAAAGTTTTGCTGTCTCAAATTGAAATTTTTAAGTACAAATGCAATTTACGCCTCATCTTTCTTGAATGACTCATTATTTGTTGGTGCTTTGTAGATGAATTTGGAGTACTTCCCTATAGATAACCAGGTACTTTTTGTTATACTAATTGATTTTCCTTAGTTGTTTGGCTTTGCAACACTGAATCAAGTTCTTAAGCATATCAACTTTTTGGATCCTAATTACTATGAAAGCTAAATTGCAAAACTGATGATTTAGAATAATTTTACTTAACAGTCCTAGTTCCAGGTGCAGCGTGCTAGTTCTGAATTAATTTTGTTTGGGCTACTCTAAATTAAAACTTTACCATCAATGTTCAGCAACTATTTCTGGTCCGATGCCAATTTTCTAGCTGAGATACCCTGCATAATTTGCTACTATCGAAGTTTTCATTGTAGGCTTTCATCACTGATCATGAGAGGGCGCTTGAAGATCTATTTGGTGAAAATGCTGAAAGTTCTCGAAGATTTGATGCTTGTTTAAATGAAGTGGCAAAAAGAATGGCTACAGTGTTTGCTTCACTGAAGGTACCATTTTTTTGCTGATTCGCTAATTTCTTATCAACTTAAGAGCTCTGGAAGAAAATTATGCCTTTTCTAGATGCCGTTGACATGCTATTTCTGTTTTTGTTCATTTTCAGGAATTCCCTGTTGTGCGATATCGAGCTGTAAAGGGGCTTGATTCATCAACAGTAATTTCACCACGTCAGTTACTTCCTACAAAGCTTGCTGCTGCTGTATGGAATGTGATATCAACTTATAAAAGTTCTATTCCTAATTATCCCAAAAAAGAAACATGTGAACTGCTGATTTTGGATAGATCTGTTGACCTGGTGATTATCATCATTTCGATGTCCAACCTATAGTTGAGTATCCTTTTCTGGCATTTTTTAGTAATCAAGAAATACTATCCATGCAGATTGCTCCTGTCATTCACGAGTGGACTTATGATTCTATGATCCATGATCTACTTGACTTGGATGGAAATAAATATGTATACGAGGTACTGATTTCTTGATTGCAGGGTCCATACGATTAGTTAACCCCTCATAGTCGGAAAAAGGCTTTGTTGTGCTTGTTATTGTTGTTGCTCCTGGATATTCACAGGCTGGTGTTTCAGGTTTCTAGTAAATCTGGTGGGCAACCTGAGAAGAAAGAAGCCCTTTTGGAGGATCATGATCCTGTTTGGCTCGAGTTACGCCATGCCCATATAGCAGATGTATGTGCCAGTTTCATCTTTTTTTTTTTTTTTTGGAGCATGCCATTTATATGAATCTCACTCAAGAGGTTATCAGGCTAGCGAACGGCTGCACGACAAGATGACAAATTTTGTTTCAAAGAATAAAGCAGCTCAGTTGCAACAGAGGTTGGTGAGACTGATCTCTAATCATGTGACTCTTCTCCCGTTTCACTGCTAGTATGCCTAATGTTTTCCTTTGCCTCTTGAAGATATTCACTTTTGTGTTGATTGCCAAGTTTACTTCTCATTTCAGTTGTTATCACGGTGTTGACTCTTTTCTTGCTCATGCGTCCATTTTACGGCCGTATTCTTAATATAGTAGAAGTAACATTATAATTCTAGAGATGACATTGAATTTAATCCAAGTAAACCGGACACCATATTAAGCTATCTTTCACTCATATTCTCTGTTTTCTCGTTGCTTGTGATGCAGAGATGGTAGTGAATTATCTACAAGGGACATGCAGAAAATGGTTCAAGCTTTACCACAATACAATGAGCAAATGGAGAAACTCACCCTTCATGTTGAGGTTTAAACTCATATCTTTCTGCTCATAAATTGAGACTTGGCCGTATGAAAGATTTTTTGTTGTATAAGAAATTTTTGTTCTAATTTGGCTTCCCTTAAAGTATAATTGTATGACGATCAAATTTACAATGTGCAAAGCAAGAGTCCGTGATCAATGAATTTCATAATCAGATTGCTGGAAAAATCAACACACTTATAAGGGATATGGGGCTGCGTGATCTGGGACAACTTGAGCAGGACCTAGTTTTTGGGGATGCTGGAACAAAGGAAGTTATTAATTTCTTTCGGACAAAGCAGGTTATAAGCTTTTGTGTGCTTTCACAAATAACTTTCATTATGTGTAAGCCAGTTTTTACTAGAGTAGTTCAACTTTATTTCCTTGCATAGGATGCATCATCTGAAAACAAGCTGCGCCTGATGATGATATATGCATCTGTTTATCCTGAGAAGTTTGAAGGTGACAAGGCTTCAAAACTTATGCAGGTTTGCTCCTCATCCTTTAATTTTATCTGGTGACTAGTTATAGTATATTTTGCACTTTTTGTGTTTCGACATGCCATTTTCTCCTAGTTAGTGACATAGGACTGACAGAATTGCATTCACCTTCACTAACAATGGTTGAGAAATAAAAACTTTAAAATGACACCTGAAACTCAGTAGTTGAAATTCTGTGGTGACTGAGCTACTCTAAAATCAAAAGTCACACCCAATCCTTTTTTCTTACACCATGCAAAAATATTGACAAATCAATGGTTACATAAACTTACGAAAATATTCTGCCCATTGACCTGTATATAGGCCGGTATGAGATGCAGTTCTCACTTTCGGTCGCTTGATTTGGTTTCTCAGTAGGCTAAACTTAGTTATTGAACTGTTGAGATTGAAGTTTTCAATGACTTGGCTTCATCTGTGATATCTTTTTTTCAGCTAGCAAAAATATCTGTTGAGGACATGAAAGCAGTTAAAAATATGAGAATGCTTGAAGGATCAGATAATAGAAAGACATCTGCCGGGGGTTTCTCATTGAAATTTGATACGAAGGTATTTTGTTTGTTTGCTTCTTAGAATCATGAAACCCAAGCATTATATTCTGCATAGAAAAGCGGGAGTTGTTAAATTCTTTTCTTTGTCTATTAGAGGAAGCATGCCGCAAGAAAGGATCGGACAGCAGAGGAAGAAGAAACATGGCAGCTCTTTCGGTTTTATCCCATGCTAGAGGTTTGTCCATGATATCTAGTTACTTTTCTTATCAAAAGTTGATATGTTTTGTATCATCAAATTGCATGAGCAGCTCATTTTAGGCATGTCTAGGTTCTGTTCATTAAAGCAGCAAATAAGACCGGGAAATTAAATTCCTAGACAACTGAGTGCTTGGTTTTCTCGCTGCTTTGTGTTGTATAACTTGCATTTATCTGGATTTTTATACCTCATCAATACTCTTTTCATCTACACAATTGCAGTGTTACAATAGCTAGAAAGATATTTCTTCAAATTTCGTTTCACGTGCTACATTATGACAACTTAAACTCTGTTAAAGTCTGAAGTAATTCTTTTTTTTTGGTTGTTAATTATCACATTATTAAGACTTGATTGTTTTAGTTCATGCAACATTTAAGAGGTAGATGCATGCCTGATGGACCTATTGTGACTATTTTGTTTACTTAGGAGTTGATTGAAAATTTGAATAAAGGAGACTTGCCAAAGGATGAATATCAGTGCATGAATGAGCCAAATTTATTGACCAGCGAAGCAAATGGATCTTCTAATGGTGGATCATCGAGGGGCCATTCAAATCCACATTCAATGAGATCAAGGCGGACTGCAACATGGGCACGGCCTCGCCTATCTGACGATGGCTATTCAAGGTAACCTTTTCTATTTTCATTCCTGGTTTATCAAATACTCCCTCCATCCCGAAATGATAGGACAGTTTGGATTTTTTGAACTAAAAATGAATATCCAAAGCAGACAATGTTTTCAGGACTATGACAAGCTCTGATTTGTTTTCTTTCTCATGTCACTTCTATCACCTTACTAGTGACTCAACTTTGAAAAACGTATCTGAACTGAAAAAAATGGGACAGCGGATATTTTTGTTCATCATTGGTGGAGCAACACGATCTGAGGTAGAACTTAACATATATTTCCACTAACAAATTCTCTGCAGAACTTTACTTGCGGGAGTACAAAAAAAAGTCATTTGATGCTGCTTTGTTCTCTTATTCTTCTCAGCTTAGGGTTTGCCACAAACTTACAACAAAATTGAGGAGAGAAGTTGTCCTGGGTTCAACTAGCTTTGATGATCCTCCTGTCTATATTACGGTAATATTTGTTTCCTCTTGGAGCTATATACCATCCAAATTGATCTTAGTATATCTGAGATTGTAGTCTTCTGCCAATCACTGGGGATAGTCTTATGGGGGTAATTTAATTTTGAGATTTAAGATGCAAACAAAAATTGTTTCCCTGGATTGGCCGAAGCTCTGCCTGGTGAGCTTCGTTGTTCCCTAAAATGTTGATAAATGCATGGAGTCAATTATTAACTACAACTGTGTCTGCTTGTGACATTCCACGCAGAAACTTAAGATGCTTTCAGAAAAGGAGCTTTCGGTTGAGGACATTAGAATATAGATTACAAGATAGGAGTTTCTGAATAGAAAAGTTGCCAAATTCCAGCAGGTTAGTCCTTTTATACATATGTAAGGCCTTTCAGAGATTGCTGTGTGCATGTATAATCTCAGTTGGCACTTACGTTGATTTCAACATTGCAGGAATTCGTGTCCACAAATTAATGGAAACAAACCAAAGTTCACGCCCATTCAACATTACAAGTCTCTTAATTCAGAACCAAATCTTGTACAGAAGATGAAACAATATTAAACAGCTACGAGCATGGCTTCCTGCGGCAAATTCGCATGGGGAGTTGAAAATGGTTATAATGTAATTACCTTGCAGCAATTTGAGAAGATGTTTAAGAATACCATGTATTCAGAATGCGGTTTGAATTGATCATTTTGTCTGTGTTTTGAGATAAAGAGGACTCCTAATTTGGTTTTGATGCCAACCGTTAAGCGAAAGTTGCATAAACTTTAAGCGATTATGTATTAGACGAAAGGAATCAACAAATTAATTCAGTCATATGCATGATTGTAGTGATTGTCAGTTTTTGTCGCAATCTTTCTCTTTGCTTTGAACGATGAATAGAATGGGACGGTAACAGGAGAAAGAATTTCAGTAGATGGTAAATCACCAACATATTTGATGTGACATTGGGTAAAGATTTGACAAAAGTAACCAGAAACTGAGGCGGCACTGATAAAGAACAAATATAGTATAGTAACTAAAACGAAATTGATACTCCTTCTGTCCCAAAATTATTGTCCAGTTTGAAATTTCACTTTTAGTACAATTTGAATTAGAAATGAAAATTCAAACCGGACAATAATTATGGGACGGATGGATGGAGTATATGTGTATTGCGGTGAACCACATGACGATCTGTATGGCAAGCAACACATGAAATGTTATTGCCTTAAAAGTCACTCCCACATGGTAGTTAATGAGTCGGGGGAGTTCCTCACCTCCATATAGAGGGATGATGAGTACAAGGCAATTCGAACGACAAGTCAGTATAAGAATTTGGGTAATGATTTTCAAGTAAATGATTGGTTTCGTTAACAAAAATTATAATATTAGTACCTCGAAACAATATGCTGTGAAACTGAAGACTGAACTTTTTTTGCAAGTATAGATGAATTACTATCTGTTTTTTCAGTTATAAATTGTCACTGAGGAGGTTATTGTGATCTAGATACAACAATATTATAAGAGGATATCTCAAACTTTTCAAGGATGTTAGTCAATGTTGATCGACCTTAAGGGAGTTAATTGTGATAAATTCATCTAGCCTGGGGAAAATATCCATATTATGTTAAACTATTGGGATCGATTAGTGAATAATTTAGACCTCATGGGATGTATGTGCAATTTCCCAGAAACAATTACCATTAAAAAAAAACACTCTTTTTCATTCTGTTTTCCATTTAACCGAATTTCTTGTTTTCCATTTCAAAGAAAAGAAATAATCATGTTTTCAACTGTTGCAGTCACAGCCGTAACTATGCAGTAATTCGAGCTTCTATTTTTTCTGTGTCCCCCCCACCCCCACCCCCGATATTAAGTGCATCGTTCTCTTCATTTCCGTTTTCAATTTAGTATTTACCATCGAGCAGTTGAAACTCGATTTCTGGAAAATTTTGTTTCCGAAAGACAAAAGAAGTGCATTCATGGATTCCGTTCTTCCAATTACGATATTAGCATCGGTGATCGGAGGAGCTTTAATTGCATTTCTCATTTTCGGAAACTATTTCCGGAAACGTAAATTTGAAGTTGAATCGATCGCTAAGCCTGAAAAGATTGAAGCAAAACAAACCCAAAAGCAGCCGCCGGCCAAGAGTTCAAAGAAGTTTCAATCCAAAACTCATGCCGCCGATAAGGTAGGGTTTATCAGCGCTTCTTCTCTTTTTCTAGTGTTTCCGACATTAATTCTTCAATGCAATCACTTTCAGAGAATGATTACAGTTTTGCAAATAGTTTTTCGTTGTTGAGATCAGATGAAATGAGGAATTGATTAGGAACTGTGTTGTGATTATGAAATTTAGGATGCAAATCAGCGGCACCACCCGCTGGATTTGAACACGCTTAAAGGTCACAGTGATGCAGTTACAGGCGTCTGTTTCTCTTGGGATGGACGTAATCTGGCCACAGGTAATTTTGCTCTCGGGTCTTTGAGTTATATATGTTTGAACTGTGTGTTCTGCAATGCCGTTGGCGTAGTATCCTGTATCCAATAGAGCTCTTCCGTAGTTGAAGTTGTAATATAATCTGTTTTGGCTTGCACAGCTTGCGGTGATGGGGTTCTCCGGGTATTCAAGTTGGATGATGCTGCCAATAAAAGCTTCAAGTATGAATCTATTCCGGAAACTGATTTTTTCTTCTCTGTTGTACATTTATCCTTTGAAGTTTGTTAATATTACTTCATGTTCAGTACAGTTTTAAATTTTTTGGTATTGTTTAGGTTTCTCAGAATTAACTTGCCTGTTGGAGGTCAACCAACGGCTGTTGCATTTGCTGATGATGCAACTTCTGTAGTAGTCGCAACTCATACTTTGTTAGGTTCTTCTCTTTACATGTATGGAGAGGAGAAACCTAAAGGGAGTGGTGACTCTAAGCAGGCTCCTCCAGAGATCAAATGGGAACACAGAAAAGTTCATGATAAGAGGGCCATTCTCACGCTATTTGGAACCAAGGCGACTTATGGCACCGCTGATGGCAGTAGCATCGTTGTTTCATGTTCTGAAGGTGATATTGGGTTTCCTTCTCATTTTATACTTGATCTTAAGAACAACTCTCTAAATGACTTTTCTATTTGATGTATAGATTTGTGACTTCCAATTGAAATATGTTCATATCCGTGAACATTCCCTAGTTACACCTGCTCCAATCCTTGGAGCTAGCTTGACTTAATGCATGCCTAGATAATTCAAGAATCAATGATTTGAGATCATTTTCATACAATATGTTTTAGTTGTTTTTTTGGACATGGATCTGAGACGTGAGATGTTCTCTTATGGTGTGGCTAACAGATGATAGCAGTTGGATCGTAAATTCTCTTTAGTGAATGAACTAAGTATCAATTGACAATATGGCAAGCAATATTCTGCCTTTGCTCTGGTATATCTAATCTGCTAACTCCTTCCCTGCTTCATTGATGTTTGATTATGATGTCTCTGTTAAAGAATCCCTTCTCTATCTGCAACTCATTTTATGTGGGCTTTTAGTATTTTCATTTCTGAATATATATAAAGTAGAAACACCCAATGTCTTTTTCATTAAGAAAAGAAATATTTGCAGGCACTGACATCACAGTGTGGCATGGGAAAACGGGAAAGGTCCTGGGGCAGGTTGATACCAATCAGCTGAAGAACACTATGGCCTCTATATCACCTAATGGACGATTCATAGCTGCTGCAGCTTTTACTGCTGATGTGAAGGTAAATTTCTGTAATATCCAGAGCTCCAATTGGCAGCATGATCTTATTTTCCTTATATAGTGAGAAATCCGTGGATGTGGTCTTGGTGGCACATCATAGATCTCTACTTCATGTACTATTTTTTGGTTGCATCATGTGCTGATGATGAGCCCTCTCTAAAAGTGTTGCTTCTGTTGCAAAGAATGAGATCATTTTTGTGTATACTGTGGAACAGGGCTGGCATAGTTGCAAGCGCAAGAATTTTTAATTTTTTAATAAATTGAAGATAATTCAATTATAGGCAACATAAAAGTTGAAAATTTTCAAGTGGTCTCTTAAAGATTTGGGGGGTGTGATCTCTAATAAAAGATCGAGACTTGAGGGAACTTTTCTGAATATAGGACTGAAAAAAATTGAAGCCAAAGAACTGGGGATTGGAGTAATATATTTATAACTGCACAGGGTTTCAGGCTTAATTGAGTTTGCCCAAATAGAATGTTTCCATGAACAACTTTTAGAATTCTGTAAACTGACTGACTCCGAGTTAGATCTCCCATTTCTGAGAGAGAATATGTTTAAACCTGGGTATAGGACTACTGAAGCTAATATTACTGTTACTGTCCTGAAGATTATTGTGCTGGCCCCTTTATTATATGTTCGAGTCATTCAACTCACCAGACATCACTTACTGTGCAGGTTTGGGAGATTGTGTACTCGAAAGACGGATCAGTGAAGGAGGTCTCAAGAGTTATGCAGCTGAAGGGGCATAAGGTTCTATTTCTTTCTCTAAGCTAAAATCTAAACTGATTACATTTGCTCTTCAGTCTGGCCCATTTCATTAAGTTCTTTAGTTGTGAGTATCTTAGACCATTGAAGTTAGGCATAAAATTGAACATTGAAAGCATGATATGATTAAAGGTTGTTTATCGTTTCCAATGCCATATCAAACAATGGTGGAAATACTGTGGTAGGCGTCCTTTGTCTTGATTGTATCAGCAATTCTGATCTACACCCAGAGTTTCAGCCTTACGTGATCTTCTACAGTTTTTTACTTTCCGCATTGGTTTTTGTACAGAGTGCCGTAACTTGGCTGTGTTTTGCTCCAAATTCGGAACAAATCATTACGGCATCCAAGGATGGTTCTATTAGAGTCTGGAACATCAATGGTATGTAATTCGTGGTAAATTTGAAATTTTATAATTATCTAATATTCAATCTATTTCAAAGAGTTCAAGTTATCATTGATGAGCAGATATTTATAGAAGCGTTATTATTTACTCATGATTATATCTCGTCAAATACTTGGTTCTACTATCCATCCATTTCGTGGCACTTCTCTTTTATGTTTACGCGGAAATTAAATAATTGCAACCTGACACTTAGTTCATGTTTGCTTTTGGAAGTTCGATACCAGATGGATGAAGACCCTAAAACTCTAAAGGTGTTTCCCATTCCCCTTCATGATGCAAATGGCGCAACATTACACTATGACCGTCTGTCCCTTTCACCTGATGGCAAGATATTAGCTGCTGCACATGGTTCAACATTGCAATGGTTATCTTCTGAGTCTGGGCAAATTTTGGACACGGCTGAGAAATCCCATGATGGTATTACTTCAGCATTTCATTCATTTAAATAAAACTTGGCTTCATGTTCTCCTTCCATGATGCTTGTTTTTTCACCAATTTGTTGGAGATTAGCTCAATTAGCAACCATAATGATGAATGTCTGACCATTTGCGACGTGTGAATGGGGAAAAAATGCAGTTTCCACTCTGTTAATGTGTAAACTATGCCTTTGCTATCCTCTCAAAGTTTCCAAAACATGCATTATTATTCCATGAAGTTCATTACTTGGTGACATGACCGTCTAAATGACTAGCCCCTTCATGCATGATAGATATACATCTGATGGTTTGGTACAACCGTTTGGCCACAAACATACTTAACATGCTTGGATTTTTCAAAATATGAACTGCTTCGTAATCGTCATTTGTGCTGTTTGCCCCTTGACTTTCTTCAATCATGTTATCATGCAGGTGATATTACGGATATGGCATGGTCACCTGTCCCAATTCCAATGGGTAAGTTTCTCTTATTATGGATGTGTCAGCAGTTATTCTTTCCTTTCATCACCCATTTTGTGCCCCTTAAGAACTAGAGTGATAGACACCAGTGAGATTGCAGACTCCACTCTCAAATGAGAAATGAAACCCGAAATTATTTGGGGGTCTGGTTATTGTTGGTTCTGGGTGTTCCATGTGCTGTTTATTGGTTCAGAACTAATAGAAGGAAAAGATGGCATATATTTTCTCTTTTGCTTCTTTGCGTTGCATCGTGCAGGAACTTTGTACCTTTATATTGCTTTCTCATGTCTGTTTTTGGAACAGGAGACAAGAGGGTATCAGTTTTGGCAACAGCCAGTAATGACAAAAAGGTGAAGCTGTGGGTAGCTCCTTCTCTTCATCAATCATGAGAATGGATTCTGCTTGGATACATTGCCCTGGGCATCAGCACTTCTTCAGATGGCATGATATGCTGGTTTCAATCCATTGTGATGCAACAGCCAGTATGACCGATAGGTTCTACCTTAGAACTTGGGAACTTCATAGAAAGAGGAAATGAGGGAGAACAAGATTACTTACTGTAGGGAATTTTGAGGCTTCTGTAGCTCTTACGTCACCTGAGTTTTGTACTGTCAAGTGCGATTTAACAATACATATAATGTGACTCCGTTGTTAGAGAATCGGTTTGATCAGTTTACATGAGTAATCGTTTATGTTCATATCTCGTCTGTAACCTAGTGTACAGCATTAGGCTTCAACATAAACAGGAAAAAAAAAAAAAAAAGAACTTAAAACGCTGAGTCAGCATATGCAAAAATCTTAGAACATGGAGAAGAAAAACTTACCTCTCAGAGACTCGAACGAGTGGTTTAGAAAAGAAATAACTATAGTCTTATGAAGAGAAAACTAGTGTCAGTGTAAAAGGTGGCTCGTCACACCGGTCATTGCAAAGCTTGATCGATTATATTTATCATTATGAATCTTGGGATTTACATTTGGTTTGTAACTCTAAAGTACACAACAATCATATCTTGTAGAACCATATCTCTTGGAACATAGAACAGCAAAACATAATCGTTTCCAGTCCAAAAATCTTTCAAGATTCACGTACATTTTTCATTCTAGGTAGCAAAGTTCCATAATCCTTTAAAAAAAAATAAATCTGTTAATTCTCTTCATCATGCCCTAATGCCTTTTCACATTTTTTTATCCCAGCCTTGTTTGCCAGCTTACCTCAGAAATGGTAGGAACGTGTCTCCACCCATAAATGGTTGTAAGACTACCAGTATGTCAACAGTCCCTCTGGTGATTTTCAAGAAAGCAACAAATAGTCCTCTCTGTTGCTGTGAGGGTAGAGTCCAACAAATGCACATACTGCTGCTTCACCTCTTCATCACTCTACACAAAGGGAAACAGAAAGAATGTAAGATTCACCAAGTTTTACAGTAATAGTTGTATCTATTATATGAAGTTCCTCAAACGTGAATAAGAGAAGGGTTTGAAAAAGCCATCATTATTTGAAAAGATTGAAAGGGAATCACACAGCACAAAATTCATAAACAAAAGAACTCCTCTGAGTTTGCGATCATTTCCTCGAACATATATCCCAAGACTCATTCACTTGTCCTGTTTGATATAAATCGATCAAGATCAAATGTAGTATCAATTCATAAGACAAGAATTTGATTGAAGAACAGTACCTGAGTGGAAGCTTAGATGGATGGATCCATTCATCCATGTGATAAGCACACAATGGCTGCTCCGCTGTTGCTATGAGATATTTGTCATCTCCGTCACTTAGTAACCTACCAAGCAAATAAGTAATCATGCATCAACTCAAAGATGAATTTTTTTGCATGTTTGGGACGAAACATGACGAAAATGTGCGTCTTCGAGTATACGATAGGAAAATGTGTTTTTCGCTCAAATGTCGGGACCGTTTTGTGCGGTTTAGTCTAATAGGAACTACGGGATATATCCACATTGTACAGTTGTTCATCAAATTGAACCACATTGGGCACACTTTCCCATGATGTCTTTCCTCATGAAAAATGGAGTATGCATTGGTACAAATCCCTGTTTTCTTCAAGAAGTGAAGACCAAAAATTGATGAGAGCTTGATTAAGAAGCACACCATCCCCTTTCAAATAGAAGCCTCTGCCTCCAGCTACATTCGCACCTGAATTTACAGGATTGCGTAATGAATGGATGAAGAAGGTTGCCAACAACAATTTAGCAATCTCTTCATAATGAATGAATGATTTAAGAGGTTGCTAACAGCATTAGCGATCCATCTTTGTCTATTCATCCATCACTTCTTCTTAACATTGCAGCAATCCATGATAGGTTCTGCCTTGCAACTTGAGGGGAAACTTTTCCCTAAAGGAAATGAGGAAGAGCAATATTCTTACTCTTTCCGTTGCTGTAGAAATTTTGAGGTTTTTTTTTTCTTTTTTTTTTTTTTCACTTGAGAGTTTGCGCTGTATAATAGGTAGTACGGAACCGCCCGCTTGGCGAAAAAGTTACAACATGGATCCGCAGCCGCGGGGCAAAAATATATAGCAAAATAATATAACAACGCCCACCGTGGGGCTCGAACCCACGACCACAAGGTTAAGAGCCTTGCGCTCTACCGACTGAGCTAGACGGGCATTTTTGATGTTCTCTACGAATACAGTTATTTTCAATATTTATTCATTTAAGTATATCAATTTGTTCACCATTCATCATAAAAATAAATCTATTTGTTTTTTAAACTGAAAGAAAAAGGTTCAAAACCGGAACCAACATCATTGTTCATTTTTACCGGTTAGTTCTATTAACCACTCCTTCCATTTTGAAATATATGTCGTTTTAGGGTTTGGTGAATTTTTTTTAAATATATATTATTTTCACAAATCGATACACATTTGATCACCTTTTACCAATGTTACCCCTGCATTGAGAATGAAACAATATTTATAATGAATTTCTATTAGTATGTGATAAATTGCATAGAAAATAAATAAGAATATTTTTATATTTTAACTATATTATTTAATGTTTTCTTGGTTTTGATGAATTCTCTAGAAAGAAATATAAAAAAAATGAGAGAGTATTAGCATGATATATATTGACAAATCCTACACTTTTGCAGCCATTAACCCTTTCACATAACCTCAAAAACTCAAATTTTAAAATATAAGAAACTCTATGTTTGTTTCGTTTTTTTTAATGTGTGTTTTTAGGTGTTTTTTGTATTGAGAATATAAAAATGTATATTGGAAATGTAAAAAGTGTAGGTTGAGATGGGACAGTTATTATTACATTATTATGAAAATAAAAACCCATGAAAAATGAAACAAACAGAGAAATTCTTTGTACGAAAAAGATGATCCAGTATTTCGAAACATAAATTAAAGGAAGATCTATAATAATCCGGTCTGTGTCTAATTTAATTTCTAATATTTGTCCCTTCATCATAAAAGACACCGTAAAGACAGAAATGTCTAGTTACAAAAAAGTACCATAGCAGTAGAAATCTACTACGTACAACGACGAGGGGCAAAAAAAAAAAAAAGGTCAGTACCCTCTTCAGGTGAAAAATACAATATGATCAATTAATAATCACTTGGAGTATTTGTAGTAAATAGTAATGTACTACTAATTCATACTAGACGGAACCGTACCACACTTCAAAAGCTTTCTTGCTGCTGATCAGTGATGACCAGTTCACGGAGTCATTTCCCCTTCCAAAGTTATTGTCTATTCAAATTTCATCTCGTTTTGGTTCTTCATCTGACCAAATTCAACACCAAATTGTCACGTACACATGTGAATTTAGATTGAAATTTTTTTGTATTTCATTATACAAAATCATGTAGTTTCGATAGGTAAAAGGTGATTACTAATCTATGCATGTTTAATTTTATGTTCAAGTATGCAAACAGGTTGAGGACAATGGTACTAGTGTTCTCCTTATTACCTTTTCAAAGACATCTTTCTGGTATCGATATCCCTGATAAAACAAAAAACAAAGCAGTCAATTTTTTTTTTTAAAAAAAAGATTTATTGGCCGATGTAAGACAATTATTTTTGAACAGATACGCGATTAAATTAATCTTGACTTTATATAATGAGATGAAATAATGGACCTTGTCTGTTCCATAAATGTAATCACAATAAGTGAAGACTGATGCGAAGTTGCTCTGGCTTTTTCCCCCAACATAGTGATGATAATCATGGTGCACTGCGCCTCCATAAAATGGAATGATCTTTGATGGGCTCCAAGGAAATTCATACCTGCATAAGAAGGTTCCATGCATTTATAAGGCTTATTATGTATTGAATTGTATCTTATTAAATACTACTTCCGTCTCATAATTATTGTCCAGTTTGAATTTTTAGTTTACAGTACAATTGAACTAAGAGTGAAAAATTTAACTTGAACGATAATTTTGGGACAGAGATTATACGGCGAAACAGGGCAAAAGATTAAAATTACTCACCCACAGTGTGTCTCAATTGCTTCAAGTTGCCTGATTATGAACCAGAGCCAGAAGGTGAACATGTGGCAAGGAACCAAGAGAGGACCCAGAAAGGAAGCAAATCCCAGAATTATGATCTCAGCCCAATGAGCATAAGGTGCTGCAAAACCAATTGGAGCTGTATATTCATGGTGGACCTTGTGGATGTTCTCATATCCCCATTTCGAATGCATTACTCTGTGAAGCCAATAATTTGCATAATCCTCTATCAAGAAATACACCAATATTTGCCAGAACATTTCTGCCCCAGATGGCAATGGCAAACTCGTCCGAATCCCAACCCACTGCATAAAACACACAGCCAACTGAAACAATATATATATTGAAGCATGTACACACTACCTAGCTAATCTGATTAATTTTGTGTACTTTTGTATCATGAAATATATAGATACGGATTTTGTGCAAACCTAAGGAATGGAACAAAAAAAAAATGAATGGTATGCTATATATAACATACCTCAATGATAGGGTAAGAAAGGAGTTGCAAAGGGCCAACCGCATAAACAAAAGTGAACATAACCTTTTTGTAGCATTGCATCATGTCAGAGAAGGAATTCTTTAATTTTGGTTGAATCTTGAATTTATCAATCTTTGGGGACCTCAAAAGCTCAACCAACACAAAGGGTATTGGAAACAATGTGTAGAAAATGAACAAGAAGAGTGTGTTGTGGCAATATAGGATGTAATCTGATTTCTGAGCTGAATATTGGAACCACAATGTCTCTCCATATGTTAGGTTTCTTCCAAGAGAAATCTCGGCATCTTGAACACTATTGTATGGCAACATTTTGTTTTTTTTTTTTTTTTTTTTGATCAAATTTTCTAGGTATGTATGAACAAAATATTACGTACAAAATTCTATTACCTTGCGCGTAGTCCCTCTCTCTATATATATGAATATGTATGAGGATTCATGTATACAGAGAGAGAAGAAGAAGAACATAAAGAAAGAGATATCCAGATAACCTTTGAAAAGATCCTTAAAGAGTTTGAAATGACTTAAGGAAAATGATTAGAAAAAAAAATGGGAGAAAAAGGGAAGATGAAGCTTCATTATGGATATGGAATTAAGGAGGGATGGTCTAGCGAAAAATAAGGGCAATCTAATGTTATGGTTCATTTATTTTTCTTGCATCAAGAACAATATATGTAAGAACATGACTATTTTTGTAACCAAATGTACTCTACATGTAAATGGAATTAAAAGAGCTTAATGAAATTTTTTTTTGGCTCTACAAATCATTATTCTGAGCTTAATTGTGACCATTCTATTAATTTCAGTTTTTAGTTTCAAGCGGAAGTCCTAATGTCTAGTCCTAAGTCCTAACTGAATTATATGTTATCAATAATATAGTTTGTATATATGATTGTAAATGGCATGGATGCAATACAATGACTTATTGTGTTAAATATTTGTATAGTTTGATCACATTAAAATATATTTTCGCGAAATGAATGGAAGAGATTTGATTTTTTTTTCCCTTTCAAAGTATTGTTAAGCTGGAATAGCTTATAAGTTTTTTTTTTTTTTTTTTTTTGAAGTAATAATAGATTAGAAAAGTTCATGATTTTAATTTAAAAAAAAAAGTTTTTGTTAATGTGTTACCTTTACAATATAGGGCTAATCTATGGTTTATATATTTATTTATTTTGAAAAGTTTTTTTTTTTTCCTTTTGCAACCATTTATTCTATCGGGTTAAACAAAAGCGTTGGTATGTCCTTCAACTTAAGAAATAAACAAACTTCAACTTCACATTCAAAATAGTCAACTTTTGTGTCTTTTCTTCTTTCTGTTTCATTGTTCAAAGATCAGAGCTTATTAAATGATATTCAATATTCACAACCATATTTTAAGTCATGAAAATAATGCTCCCTCCATTCCAGAAAAATAGTCCATTTAGCTAATACACAACATGGGCGATTTTTCTGGGACAGAGGGAGTAGCATACGGAAGCTAGGTACAACAAGGAATAGCCAAGTGCAGTTCCAATATCCTCAACTACCAGCCGGTCAGCATCAGCTGTTGCTGACATAATAATAAGCCCCATATCAAGCCACTGGCAAAGTAGTTTCTTCATCATCGCTAAAAGAAGATCAGTGCTCAAACTTCTTTCATGAGCCTCATCAACTATAATGCACGAAACCTGGAATAGCTTCTTATCACTCATGTAAATCTGCAATAAGCAATTATCTGTGGTGAATATGTTCTTGGACCTTAACTGCGGCAGAGATGAATAAGACGGAATACAGATGACTGAGCTATCTTCATAGCAACCATGACTTTCTTCCCTAACCCTCTGAGCCAACAAAGCAGCCGCAAGTTTACGAGGCTGGGTGCAAACTATGGACCCAGACCCAGCAACTCCTGAATCAGCAAGACATTGAACAATTTGTGTGCTCTTCCCAGAACCAGTCTCCCCAACCAAAAGTATAACCTGTATGACAAAGTGAATTAGAATGTACAACCCCCAAAACAACTACAAATTCAGTTGACAGAAATTTTGTAAGCAACCAACCTTTTCAAATGTAAAGAACTAAAAAATCTGGGAAAAGTAGCAAATCAATTGCTTCATAGGAACACAAGTTTCAATTATAATGTCTATCGACAAAGTATTCCAACCTAAACTCAGTGGCCCGGAGAGACACCATACTTCCATATCCAAGTTAAATATCCTTTGCACAGCATAACATTTACATTCGATCAGGCAAAAGGAAACAACATTTCACACAAACAGGATCCAAGTAGTACGGAAACCCAAAAACAAAAAAAAAAAAAACAAAAAACAAAACAAAAACAGTTAGAGGCATTACCTGCTGGTGATGAATTTTTTGCAGAATCTTGGTCCGACATGCAAAAATAGGCAATCCATCATGTGAATACTTTAACATACATTTCAAGGGACGTATCAACGAGCTGCCGCTTTCCATTCTGCTTGAAACTGCTCAAACCATTCACCATCTTCCGCTGCCCCATCTTTATCTAATGCTTTATATTTTTTCAGCAACAAGGAGTAAGCCTTACTCAGGCGATTCACCCACTACCAAGTAGAAAAAACAGTATGATTGATCTTCAGTTGAAATATATAAGACTGTATAAAATAAAGAACAATGATAAAGCAACTTACGTGTTCACTGTTGGACCGAGAAGGAATCACCGGCTCATCTAACTGAGCATCCCTCAGTACAAAAGGATGCGAGTGCTGCTTGTACCACTCCATGTACCCATCCACACATGATCCAGAATCCGAGCGAGCTGGCTGGTACCGAAAAAGGTTGAGGGAGTAACAATCAGGAAACTGTACCCAGGCATCGATGGAGTTCTGATCGGGATGATCGACCTTGTACCCGTACTTATTGGGATCAGCGGCCCGCACAACCTTCCCTGGTCTAGTGATTGTGATTGGGATGGACTGCACGTACCCGAATTGGCGTAACACTCGTGCAGGCATGTATGGCTCAATAATATCCCGATACCGTACCCAACCCGTGAAAATCGTCCTCGGAACCAAAGAAACCGGATCATCACCGTATGGTAACCATGTCACCTGCACACAAACATAAACTATCATTTCAAAAAAAATAATAATAATAATAAGAAATGAAATTAATGTAGTAGTAAATTGTAATGACAATGACGTACATCGGATGTAGTAAGCTGGTCAAGCTGGCGTCGGAAATTTTCTAGCCGGGTAACTGGTTTTTCCCACTTTGTTACACTCCACGTGCGGGCTAAAGGCGTGGCAACTGGAAGTTTTATCCGCATGGGATGGGGTCGGAAGATAGGGAAGTACTCATATATCCAGGCCTGAAGTAGGGTCAGGCAACCAGTCACACCCTTACTATCTGCTCTACTAGCCACTCCTAACTGACGATAAAGATAAGCTAATGCAGCAGATCCCCATGAAAATGTCTCTAAACCCTCCAACCCCTGAATCACGTCAGACAAGCACGATGGTCTAAGCCGGTCCCCACTCTTGTCGACAAACAGTGTGGAACCTAACATCACCCATACCCAGGCGATTGCCTGATCCATCTGTGATCGTGACTCATGTCTGCACTTTTCAAATATCGATGCGGTTTTCACTCCCCCACTCTGCCAAAACTTATTAGTTGTAAGCTCCCCTACAGTCACCCTCAACAACTCTACACACATACTTTGCAACTTTGCCGTCTGAGGAACATCAGAAACCATTTTTCCCTCCACTGGAATACCCAAAATCTGCTTCACATCATGAAGCATAATAGTCATCTCACCGAATGGCATGTGAAAAGAATTTGTATCGGGTTGCCACCTCTCTACAAACGCACATATTAATGCCTCGTCCACGGTACCGTACATGGTAGACGGCAGGTGCGACAACCCAGTATCGTCAATCATCTTCTTCCCCTGAGGTTCTAACTCATTGTACCATGTTATCAACTCCTTACAAATTATTGACCGAGTCTGTAACTTCAAGATACCTCTCATCTCGCCACCCCACATCTTATAGGCAACGTGTCCAAGAAAACTGGGAATTACAGTGCCGTCTACAGGGCCACCGGGCACTGACCCCGTAACTATCCAATTCTCACTATCATCAGTCCTGGAACGCTTGCTACTCCCTGAAATTATTTTCAGATCACAAATGAATATTAATAATTTCTAAATCAATCATACACAACTGAGGTGCAACTTTAAAATAATTAAATCAATTGCGCTAATATTTCACCTGATGATCCAGTACTGGCAAAACGGCCACCAACACGACGGCGAGAGCGGTGAGACTCCTTCGATTGATCACATTCTATTTCCACTCTCCCTGCATCAATATCGTCATAACAAGACGACTCAGCGTGGTGATCAGTATTTATCGGATCCATCTTCGGCTTCCCCCTCCTCTTTTCGCTCAAACGGATAATGAACTGAGACTTAGTGCACCACCACCTGTCGATAGTAATAAGATTCTCCTCTTCACTACCAGTATCTGAGCCAGGCTCATCCTCTATAAACTGAAATTTTATTTATCCACAACTACTGTTAGATTTTTTATTATTTATATAAAAAATCACTAATTAATTTATATGATACCACAACTACTTCTTTTTTATAGTTTAAAAATTCACTAAAGGTACAACTTATTAATTAATTTATTATTAATTTCTACATAATACGTAATATATAACACAGTAATTAACCAATGCATTAACTAATTTATGAACACAGTAATTATTAAAAAATAATTTATTTATGACATTATGCAGACTAATGTTTTGGAAAAGTTTATTGTTTAGAGATTTTTTATTGTTTAAAAATTTAATGTTTGAAGATTTTTTATTGTTTGAAAATTCACTGTTCAAAAATACCACAACTCATTAATTAATTTATCCTTAATTTACAAAGAATACCTAATATAAAGTATTCATTATTTATTTATGATATTTTAATATTTTATTTATTTCACACAATACCTTACAATAATTATGTAACTTATTTAAGTTACAAAATTTAAAAATATATGAATTTTAACTGACACTAATTACGTAAATGTAACTATTAAATTATACTAAATATAATTGAAACTAAAATAACTAAAGAATGAAAAATTAATATAATTATGAAAATTAATACAAACTGCCAAATTAAAAAAAAAAAAGTTTTAAAACACTATTGAAAATAATAGTAAATTTAAACTAACACTAATTCAAACCAATACTATTATTTACCTAAAACAAAATAACAAAACATAAAATAAAACTAATTTAATATCATATAATTAATGCAATTGATTAATTATACACGCGCCGGACAGACGGCGACGCGTCCGGTAGGCCGCCAGCATTGCGTTGGAGGCGCCAACCATGTCCGCCCTTCAGTGGCTGTGGGCTTCCTTTGTCCTGACCGGCGTCTTCTACAGACGCCGTACTGACCGGTTCAGGGCGTCCGTCGATAGCTCCCGACCGACCACACAAAACAAAAAAAAAAAAAAAATCAAATGGAAAACATGTTTAAACCTTACCCGATTTGCCCATTCAGCTGCCTCGACCAAAACCCTTGAATGCCTCCAATTCAAGAAATTGATTTTTGTTTGTTCTTTTTTTGGTTAACAAGAAATGTTGTTTCTGAAGTTGAGAGGTTTTGGGGAAGAGGGAGAAAAGAAAAGTGTGTGGGTTTTAAATTATGGAAGGGTAAAATTGTCTAAAGGAGCTATATTTAGGATTTAGGGGCCCACAAAAGGATACAAGCAGAAAATCTCCCGCCGTCTAGAAGGTATATAAATACATCCTATGCATTTAGGGTGCTGAATTCCCACCGCCGGAGCTGTCTGTTTCTGGTGGCTGGTGGTGGAAGAGACGGTGAGAAGCAATCTAAAAGAGTTGGAAAGCGTCTCAACTTCAGCAATGTCTTTCTGGGGTCAGTTGGAAGAAAAGATGTTCTTGAACTCGAAAACCTATTAACATTTTCCCCTTTTTTTCGTGTTCTGGAATTCTGATTATATTGTTATTCTCAGGAATTGAAGTAAAACCCGGAAAGCCCGTTACTCATTCTTTCGAAAAAGTGAAAAGGCGGCTACGGATATCCCAGGTAACAACTTTAAGAGAATCTAAAGATGGGTTCTTAGCCCACTTAGGTTTTCTCGTTGTAGTTTTGAATATTGGTTGAATAGTAGTGAACTTGTTGTGTAGCTAAGGTAGTGGACATCGTCAAAAGGAAGGCCCCCCTTTGAAATTTCATCTCTTATGCTCAAATAATCAGTAAACAGACAAAAACAAGATGCTGATTTTGGGTTGATTGGTCATATTTTAATGTTTTTGTAGTACATATAGAATGGCAAAATCAGGTCTAATCTAAGGGTTTACTTCCTATTTCGTGACTGTTCAGGCAACACTGGGTATCGGAACAGCGGTGAAGACAAGTTTAGTCCAGTGTAACGTAGGAAATAAAACTCCAGTTTTCATATGTGCTTTGCTGCCTACAAAGACAGAATCATTGCATTTGGATTTGGAATTTGAGGAAGCGGAGGATGTAACTTTTTCTGTCATTGGTCCTCGGAGTGTTTACCTCACTGGTTACTATGTTGGCAACAGCCGTCATTCAGCTCTACTTAGTGATACGTATCCTGCTTCTCATTAATGTTGAGATCTTATTGTTCATTTTCTTGTGATGTTTTCCCCTATTAATGCTCTAAAGTACTAGGCTAGTCCAACTTCTGGAAAATATTTGAACTTGCCTGTTTAAGTCCAGTTAGCACTGTCTTAACAATGTTTCCATGGTAAATTTTGGTAGGTAATATTGTTTATGTTGCTATTATTACTCTGTTGTGAATGCTTGAAACTTCCTTCACTTGAGGCAAAAGCGAATCATTCGGTGAGGACATTGCAAACAGTGAGACAGAACGATCTGTTCATGACAGCGATGATGATGAGTATGACGACAGCTTTATTGATGACGGTGATCCAGAAGTTTTCCCACCCTCTCCTGTTCAGAGTGATGGAGGTACTTGAAGCAATCTCAATGCTCCCCTTTGATCACTGAACTCATTTATCCTTCGCAATTTAGTCAACCCTGTTCCTTCATCTTATGAAGCTACTGATGCACTGGTTGGAAAAGAATCACTATTTCACTTCGTTTGAAAGTTTGTTTGGGTGATTGATTGTTTACATGCAGGCTTTAAGGTGTTGGATCATCCTACAGATATGGATTTAATATAGTGCACAAAGCATGTGTTCCATAAAAGGATGTACACTGTGTATGTACATCCCTGGGGCATGGTTGGAAGTCGTCGTTTCTCCTTAGTTCAGATTTAGCCTGCTGTTCTACATTGATCTGTCTTGTGACTCTTGCCACTTAAACATGAATAATTTGGTTATAATTTCTTTGTTTTTCTGGCAATGTTTTCATTCAGATACTGAGGACTTAGTCGATAATGACAACGCAGACAGGAAAGGCGGTGGGCGGCGAAGACAAAAGATTATACTGAGTGATTCGGAAGATCAAACTTCTTCTCCCGAGAATGAGGATGAAGACAGAGTTCCATTGTCTGCATTGATAAGAAAAAAGGCTGTGAAAAATGGCTACGAAATGGAAGAAAAGACCGAAGATCGAACAGTTGGAATAAATGAACATATTAATACAACATGTTCTCCTAGTTCTGCCCCTAAGGGAAAAGTTGATGCTGCTACCTTGCTTCAGAAACCAAACAGGTATCAAAAAGTTTATATAATTTCTCAGATGATCTAGTTGTATTTACCTCATAAACTCCATGAATCCACCTTTTTTTCGCCAAAATGGGAAGAAGGGAGAGGTTTTCACATCGTTTACAACTTTGTAACTGTCAATAAACTCCAAATTTTCCTTCATGCTTTCAAGCATTCCCAAATTTTCAATGATCATGGAAAACCTTATGATAAACTTGTGCATATGCTCGGTGGAACAAGAATCTTAAACGTCCTGAAACTTTTAGTGTTTCTTTCAGCAGACCTTTTGGCTCACTATGTTGCACTTTCTGACCTCCTTGATTTCTTGGTTCCTTCCAGTGAACTTAGTTCTCCAAAGAAGACTAAATCAAAGAGGAAAAGAAAACGAGAGCTCGATGGACACGAAGAGGGTGTTGACAAACAGAGCAAAGTGCTGCAAACAAAGGCTGAGGATCAAAGCCAGCACCAAGATTCACTTCAGCCAAGCGATGCTAACCAGAGAATAACTGCATTGTATGAAGTTTATATTGTTTCCGCTGTTGTTTGTATATTATTTGACACTTTCTTGAAACCAGATTTACACCACATTACTCCACTCAAATACTGTTTGTGTTCCACATGGAGATGTAAAAAGCAGTTAAGATTTCTTATATGTCATATGATTTTATATACAGGGACATTGATGGCGAGACTCCCCGACCAAAGATGGATGGCCCAAGCTCAAAGAAAAGGAAAAAAGGCGTGAAGGAGAAATCCAATGGGAGTATTGAGACTGCACCTAATGGTCAGTTGAAGGGAAATACAGCAGCGGTTGGCAAAGATGTCAAGAAACTGCCTGCACCTATTTTAAAATATAAGAAACCAAATACCGACACGTGAGAATCTTATACTTTATTCTTCTTCTGGAACAACTAATAAATGACTTGTTTGTAGTAAAAATTTGTAAGTTATCACTGTCTCAACTTATTGCTTACTCTTGTACACTTCAGAAAGACAAATTCTGATCTTTTACCTGAGGGGTCCCGGCTGGAGGAGCCTAAAAAGAAGAAAAAGGACAAGACCAAGAAGAAGAACAAAGAAGACGTGAATGTGTCCCTTTCATCTGGTAATGAATCTGGAAAACCATCAGAGTCATGTCAGATGAGAAGCTTGACAAATGGATTAGTTATTGAGGAGTTGACATCTGGCAACCAAGATGGAAAGGCAGCTACTCTGGGGAGAAAGGTAAATCCTTGAATTACCAATAAATAATCTTGTCATTAATTCCTGATCCTTTTTCATATTCTTTAAAGAAGAAAGACTAGATGTTGACTGGATGAGATTTGGTTCAGGTAAAAGTTTATTATACTGGCAGATTGAAGGAGAGTGGGCGTGTGATTGACTCTAACATTGGCAAAGCTCCCTACAAGTTCCGTTTAGGTATAAATTAATAGCATTTTCGCGCCAAGGAGATAACAACTCTATCATGGGAAATGTTTGTAGGATTAGTGAAATTGATTTGATTATTTCTTTAAAGAACCGGAATACTGATTTTGCTCCATCGTTGACCAGGAGATGAAGAAGTTATAGGGGGGTGGAATGTTGGCATTGAAGGTAGATCTTTAATCTTTTAGAAGTGGAATAATTTGATGTCTCTGTTACATCTTTAACAGAAGCTCAGTTGAAACTCCTTTTCTTTGTTTAAAATGTCAGGAATGCGGGTTGGTGATAAGAGAAGACTCACAGTTCCACCATCACTGGGGTAATATGCATCCTTGTTACCAGTACTTTTAAGATTCAGATTCCTATTTCCATGTTTTAGGTTTTATAAATAGTACTGAAAGCTGAGAGTAGCTGAATTTCTTCTCTTTTGGCTGTGAGATCTTGAACTTTTTTTTGGTTGTTCTTTGTCATCGTCTATCATGGCAGATATGGGGAACAGGGAAATGGTGAAAACGTGCCACCTAACTCATGGTTGGAGTTTGACATAGAGTTGGTTCGTGCTCATTGATAAATTCATTTTTGGATCTGATGAATGGAAGATGTTGGAGATGTTGTCTAGAATACGATCTGTTGCTTCTGCAGTAATTTTGTTAATCTACAGATATATCCAGATGGATGAGCAATTTTGGTTTAGTTTTTTTGGTGGATCTCTCAATTCTCAACAACAGTGCATAAAATGTACTAAGCGTTCGTTCCTTCTTTTATGTTTTTTTTTTTTTAAATTTCTTTTTTGGTCCATATGATACTACTAGAGATTACCAATTGTAGAAAGAAACTTAGTTTAATCTCTAAAGATTTATAATTGATCCCTTGAACGTTATGATCAAATTCCCTTCGATTTAATCAAACGTGATCAGCAAATTGGACTCAATTGCATTTGAAGAATGTGAACAAGAAATTCACCACATATCTGCGTAGTATGGTTTGTCATCTCATTCCTCATCCAGGGTGACTTAGCCACTTACTGTATACTTGTTTATTTATTATTTGGTTATGAACCCTTTCAATTTCAACACTTTGCTGGACATTAGGATCGATTGCAATTACATACAACCAACCAAAGAACATATGTAAAACCAAGAGAAAAGAAAAAGAAGATGAAAGCAAAGTCATTATACAGCCTATCGCATATACAGGAGCTGTTTTCTAGAAACTTATGTAATTCACTCTGAAAAAAGTATTCCTCAGATCTAATGATCACAGTAATAGATAATCGTCATCTTCACAAGCCCTACATGTGAAACTATTCAAGATAATTGCTCAGATTTTGGCTCCGATTTGAGCATGAAGGATTTAGCCTCATCATCTGTAATTTCACTGCAACAATAGCAAGCATTTGAAACACATATTCGTGAGAACTTTCGGTCGAAAGGATAGAAAATAATGGAAACATAGTGAGATACAGAAATTACAGTCAGACCTGTCTGTGGCTTCTGTTTTGCTGATAAGCGTAACCCCATGAGCTGCAAGAATTTTGCGAAACCTCTTTAGGTCATTTTCCTGGTAAAGCTTACAAAGATGCAGAAGGAATTCGTTGAACTCTTTTGGCTCCTGTGGAAAGAGATGATAAATTAATTCGAGTGATAATTTAGAACTTGCCGATCAATTAGGAGAATCTTTGGACATGTGGGAGGGGGAGAGGTTGAGAGCAAAGAAGAAACAGGAGCAAACTTTCTTTGAAAATTCAAACACTAAAAGCTGAAACCATGTCAAATAAACCATGGTTCTATATGCAACATCGAAAAGTTTACCTGCTCTAAAACGCAACCTTTTCGCAATGCCACTAAACATTCCACGGCTTTCTGATATACGTCACCTTCGCACGAATTCTTCACTAATTCAGAAATTTTATCCTTCATATACCTTATTGCTTTGTTGACCCACTCTGGACTATCTCTTCGAGATATCATTGATTCAAAGTCTTGAACAGGATTCAAGTCGCCTATCTTTTCGACTTTGACTCCAGATTTGTACTCGATTAAATCCATTGGCTGAGCATTGGAACCATTACCAACACCCTGTCCTTCATCATCGGATCCAGAAGGTTTCTCTTTCAACAACCTTCTAGAAGATTTCTTGAGCTGCAAGACCATAAGGTCAATAATTGAATCCAAACAAGAAACATGATTCAACTAGAAGTACAAGAACAGAAAAATTACAGACCTTTGGGTTTTCTTTAAGTTCAAAACACCTACGGAAGTCATCAATGATAGATTTGTTTTGAGAAAACATATCAGGGTCGGACTCTGTTATTCTGCTGAGAGTCTCATCAAGCGGTGGAACAGCTGCATTGCAGTCCTTAGACTTCAATTCCAGGAAACGATAAAAGCGCTGCAAGTTACATGATAGTCTGAGAATCAATGAAACATCGACATGATGGAACAAGTGAATTCCCAAATACAAAAAATTAAACCTACGAAAGCGGTGAGCAATACACAAGAAAAAAGCTCTACACATTTCTTTGACCAATAGAGAGTACAGCTGGAATGCTGATATCTCATCTGAAAGAATCAAACTTTAAGCACATTAAAAATATGGACATCAATTGTATGATCAGCATCTTTATTGCAAATCTTGGCAAAAATAGCACCTCTGCTAATACCTTCACCGCTTCCATCATTTGTGGTTGTGCCACGAAAACCATTTTCTAGAACTCATAATGCTCTAGGTATCCAATCTAATATTGACATCCATTGTTTAGTATCTCTATCGCATGTTACCACGGTATGTTTAACATACATCATGGGAAATGGAGAGGAGTAGGCAGATACTTATAACAGATAGCATGAAGAGCACTCGGATGGTCAACAAACAAACTGAGACTATGAAGCCTCAAGTATAAATACAAAACTTTTTCCCAATTTGTTACCTCTAGGACAGGATTTGGTGTAAAGTCAGGCTGCAAATTTTCCTCTTTTCCACTGGGGGCTAGATCAAGCATTCTAACCAATTTATCTGCGGCTTCCTGTTGCTGTTGATTTGGCTGCATTGATGGAGGCAAACTGCTAAAAGATGGAAATTGGAATTCCCTCACATCCTCGGCAAAGGGAAGAACATTGAAGTAGAATGAATCAGGCTGCAATCCAGATAATGAAACTATGATGAATAGGGAGATTTGGGTTCACTACCACAAAGCAAACAAGAAGAGAAAAAAGCAATAACCGTCAGGGATCACTTACAGTTTTATCATTGTCAGAGAGATTAGGAGTTAGGACCCCCACAACAACATTACCCTGCCCCTGTCTCCACACACAGCGGACGATGGCTACTTTGTTCATTTCCTTCATTGCTCTTGCTAAGGAAGAAACGGCAAGAATTGCTCTTGTATTTCCTGGCTCAGCAATGAAGATGTTGACATCCTTCATATAATGGTGCCTTCATGTTTTTATGACGTTTTAGGGATGCACAACAGGGAAATTGGCATCAGTCACTCCATTTCAAAAATAAGTAGCTAAAAGGAAATTAGTTTGTTTGGCCATTTGCTCCAAGGCAAGAGGCAGGCACACGTACCGCATTATGTTTGAGGAATTAGTGAATCCTAGGAGCTTCACACCCTTTTCTGGTTTAAACTTTACAGCCTCTAACTCTGCTGACGAAATTGGAACCACTTGGGGTCCATATCGAAAACCTTTAATCCTCTGTTCTGGTGGTACAACTCTACTCGGATCTTGAATACTTCTGTATTCATAGTCAACCTTGACTTCATGTGTAGCAAATTTGTCAGTAGGAGGTGCTCTATCAGAATACCTTTTCAAAGTGGGAAATTTTTCTTCTGATGTCTTTTTATAGACCCATACCTGCATGCAACCCTCAAGCAATTAGAATATATTGCTCAAAGGAAAATTGAAAATATTTCATCAGTTTGCAGCAGAGAGATGCACATCCCCCTTCTGTAGTAGCCATACAACCTCTCATGGGGAACTATGCAAGTGGAAGAGGATTCGGATCTAGAATTCTTAAAAATTCAGTAAACTGTCTTACAAGCCTAAGAGGTGCATACATGCAAGTTAGAGTGGGGGAAAAAGAAAAATTATTTTGCCATCAATTCTTTTATTCATTTGCAGAAAAGTATAATTTCCCTTCCCAAGCAGAAGAATCACAACAAAAGAAACATAACTGAAGCCATAAAAACAACTGCAGTAATGATGATCAAGAGCATAGGTAAAATTGCTATCTTAGATCAATATCATGCTTCTAAACTGAATACATTCAAATTTGTTATCTGGACCACCACAATCGTTTCTCTAAACCAAGAAAAAATCACAAAACCTTTTACCATCATACAAGAACAGAACTATACCCACCTTGATCTTCACAGTAGGGCTCAGTTCAAAGTCACCTCTGTATATAGTGGAAGGAGATATGTTACGAGTTCTTAGAGCACCCAGCAATTTTGTTGAGCTCTCCACATAAACCACCTTCGAGACAGATTTTTCTGAAAAAACTTTCAACAGGAAATCATTCTCTTCCATTACTCTCTTATGCGCCTCCAGATTTGAGTTCAGCCGAGTGATTACACAATCCATTTTCATGCCCTGCTTCATCATTTGTGAAGCAATGGTGCTCACTTGATCTTCTTTTGTTCCTTCAAATGGATCATTAATCGGATACATTGCATTGGTGATGAGACAAAAACGCTTCTTCCCCTTATTCGTAGGACCAAACTTTTTAATCATCAAATCAATTGCAACAACAATAGCATCAAGAACTATCAAAGAAGTTAAGGAGCCAAGGGCTCAACTGAATGAGATCGTAAATAAGCCAAGTCACAGCCAAAAACATTCTAAATAGTTTAAACAAATAAGTGGCATAGCCATGGCTGGAAAATGCACATTGAAGCAGTAGAGCAACAACAGGTTCATTTAAAGTCACATCCTTATACAATGCCACCATGTTCTTTGTTACTTATCCTTATGAAGCCTTAACGATAGAACACCAGAATGAAGACAGAAATAACACCAAAAACACGAAAGGATACAATCACCATGAACAGTTCCTCGAGGAAGGTTTTGAACAGCTTCTAGTAGATCTCCATCAACAACTTTTATCGGCCGTAAAACCATCACATGCTCATATCCACCAACCTCCTTAGTCAACTCATTTGCAGTCACTGAAGAAGTTTTAGAGTGAATCAAGAAGCCCATTCAAACAAATGAACTAGAAGAGAGACAGAGGGGGGCAACTTTCAAACATTTCAATCCAAAGATTACTCAAAGTTGCCTAAAAGAGGTAATCAAGAAAATGTGGAGATGATAAGTCATAGAGGCCTCCAATCTTCTGAAGTCCGATAATAGTCAAGAGAAAGCACACGAAGAAGAAAATAAAAGATGATAATGAAACACAGAAAATCTGCAACTAGTATATATCATCCATATAAAAGGCAATTGAATGGGATTTCATCACTTTTCCACCGGAATCACCAGTTCAATGAAATATATTCCATGCAGGGAAACGAAGAATTGATAGCAAAAACATTCGACAAGATGCGCATGACATGTGATGCTTCATACTTGAAAGGAAGAGGAGATTTAGTACTTGAAAGTACCTTCAGTTCCAAATAAAACAACTCCTACTTCATCAGTTTTTCCGTAAATCAGCTGCAAAAATGCAAATATGTCACTGAAAAACAGCTTACACAAAGTTTCCTGACCAAGGCATTCGCTTTCTTTAAGAAAAATCTGGTTGCAACTTGAATCATAATCGGAAATCATACCTTCTTCTCGATCAGCATAGAACAAATTGTTTCCACCTGTGGAAGAATAGCATGCATTGCTGGACCAACATCTAGAATGAGGACCAAAGCTTCCTGTAAGAGATAAGAGGAAATAGAGTAGAAATTCATCAGTGTCTTAGAAATGCTCCTTCAATGCCAGAAAAGGAGTCCAGATTCAACACTTTCTTTTCTGAAGGCACTCAACTCTAAGGCTGGCTAGGCCCAAAATGAAAACAAAGATACAAGAAAATAAAAATGAAAAAATAGCTCCTTTCAGTTGTGTTTTAGCAGAAGAGCTACTCACTCTGCCCCAAAGAAGCCCACATTGTAAAATGCAAATTGCACTGCTTTAAGTTGAATTTAAATTAAAATGTCCACTATTTTTCAGAACGGAGTACTTTTCTTGGGGAAACACTTTCACAGACCAGAAGAAAGTAATTCCTGACTACTGAGTCTTCATTTGGTTACCTTATCATCTTCTATTTCTTAAGAAACGGAATTTTTCAACAACCCACAATGTGGATTACTTGAACATTATTGGGCCGAAGGAATTGATTTTATCAAAAGAAAATTGAAAAACAAACATCGAGAAAACTCTGAAGTAAACCCTAAAAGAAGTAAAACACTAGCCATCGTCAACTATCAATCTGTAGTTTAATATTGAAGTCACAAACCGAAAACCCAATAGCCAGTAGAAAGATGTTTATACAGTCGAACTACATCGAAAATCATTCAACGGAAAACTATTTCTGGAAATTTTAATCAATTTTACAGAACATAAAAAAGCTACAACAGGAAGTGGGGAAAAAAGAGAGAGAGAGAGAGAGAGAGAGAGAGAGAGAGAGGAAATTCGTTGGATTTTTCGAATGATAAATATAGTTAGGCTTCATCGACTGCATTCTTTCCTTCATCAAAACAAAAGATAATAATAAATCAATCGAGTTTCGACTGGTAAAGGAAGCAGAATTGTTTACCTTATTCCGAGCCATAACGGAGACGACGATTCTGGGTTTTTTTTTTTTTTTTTTTTTTTGCTATAATCGTATATATACTGGCAGTATTGTTCGAGCAAAAATATGCAAGTTGAGCAGCTCAATTGCTTAAAGCAGTTCTTCCTTCTGCCATTTTGTAGACAATTTTTTTAAAGTTTGATTGGAGTTAGAACTTAGAAGCTGTTGTTTCTTTCCTCTTCCCGCCCCAGGCAATGCATTACGCAATTACGGTTTTAACCTTTTTGCTTCCTATCTCTGCAAAGCTTACAGACGAATCTTTCCAGAGATATTAATTTTAAATTTATATTTCAAAAAAACGAAAAATCAATTATGATATTTAAAAAATAAGAACATCTGATGATAAAATAAATAACCAATCAAATTAATTGATTAATGCTGATAGCACGTCACAAAACATCACACGCACATACAAAAAAAACCATTTATTAATCCAAGCCCACAATATATTAATAAAATAATAAATCTAATACAACTCTTAATAGAAAAACATCAACTCCTATTTTACTTTGGTTTACTAGAGAATAAAATATAATCCTTCAATCCATATGTATACTACTTCCTCCCGTCCTTAATATAAGACATGTTGATTTGTCCTATATTTCACCTGATACACATTTTTAATTGACAAAAATATATTTTTAAAGTTTTTTTTTAATTAAAAATATATACCAAGTAAAACTTAGGACAAATCAAAATGTTTTATATTAAGGATCGGAGTGAGTAATGTGCGCATATTTTTTAAATATGTTATTCATAAGTTACCCATTTCACAATTTATTTTCCTTTTTTTCTTTTTTATTGTAATTGAATCATACTAATCTAGTATTTCATAGGGGATACGCGACATTTGGGGGAATTACGTAATAATTCCATTTCATAGGGGATATTTGACATGTTTTGAGTCATATTTTGGTATTAATTGCATTTGTGTTTCTAGTTTCCGGTTACTGCAGTCAACTTTTTTTTTTTTTTTTTTGGAGATTAAGTGTTTGTTTGGATAAGTAATCATTTTACATTTTAACTCATTTTACCTCTTAAATACAAAATTCAATAGAAAAGAAAACATTATCCAAACAACTTTCTTATTTACATTTTAAATTTCAACTTGCAACACTTTTTATTAATGTAATGACCATTTTTTAACAAATACAGTTCAGTGACGAAATCTAGCAAAGGAAAATCTTAGAGTGACAAATTTGCCAAGTTTCCGTTGTTCAGTGATTGTTTTTGGAAAAGTTCTTTTTTAAAGTGACTATAATTGAGAGTATTTAATTGTTTAGTGATGACTCGTACTTGATACTTTCAAAATATAGTTCAAAATATTTTTTTCAAAACCAACATCCAAACAACCTTTTGCTCAAAATACCATCCAAACAACATTTTCATTTCCCATTTAGTTTTCAATTTGAAACATTTTCTACTTTTAAGCGGTAAAATGAAATGTAAGATGACATCTAAACAAGCACTTAGACTTTTGCACAGTGGATTTGATGGTAAATGGTATGAAGATGGATAAAAAAGAAAACTATGATCATAGGTTATTCAAAAACACCACCCCGAAGTCATGTTAATTCACATGGCGGGCTGATATTTTGTCTTCTCTATGATTTTAGACAACATCCTTTTTGAATCACAGATGATCCCTTTAAGAATTAGCAAGCTCTTCACTCAAATCCAGGAAAAAAAAACAGTGCATTGAATCCATTAATGTTGTCAAACTCACAAGCAAATTCAAAGCTGCAGGTTTTATTTGCTTTATATACAAATGTTTCAAGCAGCTAATTAAGAGAAAGTTGTTCTCTTACTACTACTTCCTTTCTTCCTCCAAAGTAGTAGCCTCCTCACCACACCAATCCCTCTTCCTCCCCGCTTACTACCCGAGTAAACAACCATGGCCCCAGTGTTTGAATTTAGACTTGTCGAATTGTTCAGGCCAGTGCCGCCTTCAGATGGCTGCAACACGTGTGCAGCAGCGCTGGTGCGAAATTCTTTTGTCCCGAGTGCAGCTTTTGAGCCATCTTCAGTTAACATCCGGTCCAGCAAAGTAAAATGCTGCTTCAACTTCTTGTTATTCTTGCTTGGGTTGGACAAGTATTTGCTAACATGCGAGGATGCTTCATTTGGCTGACCAGTCAGGGATTTTAGCTGGTTCCCAATGTTGAAAATGGTTGCCTCACATTCCGCCAGCTTCAAAGAAGCAGCGTTTATCTCCCAGCCCTGCTAATTTCAGCATGTAGTAATCATAGTTGTTAGCATATTCAGCAGCTTTTGCCTTATGGTTTCAGACTAATCAGTTAGGTATGTCTCAATTAGCACAAACAAATATAATTGTGATGCAGCAATGTTGCGCTCAGTTTTCCCCTCTATGATTATTCTGCATTTCTGCTGAAATGAATCACAGATTCTGTAACATAAAAAGTACAGAACAAGCAAGTTTGCAAGAAAGATGTATACATTTGCCAGCGGATAATGTTCATTTTAAAATGTTATTTAAGGCAAAGCAAGCTACCTTGAATTCCCTTTCTTTTGTTCCCAAAGATAAATAAAAAGGGCAAAATGATGTCCTGGGGATGCAATGGAGAAGCATGATGCATGAGAATTAAATGATGTTGATGGGAAAGCAAATGTGAAAGACTGAAAGTTGAGATCCCTAATTTAGGATCATGATCATATTACTGAAATTAAAAATAATAATTCAAGTTGAGAACTAGGAAGGCTATGGAAGGAGGCAGGACTTACAGTCTGGAGTAGCTTCTGCTCTTCATTTATAGCATCCTTCATACCATCCTTGCTGGCCATGCTGTTCATAACAATTGCAGAAGTAACATGAATCATGTTAGTCCATCATATTTGCACGAATTCTGAAAACAAATCTAAAGCTGGAAAAGGAGAAAGGATAACAAAAGTACCTTTCAAGTTGTAGTTTAAGTTCAAGACAAGTCCCTTCTAATTCTTCACAACACTGACTTTTATCCTCCAGCTCTACTTCAAGAGAAGACAACTTCTGTGAAACATCATTCAGGTTGGCTCTTGCTACATTAAGTTGCGTATCAAGTTCTTCATTTATCATCTTCTGATTTTCAAATTGATCTTCAATCATTCTTTTCGATTCACTCAATGTTTCCAATTCAATCCTCAGATTATGGATGCTTTGCTGTGAATGCTCAAAATCATTTGAAAGGGTATCACTCTTTTCCCTTGCTGATTGCAGACTCAACTCTAGACTTTTCTGCGAGGATTTTAATGAACTCAACTCAGTTTTCAACCCTTTATTTTCCAATTCAAGAATGGATTGAATCTTCTCCATTTCCAGCAAAAGCCTTTGTGTAGAACCAAGTTCAGTACCTGCTGTCCAAACATTTCCACATAAGTGTTGTTTCAAATCATATCCTGAACTATAGCCATCCTTGGTGATACATCTGTTTACAATCCAGTCCAGAAAGATTGAGAGTTCTTCAGAAAACTTTTCAAAATTTGAATTCCCATCCAAAATAAGGTTACAAGTGCCAATGAATCGCTGCATGATCTCGCAAAGCTCATCAGCATTCCACCCAAAAACATGAACTGCATAGTCTTCAGTTTTTTTTGGCCCATTGCACCCCTCTGAATTTCCAGAATAAAGTCTTCTTACAAGCTCAACCAATCTATTAATTGATTTTCTTACTGATAAAGTAAGATCACGGTTAATGTTTTCCACTGAGGAACATAAGTCAAGAACTCCTTTGGATGAAGCAACGCTTGGAGATGTTATTGGTGATCTCCAAGCAATATAGCCGCTAACAGGCAGCATCTCAGATTTAGAAGGTGTGGAACTTCCGGTCTCATAAATCTCAGCCTGCAGAGCCATTTTTATGTCCTCCAGAAGTTCATAAATGCTTTTTCCTGAAACACGGACTTGTTCCATGATTGTTTTTAAGGTTGCTTGAAGCCAGTCGCCGGTGGGTGTTATGGTCGATTCACCGAATTCTTGTCCTACAGGAACAAGTTCCATACCAGTTGATTCCACATGATCATGACACTTCTCATCTTTTAATGAACCGGATAACCTTTTTCGCCCCTCTGAAGAAGCATAAACATTGTCATGTGGAACATCAACTGCGACTATTGCTAGCTTTTCCATTTCAGCAAAATCATCCATCAGGCTCATGTCATTAATACCCAACACTTTGTGCTCTGGTGTTTTTGTCAAGACACCATTCTTGAAATTCTCCAGCCCTGAGATTGAATTGGAATCCCAAGACCGAGAACTACCCCTTTCATAATCCTTGTTACTGCTGATAATTGATGCATCCAACTCCCTGGATGTCTCAACCTTATGATGCTCTGCGACCCGAGATTCTCCTTTCAATGATAAAGGAACTACCTGATTACAAACTCTCGGGGAAGGAGAAAGATCATTAGGTCTCTCCATCAAAAGATCTCTCAACACTTTGTTCTCTTGTTCAACATTCTGTAAACGCTCCACCAGAAAACTAATTCGCTTACCAGAGATCTCGACATTTTCTCTGCTAGATTCCCTGGCAACTAAACCTCCTGTAACTGAGTTCATTTTCCGTCTCCTTGTTTCTATCTGAAACCTTTCCTGCATTTCAAATTCAGCTTTCATGGTTGCCAAATGTGTGGGAGCAGGCAGCCGCTTACGCACTAGTACACGTAACCTTTGGCACTCAGCTTCTAACTTCTTCATCTTGTTCACATTCTGTACGTAGTGCTTTTCTGATGCATCCAAAGATCGCCGAACTATCTTCAACTCTTCATTTCGGGTATCAAGATCTTTCTCAAGCATCCGAAACTCATACCTAAGGAATGCATTTTCCTTTTCAACAGAATCCAATCTTGCCATAAGCGCATTAAATTCTGCTTCTGTCTGACACCTTTGGTCACTGAGGTCCTCGATCAGTTTTTCTTTCACTTGGAGAGCTTTGAGAAGATGAGAATTTTCTACGGTCAAACTCGCTACCTTTTTGCTTGTTTCTGCCAATTTGTCCTCCAGTTTTTTGTGTGCCTTCTCATATTCAGTTGATGTTCTTGCTATCACATCATGTACGCTTTGCTCTTTTTCTTCCCTGACTGACTTTAACTGCTCCATACAATCCTTAAAGGCAGCATTCAAATTACTGAGCCTTTCATTTGCTGCCAATTTCTGCGCTGAAGCTTCATCCAGTTGCTGTTTTAGCAGCAATATTTCCTTGTCAGCTTTCTCCTTACCTGAAAAGAATAAATTTGATCGGGTCATCAGGTGTAATCTTCAGAGTAGTCATTCACAAGCCATTAGCTAAGCTAAATCCATACATCATTGACTAAAGATAGTAATAAGGAGCATATATTCTGGGAGTTAATATCTTTCAAGAGAAAGTGGTCTTAGTTATCACCTGCTTCAGCTTCTTGCATCTGTTCTCCTTGATCTTTTAGAAGCTCATCTTTAGCAGTGCATTCACTTGTAAGAGAAGCTAACTTCTCAGTAAGAATCTTCACAGTTTCCTCAAGAGCTGCTTCTTTTTCATTTGGGAGAATGACCTACAAAACAACGTAAAATCTCTAGTCATATGGAACTCCTCGTGAACCAAAGAATAAGTCTTTTTCAGGCATTAAAACTGAGTATCTCTAAGTTTTCATTTTGAAATTTCAGAAAATATGGCAATTACACAGAAGAAAGAGCTTCATTTACCTCCTCAACTTTTCCCTTCAAATCAAAACCATTTTTACCATTCGCAATAATTGTCTTCTCTGAGGACCTTTTCCTCCATAGCCATGTTTTCTGATCCATGACTCACTTCACTGATCGCTACGTTGAACATCAATACGTTTAGTAGATTAGAAAATTGTGCACAGGACAAACAAAATGACAACATGAGATTAAAGAATCTGTTTTGTATCCCCCACCTGTTAGTTCTTCACATCCACAGTACCGTATTTGATTCTTTAATTAGCATCCTCACTAAGAAACAAAACTACTTGAAGCTATCTGCCATCAAAACAACTTTAGCACTGCAATTTTAAACAAAAAGGGGTCAAGTTATTCACCTTTGATCGTATCAGACGGACAAACATGTAAAATGATTCCAATCACCCAATGAAACAAACATTTGTTAACTTCTGAAAAAACAGCAGGGTACAATTAGAAGCACTCTATTTGATCTTATCCCTTGTAACCCCATTTCCCTCTTGACTAAACTTGGTTTACTTGATTTCGACATGATTTTTGAACATAACTAGGTCAAGGTTTAATCACATTGTCATACTACTTCCTAAAAGGTTCAACATAAACTACATCACCATCAAACTTTAAAGAAATTATCTGACAAGAATTACTAGCCATGTGGGATCTCTGTACAATAAACAACTCTGCAGTTGTTGGGCCAAAACTAGTACAGCAACAGTATTTGCCGGATTCTGGGCAATAATGACATAAAAATGTTAAAAACAGCATTTAATATGCATGGGAAGACATCATAATTGAGCCTGTATATATGAATATGGTCCTCTACCAGAATAAATTATTCACCAACCACCAAGAAAAACTGCTAAAAACAGCTTGGGAAACCATACCAAACCCCAAAACTAGGAAGAACCAAAAACCAAAATAAGCACCAAAACTGCTAGCTAGGCAACTGACTTGTACAACACAAGTTAAGCCCACCATGCATGTTGATCAATGATTGTAAAGATATTAAAGAGAGGATGAATTTAGCTACAGCAAAGAAAACTGGAAACTGAGAAGAAATATCCAAATTGATCCCAGATAACAAGAACATGCACCGAGCCATTTGTTACTAGTCAACCTGATAAGTACTGAAGCTCAGAACAAGTTTTCTGGAGAGCCCAATTTGAAGAAGACCGTCAAATCATCGTCATCATCAAACATCATATATCATCAATATAACCGGTCAGCAGCCAGTTAAGTGAAGAAGAAGATGATTGTAATGTTTATTAATAAAGAAATGTTTGGAAATACTGATTAATATATATAGTACACAAGTAGCTGGCTAGCAGACCACCACCAACTCCAGTAAATGTGACATGATCACAAAGAATAACGTGAAAATAACACAACCTTATATTATATAGACCCCTTCTAAATCATTCAAGAGAAAGGAAAAAATGGGAAAATAAAAAAATGACTTGAAAATGCAGGAGTTTTTCCACCGACAGAGACCCTCTGAAGGTAGTAAATAATGGTGGTGGAAAGAACAGTTCAATCAGGAGTCAGTGTGACTGAGATTGTGAAAGGTGAAAAGGCCCATAAAGTCAATCAGGTTTGATGGCCAGACCCCAAAAGAAAAGGCCAAAAAAATATGAAAACACAAATGATGAAAATAACGGAACCATAACGCCATTTATGATACATTTTTTACACTTCGCGTTGGCACCCAATTTACTCGCGTCATACGTGTACCATTTACATACTAATTGTTCCGTCTCAAGATAAGAATCGTGTTCGATGTGTTAAAACACTTTAATAAAAACGGGTGATGTATACAACTATTCTCAGTGGTCGAGATCGTACATATGAGGAAATAACACAAATATTCATTCTCAATTGGGATGTAAACTTGTTAGTTGTTAAATTAACGTTAATGCACATATTAACGAGGTTTGACTAATGGATACTACCAAATTAGTTGGATGAAAATCTCACGACCTGGGAGAAGGCAGTACAGTACTAACTTACCTAATTTCTACTATTTTCCTGGATATATATATATATATATATATATATATATATGTTTAATATATGAAAGCAAATGATGCAATAATTCGCATCAAATCCAGTCAAGAGTAGGATTAGTCCCACTGGAACAGTAATCATTCTTGTACTACAGTGTTGTGACTTCAGATGCGTCAATTCAACTAAATTCACAACACTTAAAAGGAAAAAAAAAAAAAAAAAACAATGAATATTTTCAGTCCAAGAAGAATACCTAATTTGTTATACTCCTTCTGTTCCAAAATTATTATCTAGTTTGAGATTTCACTTTTAGTACAATTTGAACTAAAAATGAAAACTAACAATAATTATGAGACGGGGAAGTATCATTTTCGGAATATTTATCGGTAGAAAGCTAAAATCCAAATATCAAGCAATACCTTTCTACAACTCAAAGCAAACAGATGGTATGATTAAAAGCAAATAATCTACTTGGTCATGCTATTAATTTGGTATAATGAGCAGTAAGCATGGACCTAAATGGAGGACTAAAAAAGATCAAAGAACTTGACTGATTAGCAATGATTTTGTCCTCTTTTTCGTTCTTGGAATAAAGGGACATAACGTCCTTCGTAATGGTTTTGAAAAAATATCATATCGTCTTAACTTTTTCCCTAGAAAAGAGCATCAAACTCCAATTTTCTTATCATTTCATCCCTCTTTAATCCTATAGTGCTTCACCCCATTAATCTTCTCTTTTGTGTTCGCATCCCATTTGGATTTGACTTTTCGTTTTCTTTTGTGTTATTTATGGGATTGGATGGAACTTTAAGCTGTCACTGTAAAGCATGCGAATAAATAAAAATGGCGTTAATATAAACCAAATTCACAATTATTGAAATGAACTTATGAAATACAATTGTTATGTCTCGGGAATTGAATGATAGCTTAGTGGTTAGGGTATTATCTTTCGTGGTAATAGATCGGGTTCGATTCTCACCCATAGTTTGTAGGGGGTACCCACATTTAAATAGGGTCTATTGGGATGGATTGGTTTTTATAAAAATTAAAAAAAAAAAAAAAAGCAATTGTTATGCCCCCAATTGAATATGTAACGAAAATGGTTAGAATATGCGGATTTCTCATCCATAACTTGTTGTAGTATGAACAAAAGAAACTACAATAATTAGCGTGTAGGTTCTATGTCAATGAATATGTAAAAAAAAATACTAGCTAATAGAGAACAAAGAACTTTATTAGTGGACGGTGTTGAGTCGATTACTACACTTTTTGACCTAAGCATGCATTAGCCTCGTCCATAAGCCTCCTATCCAATTATAGTTCATCAATCATCATCATCTACCCTACTATACATAATTAAATTTATCCTTAATTTTGTCACCTTAGAAAGAGGTTTTGCTTATTATAAACTTCGATGTACAGTAAAACTTCTATAAATTAATAGTGTTGGGACCACCAAATTTTATTAATTTATCGATTATTTAATAATTCGCTAAATTAATAAATTATTAATTTAAAGAATTTCTATGAGAAAAAAAGAACGGTCACTAAATTACATAATGTGCAATTATTTTTATCCGAATCAGTCAAGTGTTAAAACAATTCTGCACATGAAAAGTTCATATATAATTCATATCATCTCCACAGACTAAAAAATAAGTATGAATAGTTCATATTTTACTAAATATTTATAATCATAATAATTATTTTTTTACTTTTAGGGCATTTATTAATTTATAATATTGCTGGGACCTATATATATAGGAGATTTTCTGAAACATTATTATCATATCATTTTATCGATTTTGTCCACTTTTTGTACTAGTCCCAAGTTGGTACCGAAGAAAATTATTAAATACTAAAAGTTATTAATTTATAGATTATTAATTTACCGACGTTCTACTGTATATGTCTCACTTGTTATAACTCTGTTATTCGTTAACTTAAAGAATTTAAAATAGGCTAATTGTGTACTTTCATTTGTTGATTATGGGCTGAGCAACCTATTTCTTATTGCAGCTAGAAGTTATTGGGCTTGTTTAGTTAAATCATTGGTAGCTCGATCATTGTGGACTAAGCAGTCCAATTTGGATTTTGATGCCACTTACCAGACATTTTTCTTGACCAAATTTTAAATTAACAGTTTACTCTCCATTTTTAAAAAATATAAGGTGTTTGTCGAGAAATTTCACAAAGACTAAGAAAATGAGTAAATACCATTTGTATTTGATGATATGGATTTTGTCAAGACACTGAATGGTTTCATGCCACATGAGATTTTATTTGATGTTCCTTCTTATTAATTTCAACATTATCTTATGGAATCAATTTTTTTTCCATATTTAGTATATTTAAATTTCTTCAACTAATTACATATCTTTTTTATGGTACTAAATTCCAAAGAAATAAAAAAATAAACTCTTATCAGTAAACTATCACGCTAAATGGCATGACATTATTGTGCATCCTAACAAATTATTTTTCTTATGAAATATTAGAAAATAAAGATATATATATATATATGACATTCATACTTTTTTAGAATGGATAGAGTATTGACTAATTATTACAAAATTGAACACTTATCCCATACACAGAGTAATAATGGTGCATGTCACATAATAACAAAGCAATTTTGCTCACCAAATCTTGTTATAAGACATTTTAAATTCAATGCAATGTTCTCAACCCTGAAATTAAAGTGTGGCAAACATTGGGGAGATGTTTAAGCGTAGAGTAAAAGTTTTGGGGGGTTTTTCTTGAAAACAGAAAGTATTGGGGACGTTTGCATTAAATGCTAAGAGAAAAGGAAAAATCTGGCTAGAAAGTCAGAACTACCCTTGAAAAGTCAAAAACAACGCACCAAGGAGAAACCAGTCATTTGGCTTTTCACGCGCGCACCGACCTTCCTCGATCTGTCGTCGTTTATCTGATAATCTTTCATCCAGCGCGAATATAATCCTTTTCTCCTTCAATTTCACAAATTCCCCAAATTGGACAAACCCTAATCGAAGGGGGAAGAAGAAATCCCCGACAGTGATCGAGGGAGGAGATTCGTCTCTCACCTGAGCCCTAATTAATAATGGAGATCGCACCGGTGGTGCCGGCGTCTAACCATGTCGGAGACGCAGGACCTCCTGCTGCATCAACTGCGCAGGGGGATTCTGCTGTTTTAGCTTCCTCTTCTTCAAGTTCAGGTTCGTCTCCCTCGTCTTCGCCATCGTTATCGGTGCTCAGCAACAGCATGGCGGCAGCTGGCAGGTTCGATGATGACGATGACGAGGAGGACGTTTGCAGGATCTGCCGGAACCCTGGTGACTCCGAAAATCCTCTCCGTTACCCGTGCGCTTGCAGCGGAAGTATTAAGTTTGTTCATCAGGATTGCCTCCTTCAGTGGCTCAATCATAGCAATGCAAGGCAGTGCGAGGTTGGTTGCCACTTCTTTTTTACATTTCAGCTGGCATTTTTCTTGAATTTCTCTCTTCGTGCTTTTCTATGGATTTTCTTTCAGAAGCTTTGATTTGCAACTTCTGATTATGATGCTTTTACTATCTGCTTGCTGCTTTTGAGCTGCGGTTACTAAGTGCTGATGAGAATAACTGCATTAGTACTTGAAATCAATTTTGAATTCAGGTGTATTTGAGTTGATTTTAACAAATTATTTTGAAATTTTTGTGTAATTTGCAAGAAAAAATGCCGGATGTTAAATAAACTTAGTTGCAAATTAGATGCTCACCTTTGGTGTTGTTTGTATGTATGGGACATTCATTAGACACGAAAAAGAAGAACGTAGCATTGTTTACCTGTACTGCCTGTTAATGTTTAAGGGAACTGTTACTGATAGATGTTGAACCTTGACAACTTGTTATAATACACCTTTTTTGTTTTGGTGAAAAATGCAGTTATTTCTTTATAGTGTAGTTATTTACCAGATATTAATTGCAGGTTTGCAAGCATGCATTTTCTTTCTCTCCTGTTTATGCGGAAAATGCTCCGGCAAGGCTTCCATTTCGGGAGTTTGTTGTTGGAATGGGGATGAAAGCATGTCATGTCCTACAGTTCTTCCTGCGCCTCAGTTTTGTGCTGTCTGTCTGGCTTCTCACCATTCCGTTCATTACGTTTTGGATTTGGCGATTGGCTTTTGTTAGAAGTTTTAGTGAAGCACAGAGGCTATTTCTGAGTCACGTGTCTACCACAGTTATTCTCACTGATTGTCTGCATGGATTTCTTCTCTCTGCAAGCATCGTGTTCATATTTCTTGGAGCAACTTCTTTGAGAGATTACTTCAGACATTTACGAGAGCTTGGTGGTCAAGATGCGGACAGGGAGGATGAAGGAGAAAGAAATGGAGCCCGTGCTGCGAGGAGGCCACCTGGTCAACCTAATAGAAATCTTGCAGGTGACGGGAATGGTGAAGATCCGGCTGGGGGCCAAGGAATCGGTGGTGCCGGTCAGATGATCAGAAGGAATGCAGAAAATGTGGCTGCTCGTTGGGAGATGCAGGCTGCTCGTCTTGAGGCACATGTTGAACAGATGTTTGATGGTCTGGATGATGCTGATGGAGCTGAAGATGTACCCTTTGATGAGCTTGTCGGCATGCAGGGACCTGTTTTCCATCTCGTTGAAAATGCATTCACTGTGAGTTTCTGTGTTCTATGTAAGCTTGTGTTGCCACTGCCTGCTCCTTCGCGCTGCAGATTATTTTCTTTTATTGCTTGTTATTCCTATAATTCGCAGGGGGTGGGGGATGGTCTTTTGCTTTCTATCTCTGGTGGGGTGGGAGTTGTTGATGCATCACCTTTAGGAGGTCAAAGTATTAGAAGAAGTCATTTGAAAGCATTGATCTGTATCATGTTTCAGTGAGTTTTGTGTTAATACTCTGGACAATTTGGGAATGCTATTTCGTTTACTTGTCATTATTGGGTGAAGTTTGCCTAAATTTTTATGTATAGAAGCGGTCATCATATTTTTTAGAAGCGACCATGTAGGGTTGATAGGATAGTTTGTTGATATGCTGATTTCCTTTTCCTCTTGCAGGTTCTTGCGAGCAATATGATATTTCTTGGAGTTGTTATATTTCTGCCTTTCTCCCTTGGACGTATAATATTATATTATCTGTCATGGCTTCTGTCCTCTGCTACTAGCCCGGTTCTGTCAACAGTTGTTCCGCTCACAGAATCAGCCCTCTCCCTGGCTAATATTACATTGAAAAGTGCATTGACTGCTGTTGCTAATTTGACTTCAGATGACCAGGAAAACGGATTACTTGGCCAGGTTTCTGGAATGTTGAAAGTAAATGCAACAGGGTTAAATGAGGCTTCAAGCAACCTTACTACTTCAATTTCATCTGACTTGCTCAAGGGACAAGCTGTTGGGCCTTCACGCCTATCGGATGTTACAACCCTTGCTGTGGGTTACATGTTTATTTTTTCTCTCATATTCTTCTACCTTGGCGTGGTTGCATTAATTCGGTATACCAGAGGAGAGCCTTTAACCATGGGCAGGTTCTATGGTATTGCTTCAATTGCTGAGACTATTCCATCATTGCTACGGCAGTTTGTTGCTGCGATGAGGCACCTAATGACAATGATAAAGGTCGCCTTCCTTTTGGTGATTGAACTCGGGGTTTTCCCTTTAATGTGCGGCTGGTGGTTAGATATTTGTACAATCAAAATGTTTGGGAAATCTATGACCCAGAGACTGGAGTTCTTTTCCGTTTCTCCGCTGGCTAGCTCATTGGTTCATTGGGTTGTGGGAATTGTTTACATGCTGCAAATTAGTATTTTTGTCAGCCTTCTTCGCGGGGTATGTATCTTCCCGGCTATAGTTATTGTTTGTTTAATGTAATGTCATTTTTTGTCAAGCAAAAGTAACTTTAATTTTGCAGGTTTTACGAAATGGAGTACTTTACTTCCTTCGAGATCCGGCTGATCCAAACTACAATCCATTCAGGGATTTGATTGATGATCCTGTTCACAAGCATGCTCGTAGAGTTTTGTTGTCTGTTGGCGTTTATGGTAGCTTGATTGTAATGTTGGTGTTTTTACCTGTTAAACTTGCCATGAGAATGGCTCCCTCAATTTTTCCCCTTGATATATCGTAAGTTTTTTTTTTCTTTTTCCTTTCATTTTTTAAAACCTCAATGATATTCTCGTTGGGTAACAAATGCCTAGTTCCAAGAAGTAATTATTTTGAATTTTGCTTTTGTTCTTTAGGGTTTCCGATCCCTTCACTGAGATTCCTGCTGATATGCTGCTCTTCCAAATTTGCATCCCCTTTGCTATTGAGCACTTCAAGCTGAGGACAACTATGAAGTCTCTCCTCCGATATTGGTTTACTGCAGTTGGTTGGGCACTTGGTTTGACAGATTACTTACTTCCAAGGCCCGAGGATAATGGTGCTCATGACAATGGAAATGGGGAGATTGGGAGGCAGGATAGAGCCCTGCTGGGGCTGGCTCCGGAGGAAATGAACAGAGCAAGGCATCCAGTCGTAGCAGATGCCACTTTGGCTGAAGAGCTTGAAAATGAGGAGCACTCAGATACAGAGTAAGTTTCCATTAATTTTGAAAAGCAAATATCTGATACGATCTTTGCTGTAGGATTAGGCTTGGGCTGGGGCTAGCATGCGTTTTCAGATTTATTTGTCAAATTCTTTTTACAAGCTGATAGATGAAGGTGGTAATGTGGCATTTTTTCTTTGGAGTTCCATTTAATAAATGTCAAGGGTTAGGTTTATGCTTGTTTATGGTTTAGGGTTGTGGTCTTTGGTGTTTTTAATCCAAATGCCATTCAATTCATCTATAGGTCCTCTTTATTTAATCCAAAACATTGTCTTGGTTATACTGTATTCTGTAATTGTAGAGAAGTTTCTTGTGTCACATTTGTGTTTGTCTTTTTGTTCTGGTAATAAGATACGTGGTTTTTAGTTGACTCATGCTCATTACTTCTGTCTTGAGTCTATAACTCTATATGGAGAGCTAACTTAAGTTTGCTGGTGAAGAATGGGTCAAATTATAATTTCCTTTTGGAACTTTTGAATTTGAAAACTTAAAATTGAGCTTGTACCATCAAGGGAAATTGATGGTTGAGTTGCCTATTTTCCTTCTGAGACATTTCTAGCTAATTGCTGATGGTGCCATTTATTTTTTCTGACAATCTCAATGAAGTTAATATCTAAAATTAATTACTGATGTTCATCTGATGAAGAAACCTTCATGAATTTTCATTGCAAATGTTTCTTGGAGCTGTTTAGGCTTTGCATACATATTGGATTTTTTAATATAGTACCAATTTCTATGTGATGCTTACATGATTTGGTTTGGTCTTGCAGCCGGTGCAGTTTTATCCTTCGCATTGTTTTGCTATTGATTGTGGCTTGGATTACTCTCCTCATCTTTAACTCTTCCCTGATTGTTGTACCTGTCTCTCTTGGACGAATATTGTTTAATGCCCTTCCTCTTCTCCCTATAACACACGGAATAAAGTGCAATGGTATGTGGTGGATTCTGGCTTTGATATTCTATTACTTTAGCTTGATGATAGACTTAACATCAATGTCTCATTTTTCCTTTTTCTGGTAAGATCTATATGCATTTGTGATTGGAAGTTACGTCATTTGGACTGCTTTTGCTGGGGTGAGGTACTCAGTTGAGCAGATAAGAAAAAGGAGGGCCTCGGTTTTGATGAAGCAAGTTTGGAAATGGTGTGGCATTGTTACGAAGAGTGTTGCCCTTCTATCAATATGGGTATGCATACATCTTTTCTGTTCACAGTTTTAGTTAATGCCATCTGGATTCTGTAATGTTAACTCTTTCGCCGCGCTTTTCAGATTTTCGTCATTCCTGTATTGATTGGACTGCTTTTTGAACTGCTGGTCATTGTACCAATGCGCGTGCCTGTGAATGAGAGCCCAGTTTTCCTATTGTATCAAGACTGGGCTCTTGGATTGATCTTTCTTAAGATCTGGACCAGACTGGTGAGTGTCATATTTTGCATTCTGACATGTGGTTGGTAATTTTGTGAAGCGATCTTTTTTTTGAAGTGTCAGCGCTTAGGATCTACTGTTAATCAATATGCAGTTGTTTGAGTTCAAAAAACTTTATAGCAATGCTAATGGAATTAGAGAAGAGATGTAACTACTAATTTTGAAGCTGAAAATAGTACGCCTTTGACAAGTTCAATAGAGCAATATGACATGCTTTTTGTTTTGATTTTCTTGCTGCGTGTTTGGTTTTGCATCTTCTTAAAACGAAATGGGATGTTACCCTGAGGTACCAGTATATATGTGAACGTGGATCATGTTCAAGTGATCTTACTTGTTTACACCTCTGATTTTTCTTACCCACAGGTTACCCTGGATCAAGTTCTGCCATTTGTGGACGAGAGTTGGCGATTAAAATTTGAAAGAGTCAGGGAGAACGGTTTTTCTAGGCTGCAAGGATTATGGGTGCTCAGAGAGATAGTCTTTCCTATTATTATGAAGTTGCTTACTGCTTTGTGTGTTCCTTATGTTTTATCCAGAGGTTTGTTTCCCGTTTTTGGGTACGCTTTGGTAGTCAACTCAGCTGTATATCGATTTGCCTGGTTGGGTTGTCTTGGTTTGGGTTTGTTGTGGTACTGTGCAAAGAGATTCCATGTTTGGTTCACAAACTTGCACAATTCCATACGGGATGACCGATACTTGATCGGCCGGAGACTTCACAACTATGGTGAAGGTGTGGAGCGACAAAATGTAGCAGCCGGAGATTCCTTGGAAGCAGCAAATGCACAAAGCTCAAGCTTTAGTGAAAATGAAAGGGTAGCTGTGGATGTCGGGCTTAGACAGAGGCATGTAGCACAACAAGATGCCTAATAATCAAGATTTAGTTGCTGACTTTGGCGTCTTTGAGGGTTGCTTATGTAAAATATGAATATGAAGTCATTTATTCTTAAGATCCTGTATGCAAGCATTTCCCTTTCCTTCCTTTTGAGGTGGGCGGGTTGGTTGTAAATTGTGAATAGAGAAATAGTTGGTCTTTGGATTAGTGCACATGTGAATTTTGCCGGAGATAATTAAAATAGGGGCATTGAGATCTACAAGAATAATTTGAAGTGGAATTTGTGTTTTGAATCATCTAGTATAAAACGTAGGACTATTTTTGACATAGCAATCTGAAATTAGTTGTATCTCCCACCTTTAAGCAAGCCGCTTTCTCTTTAGATTGCTCACCATACACGCAATTAGCTTCCTAATTTATGTAATCTTGCCCCAGTCACCCGAGTTCGATTATACTGTAATATTAAAAGTTGAGGCTCCTAGAGGTTATCGACTGTAGTCAATCGATTAGTCCGTTATATACACATTGGAGCTGTAGACTACGTACATAAGATGAGTCTACACAAAAGTTGCTTCACTCAGACCTTTGCCCCTGGGGTTGATTTTATATATACACTCCTGAACACAACTTCAAATGTCAACATTTCTTACCACCACTTACAATAACCAATGCCAATTACTTTGCCCAAGATTAGACCACTCAACCAAAAAAAAGCACAAAGGAAACCAATAGCAAAAGGAGCAAAGATTTAAGTTGCAACCCCATTACAAAGAACTTGGATTAGTCTCAAAACAAACTTGTCCAAATCAAGGTGCACATGTAAAATGGCCGTCCATAAGATTCAAACTTCCAAGTAAACATTAAGAAACTAAACCATCATTCAAGGTCAAGGAGGCCAATTGGTCAGCTGGACAGCTTCCCTGCTGCTGTTGAGAAACATTCCGTAAGACTTCCATAGCCTCCGCAACTTTGGCTTTCAGAGCTTCGGGTGACTCGAGCAGGTGGAGAACCTCGGTCTGATCCATCTCCAAAAGCATGCCAGTGACCTTAGCTGCTGTGTCAGGCTCCAACTGTTCAACCTGCGGGTATAAATTCTCACCCAACATCTGCAGCCAAAGCATAATATTTAGCCTAGGGCAGGGCGGGGAGCGCAACACTCACAATGTTGGGTGTCATGATTCATAACTAATTTTGCTCTCACAAATTACAATAGAATGTGACAGAACATACGAAGCAAATTATAGAGCCAGATGTTTGCATGAAACTAAGAAATTAAATGAATCAATAGTGAAACCACAAGTAAATCTCCCTCGGGTTTTTTGGGTCTAGAAGTAAGTCAATTTCTGTTAACCAACATGTAAAGGACAGTGCAATTTATCTTTCCTAAGCAAAAAGGTAGTGATGACAAACTTATTTTTTAGAATATAAAAAATTGAATGAAGGGCAGATGATGTAAGGAAAGACCGGCTCAAATAATCCACCTACCGTCCTCTGATCAGCAGGAGATGCATTTGCAAGAGCAGAAGCCAAGGCGCCAATTGGAACCGGCAGGGACACACCAACCTCACGCATTGGCATGCCAGCCATATCATATGGAAGTATGCCTCCTGCAACACCTGGCATGGAGGCATCAGGCATGGGACGGCCTTGAGGATAGCGGAAGCCACGTCCCCTAGGAAGCATCTGCAATAAAAACAATCAAATATAAATATCTGCACAAAACTAGTGCCTCACAAGATTAACAAAAGCAGGAACCTGTTGCTGCATGAGTTGAACAGGAGGTTGTCCCTGCTGCACTGGGCCACCAGGACGCCGGCCACCAGGACGAGGTCCTTGCTGCCCTTGCTGAACCATTGGCATGAAAAAGTTGGGCATTGGAGCCCCACCAGGCCTCATACCAGGTACAAGTTGCTGCTGATAACCAAAACCAGCCTGTAAAGTACAACAGCAGATAAAAATTGTTATATTGGGATGATATTGCAAACTGATGATAAACATAGGCGAATCATTTACCTGGGAAGAAATAATGGCCGGTGGTGGTTGTCCATAAAATATCTGTTGCCCTAGACCGGGACCACCAGGGGGATACATTGGTAAACGAGGTGCAACAGGTCCAATTGCAACTGGACGCAATTGCGAAAACTGAGCCTGGTTGTCAAACATACAATAATAAAATGATTAATTATCAGAGCACATACAAAACCAAGGTCATCACAATATTGAGCACAATATACGGTTTGGCAAAATCTGAAGGCTGGATTTCTCCTTTTACCTGCAACCTTGCTCTTCTCTCTTCCTTTCTTTGTGCAAGAGCAACAAAGAGAGGCTTGCTAACAACCATCTTTCCATTCATTTCAGAAAGCTACGAAAAAAAGTAAGAAAGATTTCTCACATGAGATCAAAAATACACATCATAATTTTTTCAGTAAAAAAAAAAAAGAATGAAGGCATAGACTTACAGCTCTTGAAGCTTCTTCAGGAGTTGAGAAGGCAACAAAACCAGATCCTCGGCTGATGCCACTGGGGTCTCGCATAACCTGTTCAAACAAAGTCAATCCAGAGGATATGAAACATATGGCTAACTAGTAGAAAACAAAGGGTAAAACTCGCAGACACAATAGATACCTTGCATGAGGTTATCTGCCCAAAGGAAGAGAACAGTTCCCTAAGCTTTTCATCATTGATGCTGTCATCTAAATTTTTTATATAAAGGTTCAGACCCTGCGATTTATCAGCGGCCTCCTTGACACTTTGTTCAAAGCGAAGTTTCAGTTCTTGTTCTCTTTCTGATTTCTTCTGGGCTTTTCCAACAAACCACTCCTTGTTATCAAACTTGTGGCCATTGAGAGCTTCAACTGATTTAGCTGCATCCTCAGGATTCTCAAAATTGATAAATCCAAAGCACTTAGATTTTCCATCTTCATCCTTCATTATGGCAACACTAGTGATTGTTCCAAATTCAGAAAATGTTTTCTTAAGGTCTTCCTCATTTGTTGTTTCTGAGAGATTCTTCACAAAAACATTGGTAAATTTAGCCTTGTCAACAGCCATGTCCCTTTCCTGCTTCCGGAGGAAGGGTCCAACGTACACCTGCTTATCATTAAGCAGCATACCATTGAGTTTCTCAATAGCCTTTTGAGCAGCTTCATCACTGTCATACTGGACAAATCCATAGCCCTTCGATTGACCAGAGGCATCTGTTGCCACTTTGCAGGAGAGAATATTTCCAAAAACAGAAAAAGTCTCATGCAAGGCTTTGTGATCAATAGCCTTGTCCAAATTCTGTTACAAGAGATAAAAGTGAAAAATGGAGTAAGGACGGGGTCCCGAAGGCAAAAAGGTTTATGGACACAAGTGATAAGACAACATAATTACCTTAATAAATATGTTTCCTGCCCCACTTTTGCGTATGCTTGGGTCCCGATGCGAGTACATCACTCGTATGGGCTTCCCATTGAGGGGAGTGAAATTCAGCACCTCTAATGCCCGAGAAGCTGTCATGTAGAAGTGGATACCAAGTTATTTATGGTACCAGGAGAATATCTAACACAGAAGGAGCGCAGACAGAAAAGAGAAGGAAAAATAGTAAAGCAAATTAAATTATGCATTCTTTTCTAGCAACAATGTAAGTTCAATTTAAAAACAAATAAAGACTATAATTTAGACATACTGATAATGTTACAATCCTTGAAGATCTAATACAGTATACTTATAACTTAAGTTTGATTCCTTGGACCAGTTTGCACTCTGTTTCGCAACAGTACGACTTCAACTAATACTACACTTTATAACTTGAGTTTCGACCTTCGACCCAGAGCTTGCACTCTTTACAGCAACCGAAAGAATTCAACTAAAAACAAATAAATATGGTGAACTGGAGTTTGGACTGACCAACTATAATTGCAATGAAAGGTTCTGTCTGATAACTATCCCTAATATAAAAAGGCATCAACCCTTGATAGAATACACTATTGATGGAAGTGAAAAAATCTAGTCTTTTTATCTTTCGACAGCTTCTCATACAACCAAAAGACACAACTCTACTGCTGGTTCAAAAAATAAAAAATAAAAATTAAAAAAAAAAATCTAGGGGCAGAGACTAACATAATTGGACATTCAACCAAAAACTGTATTCAAGCACCTGAATAAATGCACACAAATAACCACATTGGCAGCTTCAACGGAACAAAGAACATAAGAGAAAATGACAGAAAATTTGTTGTCATCAGAATGATGGAATGCAGACAGATTGATTCCAAATTCAGACACACAAGCCTAATTCAACAAAATGCGAGCGATAATTTACAATTATGTTAATTGACTAACCATCTTGAGGATTCCCATAATTGACATAACCATAACCAAGTGACCGCCGAGTGGTCAAGTCCCTGCAAACCCTAACGGAAACAACCTGGGCGACGTGGTTGAACAGATCATAGAGCTGTGAATCGCTCACGTTCACATCCAGGTCACCGACATAGAGAGAAGTCGGCACGAACTGATTCGCGCCGCCAGCACCGCCGCCGGGAGCAGCAGCATTCACATTCACATTCATAACCGAAGGCTGAACCTGCACCTGAGCCATTGCAAACTCGAAAACCAAGGGGATACAAAAACCCTAGCTAAGAACAACGAGGATAAATTTAAGGTTTTTCGGAGGATTTTTCAATTTTTTTGGGGATTTTTTTTCTTAACTTCCCTCTCCTCTCGTTATTCGACGAAACCAAACCCTAGACAGTAGTACGACAAAACGATATCCTAAATTTGGAAAATAACTCCCGAAATTTTCGTTTTGGACTGAAGACCTAAAAGAAAATCGAACAATACGGTTGAAATTTTAGATTTTTTGCCAAAGATTTTCTTCTTTTTTTTTGATTTTATGATAAATAAAAAAAAGAGAGAGGAGAGGGAAGGTTAAATTAACAAGAAAATATAGATCGGAGATCCGTCGGAGAGAGGATTAAACCGCCGCCGGCGGCGACTCCGGTAGGAAAAGATGAGAAAAGAGAGAAAGATGAAAGACCAAAGGCCAGCCGAAAGAGGGAGGGTTTCTAGGGAGACGAGTGTTTATATACTGCTTCCGTGGCCACGTTAACCCTAAAAGGTTATCTAGTACATTAGATCTGGACCGTCAGATTTGAAGGAATGATCCCCCATCAGACGTTGATTCCCACTGCTTACCTCTGGGATAAAAAAATGTTGTCATGTATCATGAATCAGTAAAAAGTAAAAACTCAAAACCAAAATTATCTTCTTTCTTTTCTTTCGTTGATTAATATCTTGATTATTTTTTGTTTTAAATCATAAAAATCCTCATTTGGTGTTTTTGTTGAAAACAGGAAATTGTAGCCCCCAGCTCCCAAAAAAGCTTGAAGCTCCCATTATGGTACCACTCTACTTAACGAGGTTCTCTCCCCTGCATTGTACGGAATGTATTAAAATGATTATTAGTTGTGAAGAAAATACAATATTCTCGATTAATAGTTAATTATAAAATAAAATCTAAAAAAATAAATAATACAAAGAATAAGTGAAAAATAAAAAATGAGGTAAAAAATAGTGTGAAAATTAAGTGGTATTAGTATTATTATTTATAATTTAAATTTTCTTGAGCTTAAATATAATAAAAATGTTTCTCTTGAATTTTTTTCGTAGTTTTATCCGTTAGATTTTAACATGTTTTTAATAAGATGGATATTACAATAATTGATTTTCAATATAAGAAGTACGCCTTACTTGGATTTTCTCGTCATTTTACTTGCGAAATTTCAATTTTTTTTAAAAAAAATGATTGGTATTAGAGTAATTCAATTTGAATGTAAAAAAATATATTTCATTTGTTTTTTTCATAATTTTACCCCTGAAATTTCAACAATTTTTTTATCATATACGATGCCATTTTTTTCTAAAAATAAAAATATTTAATTAAACACACATAATTAAAATTTCTCTATCTGAAAATAGAATGAGCTAATTTTTACGGAGAAATGATTTCTTTCAGTAAAGTAACTTCATAGTTGATTAAGAGATCATTCAAAACTAATGCATATTAATGGTATGATTCTGATTGATTTATATTTTTGATTTGGTCAAAGATTTCATTAATTTCCAGACAATCAATAGGAAAGTCAATTACATTTTTCTTTTCTTATAAAGAGATGGAAAGTTTCAGTATAATTAGGTGGGAGGAAAATTAGTTTTTTTTTTTTTTTTACAAAACGACATTGTTTTGGTCGAGCATGAAACGGATGAATGAAAATGCGACACATAAACCTTTTTTTCTCTTGAACTATTGTCTTAATAGGATATATAGATAGATTTCCGAACAATCAATAGGAAAGTCAATTATATTTTTTTTCTTATAAAGAGATGGAAAGTTTCAGTATAATTAGGTGGGAGGAAAATTAGTTTTTTTTTTTAAAAAAAAAAAAAAGACGTCGTTTTGGTTGGGCGGGAAATAGATGCATGAGAGCGCGACACATAAGCCTTTTTTTTTTTCTCTTGTACTATTGTTTGAATAGGATATATAGAATAGATTTCCTTAAAATTCTTCTTCTTTTTTTCTTTTTGGATAAAAAGAGCTTTTTCCGTTAAATTCAATTGGCGCTAAAAAAAAAAGAGAAGTAATAATAGAATTATTGTATATAAAAGATTGGCTTTTGTTATCTTTTTTGCAAAAAGAAAATACTAATGTAGAAGGAAAAAATTAGACATAAATAATAGTAATATCACTAAACAAATTGTTTAGTGTAATGATCATATTTCTATGTTTTTTTCCCTTCGAATAAAGCATAGTAAGATATAAATAAATTGTAATAAATATTTATGGTAAAATAAGATAATGTGGGAAAAATATCCTAAAAATATTATTTTATAGAGATAATTGGTTAGTTTTCTATTGATAGTGTTAGAGGAAATACATCATTGATTTTGAAAAGGCCAAAAGGTGAATGAGAGGGTTCGGAGATTAGTATATTCATGTAACTTTCGTATTGTTGAAATTTTTGTGTTTTGTTTTGCTGTATCATGTAGCACACGCTCTTTATAAATGGTAGAAGGTTCTATGAGGAGATACATATCAAATACGCTACAAATTTAGTAGTTATAAGTGTTAGTGTAAGAAATTTCATGAATTTTGAACGCTGCTAATTTTTTGTTACGAGAAATGCATTTTATTGTGTTGATTTTTTTAAAAAAAAAAAATTGTTAGAAAAAGTGTATTCTCTTAAGCAAATGATTTTGCCAGGGCAATTTTTAGCCTCCAAAGCAAAATATGTATTTCTTTACAGAAATGTCCCTTTTTAGTGAAACCTTTGTTTTCTTTTTTTCCCACTCTCGGATATCTCCCATTAATCTCTCCATTATTTTATTTTTTTTTGGTGCAAAGAAGGAGCCACAAGGCCTAGTTTTCAAACTATTACATTGCGCGCCAACGTTTTACAAAAGCCGGCGGCACATTCAGTTCCTTGTATCCAAATGCTTCGGGTGGATTTCCTGCTAGGCAGTCAGCTGCGAAGTTGGCCTCCCTCCATGTATGCTTCAATTGGACAGTCCATTCCTGTGACATTAATCTCTCCATTATTCCATTTGGCTATTTCTTTGCGGTGCTCTCCCTTGTCCCATCTCATCATCGAATCGAAATATCGAGATCTCACATAATTGTGTTTAAAGTTTTGCTCTATAATCTTTGGAGATAATTTAGGGTGACTTTTGTTAGGCCAAAATTAAGAGGAAAGAGTTGGATAGGTAAATACTTAGTTTTGTTTTAATTCGATTCTTAATCAAAAGTGAACCAAAGTTAAATATTCTGCGATGAGATCTTGAATTTTGATTTTGCATGTTTTATTAATTTATTTTAATAGACATAAACAATAAACAAACATTGAAAACTCAAAGTTTGCCGAAGTGACTAATAATTGTCTGCATTGCGAAGGAATACCAAAGCAGAGTCTACCACCTTTTTCTCCGGTTAAAGGTTTGAGGCAAGGCTATTATTTGTCACCGTATCTATTCAATTTATGTCAACAGGTTCTCTCCTCAACAATTAAATTAGAGATCCCACATTTTCCTAGTTTGGGAGTCAGAATAAGTCGTCATGCGCCTAGGGTGAGTCACCTTATGTATGCAGATGATAGCCTCTTATTTATTGAATGCAAGAAGTTAGCTGTTTTTTGCTTTGACATGGCTACTTGAAAAACATACCACTTTTTCATGTCAGCATATTAACCTTCACAAGTCTTCTATTCTCATCAGTGATAACATTAGTCAGGATATGAAACACTTTATACATTCTACTCTTAATATCCCGGTTAGAAGGTTTCCTAGCCAGTATTTGGGAATGAGCCTAGACTTTAATGAGAAGAAAACAATCATCTTCAATGAGTTTACTGCAAAGATTAGTAATAAGTTTGCATCATGAAAAACCAAGTTGTTGTTGCTTCCAGGAAGAGCGACTCTAGCCAAATCAACTTTCAATGTTGGTGTATCCAATGGGTGTTTTTAAGTTACCTTTTCATACGCTAAAAAAGGCAGACCAAATCATTGGTAATTTTGTGTGGAAATGTGATAACCAAGACAAAAAAAAAAAAATCATTGGAGGGCATGGAAGAAAATCACCAAAACTACCTTTCATGGAGGTTTGGGTCTTAAAGTTACAAAGGAATTCAATCAGGCACTTCTCGCTAAGCATGCATGAAAGATAATGTCTGCACCTCATTCTTTGTTGGCTAAACATTTCCGTGCCAAACACTTTCAAGATGGTGTGATCCCTCCGGTACAACATCTAAGAAATTCTTCATGAGGATTCAAGAGTATAATGTGGGGAATTGAGTTACTACAAGATTATATTAATTGGAAAGTGATTTCAGGTAAAGATATTCCTCTATCAGCAAGCTGGATTCTTAGAATTCAAAATCCAGACAGTGCAAATTCTATCCTAGCCAATTCTAATTTGAGAGCAGATCGTTTCATTAATTCAAATGGCTAGTTGAAATCCACGCACTCAGGAACCTTTCCCCGGCTCAAGTTATCTCCCACATAACTGACATTTTTATTGATCCAGCGAGGCAGAATCAGAGAGAAAAACTCCATTAAGAACTTTCAGGTCATGGCAACTACATTGTTAAAACATGGTACCAATTGGCTATTAATGCATATCTTTCACAACCTACTCAAGATCCAGCAATTGTAACTGCAGAGAGGCTAGCATGGAAATGTCTTTGAAACTCGGGAGTTCAGCCTAAACACAAATTTCTATTTTAGAGAGCCCTTATTAATGCTCTTTCTATAATATCAAAATTGACTAAGAGAGGCGTTCAGGTGGATGAAATTTGCCCAAGATGTTCTACACACGTTGAAGACAATTTGCACTTATTCTTCAAATATGAGGCATCCCAGGCTATTTGGGTTTTGGCTTTTCCATGGTTTGGTTCTATTTTTAATCCACATGTGACTCTCTGTTGCAGTGGTTCATTGCTTCGATTCAGACACATCCGCCTAAACAAGACGTAAACTTCTTCCTAACCATTATTTGGAGGATATGGTTGGAACGAAATGATAAAATTTGGAAGAATCAAAGTAATGATTCGGCGGTATCATGGAGACTCATTCAATCTGAAGTCATCCTTCATCAACGGAACCAATCTAGAATCACAGCTAGAAGATCTTCCAATCAACAACACCCGAATAGAAATTCAACGGACGCTTTAGTCATATTTGATGGTTCATTCAGTCACCAATCAAGGAAAGCAGCTGGAGCATGGAAGATAATATCTCCACGTAGAATAGTGATGCAAATCAAACCGGTGAATCTAAATGTACTTTTTCCTTTTCAGTCAGAGGCAATGACATGTCTCCTGGTTTTGAAGGAAACAACAAATTTGGTTATCACTAGTCTTATGGTGTATACAGATTACGAAGCTCTTACCGGAGATTTGCGATCCCCTGATTTACTTTCGGAGGCCCAAGAGGTGGTCTCTTTTTTAAATAGCACTATTTTTAACCAAAGTAGTTGTGGTGGAGTGGAATGGACTCCTCCACCCTTAACCATAGGTCGAGGGTTCGAACCTCGCCATGGGCATGGAGCAACCTTAAATACTTTGGCCAGTTGTCTCACCCATCGAGGTGCCTACAATTCAGCGAGGGGGATTAGTCACTGTTTGCGACGGTGGACACCCTGTAAATATGTTAAAAAAAATAAAAATAAAAAATATCACTATTCTTGTTTTCAATTATACACACTGACTAAAGTGAGTAGACAAGATGTTGTAGAACTGAATAATCTAACATATACTAGAATGCATTATAATAACATCTGTATCTTTTTTTAATATACAGGTACCTTTTAAAAAAAGGTAGTTTCTATTAATTTGGCATTGATTAAGGGAAAAAAACAACCTAAGATCACAACCTGTGACGGCATAACAATAGAAGAGATGAGAGAGATTGGGGAGGAGGGGAAATTTTTTTTTACTTTATAAGGACAATTTTGGAAATGAATACAAATTTTGCTCTGAAAACTAAAATTTGCTTTGGTAATATCACTTGCCATTCTCTTATTACTTATGGTGAGAGACATTAATTATTAAATTTTAAAAATTACATTGCATTATCACAATTTGAGAAAATTAAATATCCTCATTTTTTTCCCTCAAAGAACTACGATGATTTCTTTGGCGAGCTTAATATGTAATACTTATTCAATGGACACGAATCAGATGTAATAATCTACCTTCCAGCAAGTTCGTGTTGACGAAACATTTGGCTTTAAACATATCATAATTCACAAACTTTACATTCTCACCATCACCTTCCAACTCGGGCAGGATAGTAAATTAGTAATTGCGAATTCCTCACATTGTTGTAAATGATACTCAAATTATTGAAAATTTCAAGGGAAGTTGCTATAATTCATTGAAAAAAAAAGAAAGATAAAAAGTGAAGAAGCAAAGGATTTCAAGGCCAATTTTGTTGAAAAAAAGAACCGCTTAAAGTCATAATAAAAAGGCAAATAAACCACACATGCAACATGTTGGTGTGTTGTGTCCAAGTATGAGGATGTGGGGTCCATCCAAGTGTTAACTATCCAGCTGGAGCCAAGACAGTGGCTGTTAAGTACTCCTACAAAACACTCCACCACCACCACCGACCTCTTCCGCCTTTCCCCCTAATCACAGACTTCTCCACAATTTTTTCAACTCTCAACTAAAACTAACCCAAAAATCAATTTGTACTACTGTTCATCCCACTTGCTTAATCAATCACAACATTATCATCTTTGCCTTTTGTTCTTTCTCCAACTGGGTCAATTCTATTTAATCCCTTCACATGCTCTTGTTCAATTTTGTCATTGTTGTTGTATAATTTGATTAACTACCCAGAAAGTTTCCTCCTTTCTTTCTTCTTGTGGGTTTTTAGAATCGCCCTGTTTTTTTTAATGGACTCCACCATTATTTGTTGTTCTAACAAATATGGTGGTTTGATGGCTTCACCGCTCACCTCCACCGCCGTCGCCGCCGTATCCGGTGCCGATCGTCATTTTCTGCCCTGTTTATCACTTCTCTCGCGGTGGCCCTCCTCACCCGTCGCGAAACACCGCCGGAATCATGTCATCCGGGCTCTCCAGCCTGTTCATTCCTACTCCGACACTACCAATTCTATTCCCGTGAGTCAAAGATTGTTCTTTGATTACTTTTCTTATTATGTGTTTTGTCATATTTATGTGGGCTAAAAGATTGCCATCATTATTTGGCCAAATCGAATTCCCAATGCCTGCCATCAACTAATTTAGTTGATTATTATACAGATAAATTTGTTTATGTGGTGCAATGATGAGTTTTATGATTTTATCTCGTTGCTCTTGTTGTTTTCTTTATTCTGGTAGCTTTGTTTCAGAGCTAGGCAGCAGAGGCAGGAATTTTTTTATTCTTTAATGAATAATTAATTTATCAGGCCCGAAAAAAAAAAAAGGTAGAACTTTTGTTGGGGAATAGAATATATGCGTGACAGTAGCACGAGCTTTCTTCTATGTGGTACAGAATTGTTTGGAATGAGTTTCGTTTTGTGTGGCATTTATTAATTCGTCAGCCTGTGAAGCAAATGGATATTGTAATTGCTGGATTCTTTTCTTCCATCCCACTTGTACCCATTTTTCAAAATTCTGATAGGCATCCAAGTGATCTTTTGAACTATCTATCCAAAGTCTGATATTTTATTTTGCACTACCTGAATTTGGTTGTAATTCTTCAGTGCAAAAACAATGGGATTTTAGTTATATATGGACTTGTCCTTTTGATATTGACAAATCAAATATACGTTTGCAGCCTAACAGTCGTACATACACGGTTGGCGATTTTATGACCAAGAAAGATGTTTTGCATGTAGTCAAGGCTTCTACTCCTGTTGAAGATGGTAATGTCCTTGATTCTGTTGTTGTGAAAATCCCTAATTTGTTCATTGTAACCTTCTCATAATCTGTTGATTGTTTTGTTTACAGCATTGGAATCTCTTGTAGATAAAAGAATTACAGGCTTCCCAGTTGTTGATGATGATTGGAAATTGGTAAATCCTGTTCCATTAGTTGGTTGGTAAAGCTTTGTGATTTTTCATTTGTTTCTTCAATGTATCTTCACCGGAGGTGTGTGACTGAAATGATCATATGCTTACATCTTTATGTGTTTGACATTTGAGTCAAGCTTTATATGATAAGTGGAGTCTCTGACGGATAAATCTTTTATGCAGGTTGGGGTTGTTTCTGATTACGATTTATTAGCACTTGACTCTATCTCAGGTACGGTTGAAGTTGTACATAAAAAACGAAATGGTCTGTTTTAAGGGAACAACCATTTTGCTAACAATAACAATTAGAGTATGTCAAGCTTACCCTATAAATTTCAATGATTCAAATGCTCCATTTGGCATAATGTTTTAATGTGAAATTGGCCGGCTCGTCAATGAAATTACCACCTCTTTAACTGCTTTGTATTTGTCTTTGAATTTATCACAGCATCTACCAGAATGCCACAACAAATTGCTTGATTCTGTGTATTCAGAACAATACAAACAATTACAGAAACTTTCAATGCCTTTAGTTGATCCTCAAATGTGTCTTTAAGAAGTCCTGAACGTTCTGATGTCAACATAGCATTGTGTCATTTCTATGCATCTGCCCTCTTCTCCGAATGCAACATCTGTCTGGAACTTTGGGTTATACTATACTGATTGTCTGGCTAGAAGCTCACAACATGTGCTGCAACTTTAAGAACTCTAGGGACATCCTGGTTTTGCTAACCATCTTTCAACCTTTTCATGTATGCTAACCATACTAGCGAAAGCACAAAACCCTCATCAGGCACCAACTGTGCTCACTAAATTTCTTGTCTGGGTTAATCTTTATATTGTTGCTCCTACTCTAAAATGACAAGCGACATTGGTAATTTCTTCTTGGTTTCATCAGAATATGTCTCACAGGGGCCAAGTGTTATAACAGTTACTGAAATTTGTCATAAAAGAGGGAAGCAGGGAAAAAATAGCACAACTTTGATTGCAAATATTGCAAATGATTTTTAGTGTATAGGAATGTATAAGATGTCACATCTTGATAATCTTCCTTCGTATCAAAGATCAATCTGTTGGTTGTTTTACTACCACAGATGAAATGGTTCTTTGTTTTAGTATCAAGAATCTACCTTTAAGTTGTTAATTCCATTTTCCCCTGAACTGATATTATGGTTACTCTACTGATGAATTTAGGTGGTAGCCAAGCTGACACAAGTTTGTTCCCTGATGTTGATAGCACTTGGAAGGTGAAGACTTCTCCTGTGCTTTAACAAATATTCCTTTCCTGGATCTTTTGTGATTACGAAGAGGCGTGTTGCTTTTATTCACTAATAAGAAAAATGACTTGTCGTATTGTCATACTAAGTGATTTCAGTGGTTTGATGATCTGGTTATGTTGAGAAAAAAAAAAAAGAAAATTCGCACATTCTGATACTTGATCTGACCTGTCTTCACAGACATTCAGCGAGCTTCAGAAGTTGCTTAACAAAACTAATGGGAAAGTTGTTGGTGATCTCATGACTCCTTCACCGCTGGCTGTTCGTGAAAACACTAATCTTGAGGATGCAGCTAGGTACTTACCACATCTGAACTCTTTTAAAATGGATTTGTCTAACAGATTTGATTGGATATAGTATAGTATTACTCTTCTTTTCTTACATTCCTTCATAAATATAAAATAATGACAGCATATTATCCATATAATGAATGTCATATAGTGGAGTCAAGGCTTAGCTTCTCTCAAAATTCCTCCACATTTTGAGGCCACACAAACAGTTTCTACTTTTTTACCCCATATCTTTTTAGAAGAAAGCTAATCTTTGCAACTTCCTAGAAAGTAGTATCATGAGCAAATATCTGTTATTCTTCTGGCAAAAAATATGCCTTGTTCTTCAACAACTTTGTGTTAACAGTTTTACCAAAAATAAAACTTTGTGGTAACAGCTAGTTTAGTTGGACTAGAGTAACAGAACATGAATAATAGTGGTAATAGCTTTGTTTCCTAGTGGATAAATTGCTGGTGTACATTGCTAATTCATTACGGATTGTCCTGTGATAGATTGTTGCTGGAGACAAAGTACCGTCGACTACCAGTTGTTGACGCTGATGGCAGATTGGTAAGACAATCGAATATCATGTGCTTTTTGCAACTCTTAGTTGTCATTTGATTGCGTATTTCAACCCATGAATTGCATCTGAAATATTGGATACATTTCGATGAATTTTATCGAAGGTGGGAATTATTACAAGAGGCGATGTTGTTAGAGGTGCCCTCCAGATAAAACGTGCAAGCGAGAAGTTGTGACAGGTCCAGGAATATTATACAACACAACTCGTGCTTCAAGTCAGTTAGGTTGCGAAAGCAACTCTTGCAGTTATTACTCATATGCTGAAATTAAAGAAAATATGGTGAATGCCACTTTCAGCCTTCAGGTGAAGCATCAGCAGCACCATGGAGACATTGCAGCCTATCGGAGGATGTTTGATGGCAACGTTGTAAGCACATATAGTAGAATATTGAATAGCTTGTACTATATGGGAGTGATGATCGTGCGGGAAGTTCTGTGGTGAAAGCCAGTGCAATGATTAAAAATTTTGCTCTATATTAGTGTTACTTTCTTGTTTTTGGGAGATGCTCATTTTTAGTGAGTTTTTAAAGCTGGCGATGTATTTCTTTGTTGGAAACTGCTATCGTAATTGCATTCATCCAGATGTGATTTTCTGGAGGGGAGATTTGCCAATTAATTTTACTACATAATTAGTTCTCTAGCCGGGGTTTTTAATTTGGGAGCACAAAATAGCATAAAAAGGGAATATCCATCTTTTGTCTTTTATTCCTAACGATAATTACTCATGTTCTTGTATAAGATGAGCATAAGAACCCAGGAGTAAGCCTGGTGCTAAATTTGAGTTGCACCAACTGAAATCTATGAAAGGAAAAAAGAAAAACCAAAACTTTGTCAAAATGAAGAATAGTCAGCCATCCTTTAATGGGTAAACCAGTATCATCAAAACACCTGTTCTGAATACTTCTTCAGTAGTACTAGTACATTACAATTCAACAAGGCAAATGATCTTTCTTTTCTCAGTCAATTTTAAAACTTAAAAGTTGTTTAGTCTAGCCTAATTTGTTGTTGACTGGTACGCACTCAAATCTTGGATGAGTGCATTGAAACTGGAATAGGAAGAGCCACCTTCTTCCACAGATTTCTTTGCAGCCACTTTTAAAACCTTAGATCTTACCCTGATTTGGATAGCTTCTTCACCCACCATAATCCGCTCCACTGCCTTAGCAATGTCTTCTCCTTTGATAACATTTTTTGTAACTCTGCTCCACTCTTTTGCACCAACACTAACACCAATCTTAACAACATCAGTCAACAGTTTTTCGTTCATAAATTGCTCCGCAAACATGGGCCAAGTCACCAATGGCACCCCAGAACAGACTCCCTCTAGCGTTGAATTCCATCCGCAATGAGTTACAAATGCTCCAATGGCTTCATGTTCAAGTATCAAAAGCTGGGGAGCCCAGCCTTTGATGACTAACCCCTTTCCTTTGATTCGTTCCTGAAATCTTTCAGGAAACCATTTCTCGCTGTCTTCTTCATCTACGCATTTTCTGACAACCCAAATGAAATTTTGGCCAGAAGACTCAAGACCCTTTGCAATTTCATGCAATTGGGCCGCGGTGAAATCGGACATGCTTCCAAAACATACGTACACAACCGAATTGGGCTTCTTGGAGTTTAACCATTTCAGGCACTCAAGTTCATCAATGGATGACTTCTTCCCTCGTTGAGCTTTATCTTCAACTTCCTTGTTGCATAGAAGGAAAGGACCCACATGCCAAGCTTTTCTCCCCAACTTTTTTGTATAATATTCAATGTAATCTTTCTCCAGCTCGTAGAAAGTGTTCAGAATTACTCCAAAACATTTGGATTCCGATTCCCTCACTTGCCTGAAAAACTTGCTAAACTCTGTTTCCGGCTCTGTTTTGTACCTATCATGTATGGCGATCTTAGCTCTGGTCATCTGAATTTGATGAGGAATTTCAGGCACCAGAAACGGCTCGGTGTCACAGGAAACGTGGTCGAAAGGTCTATTACGTCGCAAAGACTCGCCGACGCAGAGTGCAAATGTGCTTGTTCCGCCGAAAACCAATCTGGGGATACCGAATTTTGCTGCAGCTTCAGTCGCCCATGGGAAGAACATATCAGCAACGATGCAATTCGGGCGGCAATCTTCTAAGAGCTGTTCCAGTTGTGCTTGGAGCTTGGTTGTGGCCATGATGAACGCCGGAATCAAATCGTCGGATTTCAGCTGGTCAAGGCTCTCGATTCCTTCGGGCAACCCGGAATCTGATGATGGAAATTTCAGGGCTCGAACGGAAATGTCGAATCCCAATTCTTTGCTTCTCTGAATTGCCTTCTCGAACATTGGGACGTGGTAGTGAGTTGTGATCATGGTGGCTTTAATCCCTCGAGAAACGAACACCTTGGCCATGTCTAAAGTTGGTAACATGTGGCCGTGGGCTAACATGGGGAAGAAGAATATGTGCAACTGCTGAACCATTTTCACTACCCCTGTTTTTCTGCACTGTGTGTGCGCGTGTTTTTTTTCCTTCTCTTTTTCGCTTCCTGGGAAACTAGCTTTCAAGAGATGATGCTTGGAGTTTTGAAAATATAATTGGCACTGAAAAATCAGAATGAAGGAATGAATTATGAGTGGTTGATTGACGTCCATCACCCGAAGGAAACTGATATTTATAGGTCGATTAAATGACGTGGGAAGTCCAAATTAACGTTGAAAATGCCAGACACTGCGTCTGTCCGAGTGGGTGACTTTCGCTTTACTGTCTGCAGCCTTCATGAGATAATTGGCTGGAGAAGAGAAATTGGATACGAAGATTGACATGAAAATTTCACCTAGATCCTCTAAGTTTTACGAATGTCATATCATTCACCCGGACAACAGAAAATTTCATTGAGTTGTTTGTCTTTGGGGAAACTTCAATAAAATGAATTATTTTTCGGGAACACGGAAAGAAATTACATACAATTGTTATACAATTAGTAAAGTACTGACACTAAAAAGTGAAAATCTCTAAAAAGAGAGGATTAATAATTGGAATCTAAAAGGTCAAATAAGCACCATGTTCCGAACATTAAGGACTCGGAGAAAAACATTACACGGCACTACTTCTAGAAGTTTGGTGTTGGACTATTCGCCAATTGGGCAGGAGGAAGCCACAATTAAACGTCAGCCAGTCATTTGGTTTACTTGCATGCCTGCGACTTCTCTGGTCAATTTTTCCCTGGGCCAACCCTTTTACGCAAAACGCCAAATCTCAATGGTATTGAGAAAGAGAGTGAGACGGTACAAGGGTGTAAAATAAAAATAAAAATACCATGTGATGGACGTGATCCTGCCATTTTTTGTTTTTGCTGAAATAATCGCTTCCGTCACGTCCATTTTCTGAAAAATCAAAGTTGCAATCTTTCTGCATCAGTTGCGCCCAACAACGAATCCACCGCCTTTGTGCAGGATATATGGTGCTTCGAGAAGCCCATAGTTAAACTACCTGTAGCGAATCCCAATCATTGGATTTACTAATAGTAGTACATTTATTGTGAGATTATTGAAGTAATCTTTATTCTACGTCTAGTTTTACATTTTAGGCTTTTAGCTTTAAAATTACAGCAGGGGTGTGGACTAATTATACGTATCCTTCCTGACGATATGGTCATTAGATTTATTGTAATATTTAGTATATTTTATATTATGTCTTAGTTTAGGATTTGTTATTGTCTATACATAGTCTGTATATTGTGCACAACATATTATGAATCAAATACAATTTCTCTATTCTAAGTTGGTATCCAGCTAGGTTTAAAAAAAACCCATCTTTTTTCTGTTCTCCTCTCCGCCGCCGACTACTTCTTCGTTGGCCGGGCGAAATCAGTTCGCCGCTGCTGCTTTTTATTGCTTTCTTTCGCTCCTTCTCTTTTCTCTTTCCCGCCGCCCACGGTTTCGTTTTTGGCCGTGCGACATCCATCCGCTGCGGCTGATTTCTGCGACATGGAATTTGCGCTTAGCGGCTGCTACACGTAGGCGTGTGATTTCGGGAACGTGGTTATAGATAACCTCAATTTTTATTTTGAAACTCAAATTATTCATCCATTAGGATAATCTCGTACTACAGTATCATTTTTCTCTATGTTTCTTACTGGAACAAACAGTGGATGGTGTTAAATGAATTCTGCAATACTGTGAATCAACCTGGTATTACAATTAAGTTCTACAGAGCTTGATTGAAAACAGTTGAGCCATTAGCCCATTACAGAAAGTGCGAAAACCAATTTCACCAGGGGAATCCTGCACTGATGATATCTTCACACCATTAAATTCAACGCGCACAGAATGACAGAATTATAAATGCAAATGAAACAGAACTGCTACATCGCTTTAATTACTCCTGATCTCTTTCTGAACGATATGATTTCAGTTCATTTATGAGGGCATCAAAATCAGCATAGGATGATCCACCTTCTTCAACAGCCTTCCTTGCCATATCTTTCAATGCCTTTGACCTTCCTCTCATTTTGACAGCTTCTTCACCTACCATTACAAGTTCCACTGCCTTAGCCAAAGCTTCTCCTTTTACTACATCTTTGGCCACTCTGCCCCACTCTTTCGAACCAACAGCCACTCCGATTTTCAAAACATCAATCAACAGCTTTTCATTCACAAATTGCTCTGCAAACATAGGCCAAGTCACCAATGGCACCCCAGAACACACTCCTTCCAGCGTGGAATTCCATCCACAATGTGTTACAAATGCTCCCGTGGACTCGTGTTCAAGAATCAAAAGTTGGGGTGCCCAGCCTTTTATAATCAGTCCCTTTCCTAGGATTTTTTCTTCAAATCCTTTTGGAAACCATTTCTCGCTGTCTTCTTCTTCCACGCAGTTCCTCACAACCCAAATGAAATCTTGGCCAGAAGACTCGAGCCCCTTTGCGATTTCCTGTAATTGTGCCAGAGTAAAATTTGCCCGGCTTCCAAAACATAAGTACACAACCGAATTGGGCTTCTTGGAATCTAACCATTTCAGACACTCGTGTTCATCAATGTCGGATTTCTTCCCTCTTCCAATTTTATCTTCAACTTCCTTGTTGCAGAGCAAGAATGGACCCACGTGCCATGCCTTTCTCCCCAATATCTTGGTGCAATACTCAACATACTCTGGCTCCAGCTCGTAGAAACTGTTGACAACTCTTCCATAACTTTTAGAATCCGAATCTCTAACTCGTTGAAGGAACCTTCCAAGCTCTGTTCCTGCCGTTTCTTTGTCCCTTTCATACGAGGGTATTTTTGCTCTAGTCAGAGTAATTTCGTGAGGAAGATCTGGAACCAGAAAAGGTTCGGAATCAGAGGAAACGTAATCAAAAGGCCTATGAACTCTCAGGATTTCATCCACGGTATCGGAGAAGGAACTCGTTCCATCAAAAACCAATCTTGGGATCCGGAATTTGGCAGCGGATTCAGTGGCCCAGGGGAAGAACTTGTCAGCGATCAGGCAATGCGGGCGGCATTCTTCCAAGAGCTGTTCAAGCTGATCTTGGAGCATGGCGGTGGCCATTATGAAATGAGGGATCAAATGTTCTGATTTTATTTGGTCAACGCTTTCCGTTCCCTCCGGCAAGCCTGCTTCCACGGCCGGGAAATGTATCGCCCGGATGGATATATCAGTAAACAATTGTTTGCGGTTCTTCTGGATAGATTTCTCAAACATGTGGACGTGCTGGTCAGTTGTGATCATGGTGGATTTCACCCCACGAGAACAGAATACCTTGGCCATGTCTAAGGTGGGCAGCATATGGCCTTGGGCCAAGAAGGGGAAGAAGAATATGTGCAACTTCTGATCCATATCCCCGCGAGGCTCTGAGGTTTTGTGATTTGCGTTGTGGTTTTTGCAGATTTTGAAAGTAGTGAACTGATGATTTGATCTAACTTAAGGTGGGATTTGTGCAGAACTAGTAATGGGAAAATTACTCTTTAATTTCTTCCGTAGACTTTTGAATTTTTGATATTTTGTGTCTGTTGAGTTTTTGGAGAAAAATGGCCAAATAAATAGAAATGTAGGTCGAATTTTAAAAAAGAGAAAATTACCGCCATCGGATCTCCTAAATTTGATTTAAACATAAGGTCGGATTTTTGTGTCTGTTGGTCAAACATGGATTAGGTAATGCTTATTTTAGTCATTTATGCATCTAGAGTCCAGATTTCCTTTTTATGTTGGATTCAGATTCATTTAGCGTATACAATGTCCGCTGGAAGATATAAAAATCCCGTTTTGCCTAATAAGGGATACAGAGTGTGGCTCTTGGTTTATTTTGCTAAAAAGTACTCTCTCTAAGAAAAAATCTTAAAGTATGGAATTTTGACCAACTAGGAAGTGAAAATGAATAAAGAACTCAATAATGATATTCCCCTCGAAATATCATCTCGGAAATTTATCGCGAAAGAGTTGGCCATCCACGTTGTAAACTCCACATCAACCTTTTGTTATATTTTATAATTAATCGAATTAATAAAATCCCAAAAGGAAAAAAAATTCTAAAATAAAAAGTTATTGCAATCTTCAAAACCCCCGAACTCCTCCTCTCCCTCAAAGAACTTGTATATCACCACTCTAAAGAACTTGCAAACGTGGATTTATTATACTTTGTCCCAATCCAAATTTTGAAGATAAACCAATTAGATACTTATTCCTTTCTCGTGTTCTACTAATAATCAATTAAAGTCATGCACAACTCAATTTTGTGCTTATAAGGATAATGGAAAGAATAAAAGGCATGGGTTCACCTCACGAATATGCATAGAAGGTGCCAATGTGCTGTACAAAATTAATAATTCGTCACCAGTGATGTAATAAGACATTATTATACCAAAACTTCCTACAATTATGACCGTAAGCACCAAGAAAACAAACAAGCCAAGCAAGTTTTGACTTTTTGACTCGAGTTTCTACGATGATGACTATTCTGGCAATTACTACAACGTTACAACTTACACACATCTTATTGGAATCCACAACACTTTCTAGAAGATACGATGATGAAGCTGTTGGAGTCCTATCGTGTTATAATATTACACGATATGAGTGTATGACAATGGTAAGGGCGATTTGATATGCATGTGTATGCGCGTAAGTATATGATTGTGAAGTAGATTCTCCAACATCATTTTCTTTTTTATCAAGAACCATAAAATGTCCAAATTCATTGTTATAATTAATCTGTATTTGAAAATCACAATTGCATTTTTATGGTTAGATTTTATGCTTACGATTAAAATAAAACTGACTCGACCTTTATTGTTTAGACCAATCACTTGTTTTTTCACATAAAAAAGAGACGACTACTAGCCTTTAGTCCTTTGTTCCACATTCATAAATAATATCCCTTTCCTGCCTTAATCGGAATTGAATTTCCGGAGCTTTAAAAGGTAGACTTTGGTTAGACTTCTTTGTTTCATTTCATTATATGTTATAATAACATCTGCATTGCTCTACCATCGGAATTACAATAGTAATATGTAATCACGGAGTATGCACACTCGACAGTCAGGTCAATCTAAACAGAAAGACTATAGAAATCACAGAGTAACATTAAAAAGATAAAGCCAAATGAACAATAAGTTTAGACAAAAGGGTGCAACGAATCCAAAATAATCACAAGTGGCTCAAGAAGTGTACCAAACAAAGGACTAAGACCCCCCATCGTCCAAAATCTTCTCACAGACTTTCTCGACAAGTGTCATCGCTTTCTTCCAAGAACATTGTCCACAAGTTGAGATTGTTATTCAGAACCCAGCCGTGACATGTAATTATGGATAGAAATGCAAATCCAGCAAATCACTAACCAATGATGGCATGGGACTCAACAGGACCAGAGCAACCGTAGCGAATGTAATCAAGAAACAAACAGAAACACGTCCTGAGGAAAGCTCAATAATAAACAAGTTGTCTCCCAGGCTCTTCTAAGAAAAAAATTTCAGAGCCAACCAACAAATGTAGTCTAGACAAGAGCCAGATGATTACAGTGGTTGGTCCCGAAGCATTTAGCGCCAGAATTTGGTTGGCTGAAGAAATCAAGGTCTTGTGAATCCAATGGTTGACAGGCAACAATAATCATGAATCGGTAATAATCAAGAGGTTGCTCGTTCCATATATTTGCGTGCAAAGAAACAAAGGTACAGAAAGTTAAAACGAGGAGCATGTATAAGCCAGCTCTCAGGAGAAGGTACAACTAATTGAAAAGAATGATAAGTGGTAGAAGAAGTGAAGCAATGAAATCATGGAAGGTATGCTTACGAGCTGCAAGGAATGTCAAAACAAATAAGTCGAGAAAATAACACAAGAACTAAGGTGAATAAAGGCAACTTTTGAAAAATGACACACACACGGGCATGCACACAAAAGAAGAGAGGCGGCTACTGTAATAAGAGATCCAGATAGGACCAACAAATCAAAAAACACAAACACACCAACGTTTGTTGTTACTTCTTAAACAGTTCAATTCAAATATTTGTACTCACTAATAAAACACAACATTTGCTTCCCCTCAAAATTTGAAACCCCTCCCCTGCTTTCTCTCTCTCTGACACAGTCACACACTTTGCACTCTCCTTTTTTTTCTTCATTGCCCTCAATTCCCCCAAACTATACCCGAAAAAAAACCTAAAAAAAAAGAAGCAAAAATCACACAATGAATCCGAAGCTCTTTGCAAACTTGCTGGCCACGGTGATTACCTTGTGTTTTGTGCTACATGCTTTTGCCGAGGGCGCTTGGTTGAAGGCTCTGGGAATCTTTGTTGTCGGTTTGCTTGTTGTAGCAGTTTTGGTGAATTTCGGGGAGATTGTCAGTTTTTTGGCTTCCATGCATCATTTACTTGTAAAGGAAGTCACCGCCGCCGCTATACTAGTTGTCGGAGACATAGGCGAGACGGTAATGGTGGTGTCAATCCTTTGCTATTCCGTTTCGGTGGTGCTGTTAGGTGGAATGTTCACCGTGGTTTCATACGCCTACAATGAAGGACTGAAGAAAACCTTGTCCATGGTTGCTGCTTTCTTTCTCATCATCGTCAAAGGGGAGTTCCTGATCGGAGGATTTGCTCTCCTGGCATTTCTGATAGTTTACCGTAATCGTAAGATCTTTTTTCGTAATTCCTTTTCTTCTTCTTTTTTTTTCTTTCTTTTTTTTTTCTTTTTTTCCTTTTATATATATTCTGGTTTTTATCATGAGCCGCACCAAGATTAAAATTAACTTTATAATCGGATGATTCTGAAGGATTCCTAATTGAATTCCTTTTTCTCCTTCTTTTCTTTTTCTTTTTTCCTGATTGAATTCCTTCTTTAATTGAATTCTTTATATACACAACATCAGCGCACACACATGAACGATGCCAACGTCTGGTTTTTGGTCTTTCTCCACGTTGGCTCTCAACGTCCTCATCATGCTCCATCCTCAACATGCTCAACGTCCTCCTGTTTGGTAATTACCACTTAATTTTGCTAATATTTTTTCAAATACACATTTTCGCTCTATTACCACTTTCAGACCGGTAAGATTAAGGTCCTCGACTACTTTACTTTTCTACATTCTACGGATTTAATTTGGATCATGTTTTCATTTTTTTCTTTCTTTTTTTTTTGTTTCCTCCTCTTTAATTTCAGATGAAAAGGAGCACACATTACACAAATTGACCAATAGTATTACAACCAACATCTTTGACGAAGATTTGACTGGAGCAGCACTACTCGTCATTTGGACAAAATTTGTTGATACTATCCGTGCGTACTGCTGATCATAGTTATCAGTATCTTACGATACACAATACGTATCTTACAATACGATTCAAATTCTAACCTTTCGATACGTATCTTATATCCGTATCACTAATTTTATGTATCTTATGATACGAAGTGTGTATCTTACGATTCATGCGATACACGATACGTATCATGTATCTAACGATACATACAACACATTCATTCAATTATTTCAAATATAAATATTTTACTTTTTGGTAAACTATTGAATTAGTGTAACCTTTTAATAAAAATATATTTAATCCAACATTGTAATTTTAAAAAAAAAAACTTACAAATTTTGATTTAAAATTATCACAGTATCACCTTATTGCTGACGAAAAAAGATAGAAGAAAACAAGAAAAAAATTGACAATCTCATAGGAATCTCCCTATTTATGATTTAAAACTATCACAGTATCACCTTAATGCTTGTAGCTTATAATTCTTTCGTAGTAATTGACATATATATAATGATACTATACATTAAATATTGTCATATTTTACAAGAAATTATTTATTATATTCAAATTACCTCGTAAAAGTTTCAAAACTAAACTATAATTTTTTAGTTATGTTATAACTCGACTTATTTAATTAATTGAGGTTCATCGTTATAAAATAAATTTAATACTTTATTCATGGTTGAATGATGTCTTTTAAACTTCAATTTTTATTGTTTTATGATATCTGCATATGGATGGCGTGGAAGTGAAATTTTTATTTCAAAAAAATTACTGAAGTAAGTATTTGTTCTTTAAAATGTTTTTATGTAATTTCATCAATTTTTCTATAAATATAATTTATTATATATATATAATGTATCTTATGGTACAATACTCGATACGATACATATCACAAAATCAAATTTTGCTTATGCGATTTGTATCTTGATTCGACAATTATGCTGCTGATGAATTTTTGAGTAACTTTAGACCGCTTATTGGATCTTTTTAAGATGTTATAATTACTTAGTTGCTTTGCTTTGGGCTCTATTATGTCCACTCTGTATGCGTATCCGTTTAACTCAACTTTGATTGATTTCTAGAAAAAATTTTACTACCGAGAATTATCTAAAATTTGGTTTGAATAATTTTTTCTTATTAGACATGAACGAAAATTTGATGTATGGCATAGTCTTAGGGCTTTGATTTATGTGTTTACAATCGAATGACTTGGTTTTACTTTGGATTTGTCGTCTTTTATTTCGTCAATTCTATAATCTGTTGCTGCACTAAGTGACCTTTCATTTTTCGATATTAATTGTGCTCCATTTACTAATCACAAAAATGTTGTATCAAAATAGCATAATAAAGATTATGTGTGTCAACATTGATCGGTGCAGCTCATCTGGTGTACTATAACTTCTATATCTTTCGTTTCATTGATTATGAACTCTGAAGTCATATGTTTTTTTTTTTTTTTCTTTTTTGGTTGTTTTTGGTTGATACAAATAAATATTCACTGCCTTCCCGCTCCCCAAATGGAATGAAGAACTCTTCCCTTGGGCTGATCCAGATTTATGGGTTAATGATACAAATGCAAATGAACCAGAATTAATTACTCTTGATCTCTTTCTGAATGATACGATTTCAGTTCTTTTATGAGGACATCAAAATCAGTATAGGATGATCCACCTTCTTCAACAGCTTTTCTTGCCATATCTTTCAGTGACTTTGACCTCCCTCTGATTTTCACAGCTTCTTCACCCACCATTACAAGCTCCACTGCCTTAGCCAACGCTTCTCCTTTCACCTCTCTGGCAACTCTGCTCCACTCTCTCGAACCAACAGCCACTCCGACTTTCAAAACATCAGCCAATAGTTTTTCATTCAGAAATTGCTCTGCAAACATAGGCCAAGTCACCAATGGAAACCCAGAACACACTCCTTCCAGCGTGGAATTCCATCCACAATGAGTTACAAATGCTCCCGTAGCTTCGTGTTCAAGAATCAAAAGTTGGGGTGCCCAGCCTTTTATGATCAGTCCCTTTCCTTCGATATTTTCTTCGAATCCTTTTGGGAACCATTTCTCGCTGTCTTCATCCACGCAGTCCCTCACAACCCAAATGAAATCTTGGCCAGAAGACTCAAGTCCCTATGCGTTTTCCTGTAATTGTGCCAGAGTAAAATTTGCCCGGCTTCCAAAACACAAGTACACGGCCGAATTGGGCTTCTTGGAATCTAACCATTTCAAACACTCGTGTTCATCAATGTCGGATTTTTCCCTCTTCCAATTTTATCTTCAACTTCCTTATTGCAGAGCAAGAAGGGACCCACGTGCCACGCCTTTCTCCCCAATATCTTGGTGTAATACTCAACATACTCTGGCTCCAGCTCGTAGAAACTGTTGACAATTCTTCCATAACTTTTAGAATCCGAATCCCTAACTCGTTGAAGGAACCTTCCAAGCTCTGTTCCTGCCGTTTCTTTGTCCCTTTCATACGAGGGTATTTTCGCTCTAGTCAACTTAATTTCGTGGGGAAGATCTGGAACCAGAAAAGGTTCGGAATCAGAGGAAACATAATCAAAAGGCCTATGAACTCTCATGATTTCCTCCGCGGTATTTGCGAAAAAACTCATTCCATCAAAAAACAATCTTGGGATGCGGAATTTGGCAGCGGCTTCAGTGGCCCAGGGGAAGAACTTGTCAGCGATCAGGCAATGCGGGCGGCATTCTTCCAAGAGCTGTTCAAGCTGATCTTGGAGCATGGCAGTGGCCATTATGAAATGTGGAATCAAATGTTCTGATTTTATTTGGTCAACGCTTTCCGTTCCCTCCGGCAAGCCGGCTTCCACGGCCGGGAAATGTATCCCCCGGATGGATATATCAGTAAACGACTGTTTGCCTTTCCTCTGGATAGATTTCTCAAACATGGGGATGCATTGGTGAGTTGTGATCATGGTGGATTTCACCCCACGAGAACTGAATACCCTGGCCATGTCTAAGGTGGGCAGCATATGGCCTTGGGCCAAGAAGGGGAAGAAGAATATGTGCAACTTCTGATCCATATCCTCCGCGGCTCTGTGGTTTTTGTGATTTGCGATGTGTTTTTGCAGATTTTGAAAGTAGTGAACTGATGATTTGATCTAACTTAAGGTGGGGTTAATATGTGCAGAAGTAGTATTGGGAAAATTACTCTTTAATTTCTTCCGAAGACTTTTGAATTTCTGACATTTTTGTGTCTGTTGGTCAAACGTGGATTAGGTTGCGCTTATTTTGGTTATTTATGCATCTAGAGTCCAGTATTTGCCTTTAATGTTGGATTCAGATTCATTTAAGTATATACAATGTCCGCTGGAAGATGTATATAAATCCCGTTTTGCCTAGGGATACATGTGTCTCTTGGTTTATAAAGATAATGGAAAGAATAAAAGGCATGGGTTCACTTCACGAATATGCCAGAAGGTGCCAATGTGCCGTACAAAATTAATAAGTCGTGGCCAGTGATGTAATAAGACATTATTACACCAAAATTTTCTAGAATTGTAATCGTAAGCACCAAGAAAACAAACAAGCCAAGCAAGTTTTGTCTTTCTTGACTCGAGTTTGTACGATGACGACTATTCTAGCAATTACTACAACGTTACAACTTGCACAATCCCCAACACCTTCCTAGAAGGTGAAGCCGTTGGAATCCTAGAAAAACTTTATGGTGTTATAATATTACACGATATGAGAGCATGACAATGTTAAGGGCGATGCGATATGCATGTGTCTGTGTATAAGTGTATGATTGTGAAGTAAATTCTCCAACGTCATTTTCTTTTTTTATCAAGAACCATAAAATGTCCAAATTCAATATAATAATTAATCTGTATTTGAATTCCAAACTAGTTTTACCGTGATAGCATTTATTCCTCCTTCACCACCTCATTTAACTCTCCCATAAAAAACACCCGTATTAATATGGCCAGAAAGTACAGGAACGAAATTAGCAAATTGATTAGAATTCCCGGTCAGTGCATGTCCATTTGTGCGTGTTAACTTGGGAAGTGGTCCAAACTCCAAATGGTGTTGTGTTGGGAGATTCGTGCTTTAGCATAACCTAATTAAGTGGTTTCCCAGCCTTAATATAATTCTTCCCCCACCCAACAGAAAGTACGTACACATGTAAATGAAGAAAAATATTTCATAATATCGTGTCTATATTTATGTACCTGTTACAATGATCATCGTAGATTGAAATGACTAAAACGGAGTTGAAAAATGGCGTAAGAAGAGGGTCATTGCTGATAACAGAATCACGAAGTTGGGTTAGGAAGAAGTGAAATTGATTATAGGAAAATATGACATATAACTTAATAAATAAATTAAGAGCAAATGGAAATATGATTAATTTCTTTCATGAATTGAATATTGATTATACGACGAAGAGAGAGAGAGAGAGATGAATTTGATCATTTGCCTGCAGTTTATCTAGTGCGGTGTTGACATAATTAGTAGTACCATATCTAATTATCGAGAGCATGCACCGTTTCTCGCGAGTCGTGCCAAAATACTATAAATGATATATGACCAAGCTTCGTCTATTCGCATCCAAGAATGTGGAGTTGGATTTAACCGTGGAGTATGAATTTGATCATCTTTTGATTTTTTAAATTATATAGCACGCTTTGGTAATGAAAGAGCCACGAGGAGATGCTCTTTGTTCGGGAATCAAACATTGTTCTAAGCATTCTATTTGAAAATTCTTTCGGACTTTGTGCTTTTTGGTTGGCATCTGATTGCATATAAATTCATGTATGCATTGGAAGTAGGCATGGACTTAAATCTAGAGGAAGCACACTTCTAATCTCCATCTATAGTTCACATCTTTGGCAAAAGGAATATCAGAAAGGATGAGGGTTGTGTTTGTTTTGCTAGTATGCACTCTGCTTCTCATAACTGGGGTCCTCTGTTCATCTGTTTCATCCACAAACGTTGCGTATCCAACGGGATATGGTGATGCATCTGGTGCTTGTATGAGCAGCAGGGAAGTTTTGAAGCCTTCAAGGGACAAGAACATAACAGGTACCCTTAACCCAATCAAAATCCATGACTGACTCTAGTTAGTACGGTGCCAATTCTAAGAAATGAGTTCCAGCATCATTGAGGATAGTTGTTTTCTACATATCTTTTATGCACTTCATTCGACTAATTCTGTGGGTGGATCCTGTGTGGGAGTAGAAACTAGTGGATGGCAAAGTTTCCATGCTAATGCTAATTTTATTGCTCGTGTTTCTCTATTAAAGATGAGTGTATTTCAACAAAGAAAAGTTAGTGACTATAATTTGAGATAATTAACTGGAAATGATAGAGTTGAGCTGTATATTGATTCTTTTGGGTTTTGGTATCCTGACCTGAGTTACATACACACTCGGTCCTCATGTTGTTTTCTTTTTCTCTTCCTATTTCCAGCTGAAGGGATGAAGGCCTTAAACATCCCCAGAGGAATAAGAAGAGTACTCTTCAGAACGTTGAAGAACACTGACAGGTGAACGTGCATCATCTACTAATCCAAAAATGAATGTGAATTCTGAAAGCGGTATTTGCGTAACTGAAAGGAAGTGGCAATGAGATGCAGGTTGACAGTGGTCCTACTAAAAATTAAATTGAACCTATGCTTATTTCATTTTCAGGCGCCTCATGCATACGAGACAGATTGACTTGAGCTTTGTGGGATCCACAGAAGATGGAGCACAGTGGGTTGTGGATAACACTGATATTAAACTTGTTGGTAAGCACTTAGATACTCGTAACTCCTAATCTCTGACGTAGGACTTTAAACAATTATTCTGAGTCAAATTCTTGCAAACGGCAAAAAATTGGAAACTGAATAAAACTAAAAGAAATCGAAAGTGGAGAACTTTTTAGTTTTGTATTATTATCAGCGTTATTTTTGTCCTAGTTGTAATCTTTGCGTCATATGTTAAACAACCACGGTATTGGCAATTCGTTTTGTAATGCTGTTTCTGATCTTCCAATGTGTTAATAGAACTTGAATAGCAAGAGCATGGTTATACTCTGTACGTAAAATTAAGCTAATTATGTAGTATATATAATGGAAATGATATGTGGGTGTATATGTGGATGTGCAGGTCCGGTCCTGGTTGTTAGAATTCCTACGGGTGTTCAGAACATAAATATGTGTATTTTTGTAGTATTAAATATTCCTCTTTACTTTAAACTCCTCTTTTTTTAGTTCTAATAAAGAATGTTTAATTATAACTAATGAATTTATAATGACATGAGGATTTTTGTTACAAATTCCCAGCTCAAGTCGTAAGCAATTTGGGTCTGCCCACCGGACTAGAAAGAATGATCTTTAAAACCGATAATACTGACAGGTAAAAATTCAAGTGAAAAGATTGATTTTCCCTGAGTTAAAATTTGCATCGGTCTTCAAAGTACATTGGTTGCCTACATATACTGCATATTTATTAACAGGTTTGTGATTTGAGCAACAATCACCGTACGTAACTAAGCTTTTATGTGGTCTGCTTTGATTTTTCAGGCGCCTCATGAATCAGATACCTTTTGAAAAAAATTATGCCGGACTGATGTCAGATGCAGCAGAATGGTTGGTGAAGAATACTACAATCAAATTCATTGGTAAGCGTAAAAATTCATTGGTGAGCATAAAAACTACCTTAAAAGAAGGGATGAAAGTGGGAAAAAAGTGTTTTTTTTACATTCCTGGGCAATGTCTTTACATTTTCTTTTTTAATTTAAATTTCTTTTCAGGAGTGGATTACATGTCTGTTGCCTCATTTAACTACGCTCTTAAAGTTCATGAGATTTTGTTGAACAAGCCGGTATGTTTTTCTAATTTTTTACCTTTCCATCTCTTTTGTTGAGTAAACGAAAATTCCTAGAAATTAAATACTAGATTAGTTTAAGCACATTTCATAGACTGTTGTAGCTTGTAAGTAGGAAACAAGTTGTATTGCTTCCTTATTTGCGTTCCTGGCAGCCCAGGCAACATGCATACATATATATACAATGAAAATTAGCCTCGAGAAATTTACTAGCCAGTAATTGATGTGACAACTATGTGACGTCAGAATTATCATGATTGTCTTCATGACTACTTTGGATATATATATATATATATTTATTAACGTTGACTACTTTGGATAAATGACGTCAGAATTATCTTGAGGGTGTGGTGCCTGGGTATTATGATGTCTACTGCTTGCGTACAAAGGTTGAAACTGAGGCAGCACCAGCGAGATGCATCCTCGTGAAGCCAACCAAAGCTAAAAGGACAATACTCGATATAACTCACACGCTTAAGAACTACATGACTGTTTGGAAAAATTATGCACAAACCGAAGAAATCATTAGGGAACACAACGGTCCGCATTTCCGTACTGGTGACTTTACGGTTGGAACTGACTATGGCACCCATGTTGATTCTCCTCAACACTTGCTCAGCTTGAAAGATAGCCCCATCTCCGCCCTTACCCTTGACCTTCAAACTCTAATTGGTTCGACTATCTTTTTCTTTTCTTTTTTCTCAAAATTAATTTTGCTCACGTGTTTCGTTTCAATAACTAACGTCCATGTTTAACATTATTATAGTATTCGTAATGCCTCGATAGAAGGGTTTTTTGTCGTTGTATCATACGTAACAATAACAATGTGGCTGAGCAGGTAGGATCCTGGTTGTTAAAATTCCTACGGGAGTTCGGAACATAACTGGTATGTGTATTTTTGTAGTATTAAATATTCCTCTTAATTTTAAAATTCTTTCTTTTTTTTCAATGTCAATAGTTGTGATTTTTTTTTCTTTAGTTCTAAAGAATGTTTCACTATAACTGATAAAATAACAATGCAATGACTTGTGGGTTTTTGTTACAAATATCCAGCTCAAAGTCGTAAGCAATTTGGGTCTGCCTCGCAGAATAAAAAGAGTGATTTTTAAGACCGATAACACCGACAGGTAAAAATTCAAGTGAAAAGATCGATTTTCCCAAAGTTAAAATTTGCATAGGTCATCAAAGTCATTGGTTGCCTACACATACTG